TTATAATTTCAGTCAGATGTTTGCAACGCAGTGAAGGAGACGTTTCCGACCACATAAAGTATATATATTCTTGATCAGCACCAATAGCCGAGTCTATCTAGCCATGTCCGTCTGTCCGTCTGTCCGTCTGTCCGTTTCTATGCGAACTAGTCTCTCAGTTTTAAAGCTATCGCGATGAAACTTTCCCGAAGGTCTTCTTTCTATTGCAGGTAGTACATATGTCGGAGCCAGCCGGATCGGACCACTATATCTTAAGGCTCCCAAACAAATATAAGAAAATTCATTGTAACTTTGTAGGAAGTAGGCGTTTTGATTCTTGACTACTTAAAAACAAAATTTAAATAAATCGAAACGCTGAATCTGGAATCCCTGGAACTGCACCGAGTGAGTATTCTTTTATCTACAAGGGTATATAAGCTTCGGCTGGCCGAAGGTAGCTTTCTTTCTTGTTTTAGGCATCTTTTATATTAGTATAGATTACAAAAACAAACTTATGGAAACTCCATTTGATGAATGGTTTTAGAAGAGTAGATGTATTTAGCCAAGTTATAATATAACCTCATTTTCATAAATAAACTTCCTGTTAAACATTTGACCTTCATAAAGCCTTGGCTCCTCACTTACCTTTATTATAGCACTATATGTAGGCCAATGGTTGGGACTTACGTGTTAATAGCCATGTTTAACCATGGCCAACAAGACATTCCTCATTCCCCATTGGGAGTAGGGTAAGTATGGCCAGTTCGATGGCCTTCATTTGGCTGGATGCAGTCACGTGTGCTGCCACAAAACAAGGACATATTGTCATATATGGCGATCGAGTACAGTGTTCCACCATGACCAGGTCATAAGTATATATATATAGACACACTCTTTACTATGTACAAGCACCGAGTTCATGTTGAGATACAACCACCGACCGCCCACTGAGCCAGCAACTCAATCTTGGTAAAAATTTGTCGCACTGGAATTTCATTTATTCTGTTGACTTTGACTTTGTTGTGGCTGGCCACATCTCATACCCACGGCTATCTGCCTCGGCCCCCAAAAACCAAAAAAAAATATACAGAACAGAGCCCCAAAAACTAACGAGAGACTAACGCCGGAGGACAAACTATTCGGAATCGGCAGCTCTTTTTTTTTGGCTTAGCCCGGAAGTTGAAAACTTTGAATAAATCGTATTATTTGCGCCAAACTTGTGAAAGTTTGATCCAATTTTGGGCTTTATTAAATTGTTGACTTGAAATATTCATGGCGACGAACCAGGTTAAGCCGAAATAAATGGGATTTACGGGTAAGTTTTTTTTTTGTGACAACGCCGCGTGCTGAAAGGATGTGCTACAGGACCTCCTGCTACTCCTTTCGCTCTTCTTCTGTCTGAGAGACTGTAAATTAAAAAGCAATCCCTGGCGTGACCTCTCAAGTGGAAGACCCCCGTCATTATGGAGAGCGAGTGCACAATCAACAAATGCGAATCAAATTGCATGGACGTCGATGCCCCGAGGAGCAGCCATTGGCCACATGGTCGCCTTTGGTCGCCGTTTTGGTCATCAGCCTAGACAATCCGCGGCAACAATTGGGGTTCATCAGTGGCTGTTGGGGTTCGGGGTTCAACAACCTGAACTTGGAGGACTCCGAACTCTGCACAGAATGGCCATATCAATTAGTAGCCAAGGTTTACAACAAAGTGTCCGCGATTAGCCCGGATGTGGCATCTGTTCCAATTGAATTCAATCAAATGGCAAGTGACCTCCGCCCGCAGCACTAAAGTTATTCCATTTTATTTTATTGCGCTTATTCTATTTATTATTAGAAATGCCCAGTGGAAGTGAAAGTGGGAGCTCCGACAATTGTCAGCTGATGGTGTCAGCCCAAAGACATTAGGCCGCATTATTTAGGCTTTGGCTTTACATAATCCCCCGCTTGTCTGCTGTCTTTTCTGTCTCCTGTCGCCAACGGCTGTCAGCTGTGGCTCCTTGCGAGAATCGGAGATTGGTAGAATCGGGAGGGGTGACCCTGGGGAACCGAGACTCTGGCAAACACAAACACGTCAATGCCATAAGCAGCCGGGAGCCACCACATCCGGAACAATGAGCCGGCAAACAGGCGGACGTGGAACCGCCAGGACCTCCTCATCCTTCTCCCTCTGCTCCTTTTTGCCCTGGATAAATTAACAACCCAGCTTAGATGGCTAAGATGGCGTTTGATGAAAAATAGCACCGTAAAACTTGATGTCGAAAAATATGAAGTGGGCCGTAACAGCAATCAACAGGAAAAGTCTCCAAGTCCTTATGATAAATTCATCGATTTGGGACTGCTGCTGTGAGATTTGTTGAGCGACGGGGGTAGCTGAGAAGGCTGAGGAGCTGTTTATGAATATTCAATCATTTGCCAAGTTCATTGTGGCCACGATTCGATTATCCCATCATTATTTCCCTCCAACTAGATAAGTTGTTTGGAATGGGGAATGGTAATGTTGCTTTTGCCTGCCTGGGCATAAGGATAATAACGAATGGCCCACGCCCAATTAGTCGTTATGTGGTGAGGATGGGAGGATTGGGGGGGAGGTGACCTTGGTAGTCCCACACAAGCACGCTTGTCTCCAAAATTTCATCGAGGATTAATGGCCGTCACTTGTCGAGCGCCACATGCTCATCACTCCAGGGAGAGCGAACTACTAAAGTGTCAAAGTGCCACCCACCCCATCCAGCCAACCACCTTGCTCTTTCACAGCCAGTCGCCAATCGCCAGTCGCCTGGAGGGGCTTTAATCAGCTCTTTATAGTCCTGAATCCCGGATCGCCAGGACCTCACGCACACCTCCGGCTCATCGAAAGTGAAATTTGCGTGCGGTTTTGATTGTTTGCACCCCTTGACCCCATGTCATCATCGTCATCATCATCATCATCATTCGCTGTGGGAGGGTCGTATACTTCCTTCCTTCCTTCCGCTCTTCCTGCCCATCAAAACAAGCGGCTGAGCCAATTTACGGACATCCATAGTGTTTGTGTTTGTGACCCAGACGAATGGCGATGGCCAACGGCCATCCAGCGAGCGTGTCGTGAATATTTATACCCATTTGATGGGGGGAGTCTTTTTGCAGGAGGAGTGTGAAGGCTGCTAGAACATCTGCAAGTTTGATTGGATCAACTCCCTGGATACTGGATACTGGATACTGACGACAAACCAAATTTATCGTTTAACGGACACTACTATAATTGAGCCAAGAGCAGCGGATGTTATGACCTAGTTTTTTTTTTGGGAGGATGCTCCAACATCTACTCACCTAGAAGTTCCTCTCCCGAGTAATCCTCTGTCAAAAACTGTTCGAGGCCGCCAGTTGCAGTTTGACAGCAAAGACACCACGCACACACATCCTTATCCTCCTGCTCGAGTCGAGTTTTCTGGAAGTTTGTGCCTCTCTGGCACACGAAGTCATGAATAAAAGAGGAGGCAGGCGAACCAGGCAAGGCAACCCATCATCATCATCATTGGAGCCTCCAATCTACAGCCACATCTTCCACGAGTTCGTCTTGTCAGGGGGCGTCAGCGAATGAGATTGGTTGATGTCAAAGCGGCGAAAGAATATAAAATAAATTAAATAAAAGCCAAACTATGTCATCTGGTCAGCAGTTTTACCCCGTACTACACACTTTCACTTTATAACTTCTGTATACTGGGTATCCCAGATTCGACTATTCCCCAGCTGCGGGCTGATTATAAGGATGTGTCTCGCATGCTTTCTGGGCATGGCAGGACCTGCCTTTGCCGGAGGACTAGCCATAAATTAAATTACCCAAAAACCCAAAGCAGATTTGCTACGACTACGGCTGACAACAGCTCGTTTAGGGCCATACATCTTGCCGAATACGGATCTTCCGGGGCTATCCCATATATCCGGCTGGGTTCCACAAGGAAGTGGAGATGCTGATGGGGATGGGATGGGACAACGTCTTGGGGACGTTTTCTGCATACGACGGCAGTTTCGCCGCCTGTCTGTCAGTGCACATTTGCCTGGCCTCTGCCAAAGTTAAAGTTATGTGCATGAATAAAACAAATTGCAGCTTTTCGCTCCGCTTCATTACTCACCGCCTCTGTTCTCTGTTCTCGGCCCATTTCTTAACTTAACTTGGCCTTTTGCCATGAGAAATGGGGCGGAATATATTTTCGCACGCTTCTGCATAATATTATATTAATTAGAATGTCAATTCCGTATCTCAATAACTATTTAGAATAATATAAAAAGAGGGCATTAAACGAAAACAAAATAGTTAATGAAAATAAATACAGAAATATGTATGCACCTTTAAATAAAAAAATATTTATATGGATACGCTCAGCACTTTTTTAATGATTTAATCTGGTTTTTACTAAAGTATAAAAAAGGTATTGTTTAATGGAATGCAAAAAATGAATATTTAATTAATCATACAAACATAAATATTTGTTTTTGTTCGTAAAAACATTATTACTGTATAACCAGAAAACAAACACGTTGAATTATTATAAAGTAGGGGGAAAGATGGACGATGATGGCACTAAGTAGCCCATGGGAAACTCTTTTTCTGGCACCTTTTTCGGCCTCGCTCTTAGTATTTCCACTTTAAAATAATCATCATGGCCCTATTTTTCTTTTTCGGCCAGGGTGCGGTTGCCTTGGCCCGTAATTGTCGGCTCAGTTGCCTGTGAGCACTCGACATCTCGAGAACTTGAGAACCGAGACCACCACCTCATGTAGGACAGCTGGAGAACCGAGCTCCAGCTCCATAATGACAAGCGGATGGACATAAGCGGCTTGTCCTCAACTTAACTGTCGCCTTTGGGCGCCGCCCCGAGCTTGCAATTAAAAAATACTCACTGGCTCCCAATAAACCGGGGAAAAAGCTCTTTGAGTGGGCGCACTTACCTACCCCGTACTCACCTGCCAAAGATACCAACTTTAAACACCCGAAACTCGTTAAGATTTACTCTTTATTTATTTTATTTTTTATTTAGCAGCAACCTTAGGAAGTTCAATTGAAACACCGATAGACTAGCGTCTGAGTTTAGTTTACGAGTACGATCATAATCACAAGTAGGTAAAAAAAATACAATACTCCCCTTACCACAAAAAAAAAACAAACACTTTATATGGTACATATTTACAGCGATCCTTGGGGCGAAACCTCCTCGAAGAGCCAACAGCTTACAGCTGAGGACTGTCGGTGGCGCAGGGGGCGGTATTGGTCACCACCGAATTAGCGAGGTGCTCGTGCCGCGACCGACTTCGCCAGGTGCCCATGCCCATGGCTAGGCCGGGATTGAGACTGATGTTGGTGTTGATGTTGGCATTCGAATAGGCAGCCGGTCCCGCCTGGCTGGCGGAGAGTCCTCCAGCCACTCCGCCCATGCCACCACCTCCACCTCGTCGCCAGGGCAGCCCCTTGAAGGTGTCCACAAAGGCGCGCCGGAAGCTGGCGTTCATGAAGCAGTAGGTAATGGGATTGCAGCAGCTGGAGGAGTAGGCCAGCAGCTGGAGGAAACTGATGGCCGTGTAGTCCACATACTCGTACACCACCGGCCCAATCAGCATCACCATCGTGTTGATCACGTACAGCGGCGTCCAGCAGATGAAGAACTCCAGCACCAGGACGAACAGCATCTTGACCACCCGCTTCTTGCTCTCCAGTGTCTTGGCCTCGTTGGATCTAAGTGGGTTTAAATGTGGAGTGGTAGTGACTTGATCCGGGGATCCTATCTGAAAAGTACCTGCGTAGAGCCGCATCGTGAACGCGAATACTGGGCGAGGAGGTCTTGGCCAGCGTCACCGTCGTCGTCGTCGTGGTGGTGATCACAGTAGGAGTTGTCGCCCTCGTTGTCAAAGTTGTCGTTGCCGTTGCTGTTGCCTCTGCATTGCCATTGTTGTTGTTACTACTTTCTGTACAGATTAAAGAAAATATAGAAAAAGGTTTTATTTAGATTAGATTACTACATAAACGTACACTGGTACAATAAAAAAATGGGTTTGCAAAGATTAAAATCATAAATTTTAAATATTTTTCGCTGTTTTTCCGGTTTTTATACGGAATCCTTTTAATTTAATAATAATAGTTAATTTAAAGATTTTGATCTTTGATTTTAAAATAAATTCTTTTTTGACTGACTTAAAATGGACTAACACCCTACCTTATATTTTGCACTTTGAATCAAAGATTTTAAAGTTACATCACGCTATTTAAATACTTTATTAATTAATTAAAATTAATTTAGATATTTAACAAAAATCTTTGCTTTCAATATTTTCCACTTCACGAATAATACAATTTTAATGTGATGTGTTATGGATATCATGTCATGTGTAAATATTAATTAATTTAAATTTTTAATAAACATTTCAATGATTTATTTCCAATGTACGAATAATACAATTTAAATGTGAAATACATTTCTCTATTTTATAGAGTAGTTTTAATACTTCCTCGTGTAATTATTATGCTGATATTAAACTTTTTATATTTTTTACCAACTTTAATTTCTGTGCATATTAAATTATATTATTATAGGTACCTACAAACGTAGCTTAAGGCCACAGCAGCTATAGCTACTGTTAAACACCAAGGTTATAGGCAATTTATAATTTCCTGTTCAACCTGACAATAAATAAATAAAGAAAATATTATAGGTACCTACCATTATAGACCGCGGTGGCGGTGAGGACCAGGATGCAGTTGCTGCTGCTGCTTGTGCCCGGCGTGGGTCCGCCTCCGGCGGCAGTTCCTCCTCCGGATGCGGGCAATGATTGCTGCAGGATGCGCCCGGTGTCCTTGGCCATGCCCACGTAGAGGGTCCTTGTGATGAGGATGTAGGCCACGCAGAGCACCAGAAGGGGAAGGACGAGCAGCAGGAAGTCTAGCAGGATGTTGTAGAAGAGTTCGTAGCCCTGGTCGGGCCAAAACTCGCGGCACTTGCAGTAGCCTGAGGGTCGAAAAAAAAAGGAAAAAGGGGAGGGCGTAACAACTGGCTGATAATCTCCTGGGTGTTTTAGCTACTCACCAGGACGACTGGTGGGTATCAATTGACTAAAGACCGCGATGGGAGTCATGCACAGGATGCCGCCCAGCCAGATGAAGCCGATGATCTTGTAGGCGTGGCTGATGGTCTGCCAGGATCGAGAGCGTAGAGGATGGCAGATGGCGTAGTAGCGTTCACAGGATATGGCCACCAGGGTCCAGGACGAAACGGCCACGGAGGCGGCTAAAAAACGGGAAATGGAAGGAGCAGAAGGAAACTTTAAGGAAGGACTCAGCTGCACCCTGCTACGTGTCGAGCTCCGTGTCAAATCGCTTTCATTAGAAAGTCCTTTTGCCCGCACTCGTTGCATTTTAATTACACCATTTGCATATTAAAACCAGACGACGGGCTCCCTCACTTCACACTTTACTTCTGTGTGTGTGTATGTCCTTAATCAGAATGCGGCAGGCAAACAGTACACGATGCAATTTGCGGAAACTGCAATTAAACAATTCCCCCGCCGCTCCCTTTTTCTTCTCTTCTCCGCTTCTCCTTTTTGTCCGCCTGTCATTTAAACCTATTAGGAGATTCCCCATTATAAAGCAATTTACCCCCTCACACATTCCATTCCCTGGGGTGCGATTCCAAACGGCAATGGTATCAATGGTATGGTGTGTAAACAACATGCATATGCATGTCTGCAATAGGGTGGACCTCAATAGGAAAATACTCGAAATAGGTAAATGTACTCTAGGGTGGTCAAAAAATTAGAATCTTATTCTTAAGTATTAGTACAATCGAATTGGGTTTGCAACTATGCCGCCCAAGTAATAAAATAAAATACCTTTTTTATCGAGGGCAACAGTGCGTATGAGTGATAAACTTTTAAGCCGATTTTGAAATTAACCTTTATAGTAAAAATTGAAAAACAAGACATACTTGTAAATTTTTTGAATAGGTTAACTCTTATTTACAACCCCTGCAGTTTTCAGACCCCAAAATTATTGTTTTTTTAAATGTATTTTAGTAGGCCTTTAAAATTCCCATTAAAATGTGGACAGAAAAATGTCTGATAACACTGTGCAGCATTTTTAGTGCTTTTTAAATTTACCTCGATGGATGCTATATTTTTGGTTTCGTTACGAATTCCCAAGTTAAACTGCGTTTTCCAAAAAGTTCCCCGACGCAAGGATTCTTAGCAAAAGGACCTCAAAGTTCGAAAAATGCTGAAATTGGCCAACTTTGCGGAGCTCTTAGAGGCAAATGGATGCATGGTTTGATTCCATGTTAAAGTTTTTTAAAAGATACACCCCTTATCTTTTAAACCCCATACTTAAAAAATTTTTAAGATTTTTTTTAAGGCAGAAACAAATTCTAGAAAACGTAGTCAAAAAACATAAAAGTATACAGCAGCGGTCAAAATGGTAGTAGTGTTGCCGCCCTGTGTATTTAAAAGTTTGTTGTTGTAATTGATCTTTGACTGGTAATATTGTATTGATTATAATTTTACTATTAGACTAATTGGATAAGAAAAAATTACAACATCAAACTTTTAAAAACACAAGGCGGCAACACTGCTACTATTTTGACCGCAGCTGTATGTTTTTCAGTTTTTTGACTATGTTTTTTGGAATTTATTTCTGCCTTAAAAAAAATCCTAAAATTATTTTATGTATGGGGTTTGAAAGCTAAAGGGTGTATCTTTTAAAAAACTTTAACTTCGAACCAAGCCATGCATCCATTTGCCTCTGAGAGCTCCGCAAAGTTGGTCAATTTCAGCATTTTTCGAACTTTGAGGTCCTTTTGCTAAGAATCCTTGCGTCGGGGAACTCTTTGGAAAACGCAGTTTAACTTGGGAATTCGTAACGAATCCAAAAATATAGCATTCATCGAGGTTAATTTTTGATGCTGCATAGTGTAATTAATATATAATTATTTTTTTATAATAATTAATTTATTTCTTCAAATATTGGTAAGGGCATTTTTACAAATTTTAATTATTTACATAAAAGAAAATGTAATTCATTGGAACTTTAAAAAATAAAATCAGTTTTCTGCATAGATAACTAAACCTTCGAATCGAACAAGGTCCACTCTAAGGGACCTCGCCCTCGGGCTGCATTGTCGCATTTGTCTCGCGCTCAGTCGCGTTTGTTGAGCTTAAACCGCCTGAAATTGAAGTTTACTTTTGATTGACGTGAGATGAGGTCAGGTATGTAACGCTCTAAGCCACCGAAATACTAGCAGATGGGCGCCTAAACTTAAAACAAACACAACGCGTTGCCATTTTTGGATTCCGACCTTCGATCGCTCAACTTTAAGGCTTTTCGGCTAAGCAGTTTGATTGAACGCGAACATCTTGACAACTAAATCATTTCGAGATGCCAATACATGTTCTGGCATACTTTCGTTTTACATACCCCTGATTTCCCCGTCCCCGCCACTCAGTCGGTGGTGGGTAATTCAATTGGCAAATGCAAAACTGACGGCAAATAAGGCGGCGGCGAAACCAAATTGAATTCGATGCCACCCCCGTTTTCCACGTCCAAGATGTTTTTCTTTTGGCAACTGATTGAATTTGATTTGTGCGGCGCCGAGAGAGAGTGGGCAGCGCACGCCTTTAGGGCCAGAAAAAGGACATGGAAAAGGACGAGGAGACCAGCAGACGTGTTGAGCATATTACGCATACGACACGCAGTCCTCGAGCCCCGCATAAATATGCGACTCTGACAGGCCGGAATTTATAAGCGTCAGTTGGGTGATAAAATTTGATTGCCGCAAATAAAAAGGGCCACACTCAGCAAAAAGTACGGGCTTTCCTGCTTTCCTCCTCTTCATTTGTCCAAAGAATGCCATCCGCCTAAGTACTCATTCAAGTGTTTTTTCCTACTCCAGATAGCCGTTTTTATTGTCGAATGGTAATAGATGTATCTCTAAAATTCCTAAAAGTGAATCATGACATTTTGTGCAATCTGAAGATTTGCTTTGAGACTTAAGCTGGCACTTCAACCATAATTGTGACTTAAACAGAGAAAAGAACTTTCTAGTAATAATACAACAATTTGTAGAATAATGTATTGGGAATTTAGAAAACCCCATTTTACAATTTTAATACATTTTTTTCATCCCTTTTCAACTTTGGATGTTTATATTTAGAAATAAAAAAATATTTTAAAATAATATTATATATTTAGATAAATAATATTATATTCTTATTTTTCATACGAGCAACCAGCTCAATTATACCCGTTACTCGTGGAGTATATACGATTTTAAAAATTTCAATATTTTGGAAAAGTAAAAATGCAGTTTTATGGTGTTTATCAATACCTATCGAAATGTAGAAGACATTTTTTAAATCGGACCATTAGTTAAAAAGTTACGGCGGATCAAAGTTTTTATCTCCATCTCCTTCGCACTCCCTTTAGCTGAGTAACGGGTATCTGATAGTCGGGGCTCCCGACTATAGCGTTCTCTCTTGTTTTGTTTAACCTTTTGCTAACTCTAAAAAAATAAGTTTGTAATTAAATCACATTTTAATGCCTTAATCCCTTTTCTTAAACCTTTCTTAATTTTGATAGGGGGCTGTCCATATATTACGTAATCACAGTTTCGACGATTTTTGACCCCCCCCCCCATGTAAAGAATTCTTCATACAAAAAAAAAAAAATTTGCACTAGAGTAATCATTTGGTGGACCCCCCCCCTAGATGATTACGTAATATATGGACAGCCCCTAGTTTATATTTAAAAATAGAACATATTTAAAAGAAAAATGTATACAAATGTAGACTGATTTTTCATAATATCTCAAAACTTTGATTTTCGAGAAACCCACTAAGTTTCTTTTATAAGTTTTATAAGTTTCTTTTCTTAACTTACAATTAGTTTCCTAGGGTAATTTCTAATTTGATAGATGCATTTCTTTCAGTGCTCTTACAAAAAGACCGCAAAAATGTGCTTTGACCAGTCGTCGTGTTGGAGTAAATACATCTGTACTTCTGTACCAAAACCGGCGAAGGAGAAGACGTTTGCGTGCCTGTCGCTCGAAAGGAACTTGGTCCTGTGATTACAGCTGCAGGCGTTCCAGGTTCCAGGTTCCGAGTTCCTGTCGCCTGTCGCTCGACCCAGCAGATTGAGTGCTCCTCAGATGATGTAACATATTGCTTGGGTTTGGGCTTGAGTTTGGGAATGGCTAACACAACAAAGCGGTAAAGAGGTGCTAAAATACCAAGTCTTTAAATTAGTTTGGCATCATTTCGAGTGACTGACAACTAGATGCGGTTGCTGATGAAAGAGTGACAGGGCGGAAAAATCATTCTGAGATGGGGTGTCTCGGTGTCAGCAGAGATTTTGGGGCTGTGACATGACCACACTCGAAGGCGAAAGCGATATCATGATATCATGGTGTTCGAATGCCCACTTTCCCAACAAGTATACATTTCCCTTGCAAATTGTGCACATTGTCAGCGAATTCGTCGAGTATTCGTCTAGTATTCTCGTGGTATTCAATCCGAATAACCAAGGAAACCGAACAATTTTTCGGGGGGCGAAACTCATTTAAATTCAATGATTCTGGCTCTCACAAATGCATTCGTTTTAATGCGGGGATTTCCACAATCGTGGTCGGCGGGGGGAGGTGGGGAGGGGTATAGGGGGTTTTTGGGATTTTCCCGCAAGCCTTGGCAATGGTAAAGTTTGACGAAAAACGAAATCAGAGTTTGCCCAAAATTCTATTTAAGTTGAAAGAGAAACAAAGTTGCTAAAACGCCCGGCGCTTGCTTTTTATCGAATTAAGTACTCCAAAGTGGCTAGGTGGTTGGGCGCCAACTTGGCTAAGCTAAGCTATCTACCTCGGAAAACCTCCACCCCCCCAAAAAACCCACTTTCACATGTCTGGAGCAGATTCAGCCGAGAGTCTCCCTCTCTCACTCTGGGTGATATTAATATTGTTTTCAAGTGTTTCTTTCCAAATTCCAGATTCAGATTTCCTACTCTGCGGGCCACTCCACGTGCACATGGCATGCGGGGTTCTTATCCTTATCCTTAGTGCATTAATTAAAAAACTTCATGCTTAGCAAATCCCAAAAGGCAGCGAAAGTTTCACCAACAAAGCGACAAAGTTCAGGCAGCCGTAAGTTTTGGGCATAGCCAAAGGCCGAAAGGGAGTTTTTGTGGGAGTTGATGGTGAAATGTTCGCAGCTTTATTTATGAACAACACTTATTCTTATGCCTGCTGCCAAACAATTAGCCAAGAAGCCGAGAGTGTTGGCTAAAAACGCGTCAGGCAAATGGTGCAGGCTGGCCTACTACCCACTATTTCCGCACGAAACTAGAACCTTTTGTAAAGGACACTTTTTGCATTCGCCTACAATGTGTACATAACGCCCAAAAACTGCTGTCGAACACATGTTCCGTCAGCTTATACGGCCTAAAACGGATCCCCAGGACCAGGACCCATGGCCACAAATGGTAACGAAAAACCAAAAAAAAATTGGGAAAAAAGGGGAGAGGAAAAACAACGAGCTGCGCCCGAAATTGGTTTTTGTGTTCAACATTAAATTTGACTCTGTTTCGGAGAGGAAAAAACGCGGACTGCCAGTGTCCTTTTTTGGAGGTGCCCCAAACCTGGAAACTGAAAACTCCATAAATACACACCACGCCCTATAGAGGCGTTTTGATCTCAAGAGCCACCAAAGGTCGAACTTCAACTGGTTAAAGTACTTTCAAATTTGATTGCCTTCGACAACTGTTGCGAACAGGGTTGCCAACTTACTTGCACAACAGGATAATAAAATTGGTACTCAGTTTGTGAAATGAAACAGGAAAGTGGAACTTTTCTTTTTAGACGTTAAAAGTTCGTTATATTTTTTAAAGTAAGTACTTTCAAATTTGATTGCCTTCGACAACTGTTGCGAACAGGGTTGCCAACTTACTTGCACAACAGGATAATAAAATTGGTACTCAGTTTGTGAAATGAAACAGGAAAGTGGAACTTTTCTTTTTAGACGTTAAAAGTTCGTTATATTTTTTAAAGCAAGTACTTTCAAATTTGTATTGCTTTCGACAACTGCTGCGAAAAGGGTTGCCAACTAGCTTGCAGAACAGGATAATAAATTGGTACTTAGTTTGTGAAATCAAACAAGAAAGTTAAAGGTTTTCTTTTTAGACGTTAAAAGTTCGTTATATTTTTTAAAGTAAGTACTTTCAAATTTGATTGCCTTTGACAACTGTTGCGAACAGGGTTGCCAACTAACTTGCAGAACGTGGAACTTTTCTCTTACATTTTTAGCCGTACGTTCAAAAAGTTCGTCCTATACTCTTTCTTATACAAAAAACATAATTATGGCTTAAACTTGGGAGTTAGTTAAATTCCTTTTGAAATAGATTATGAAAGTTCTACATGTTCGGGAATTGAAGATAAGGTTTCATTTTGTAGGCTTGCATTACTATAAAATAGGTGAAAGGCAAAGGTTAAAACCAAAAAATAGTGGAAAAGACCTTTTTCGAAGGTGACATTGTGCTACCTTGACTCGTAAGCAGCACAGTTTAAGGAAAAGGTCCTTCCTCCTCCCACGCATCGTTTGCGGCCCAATGAGTCTCGTTTCTTGAATACCCAGGGGGGTATTCCGCCAGGGTTGCCACCTGTGCCAGGGCCATTAGGAGACTGTGTACTGTTTCTGTTTCTGTTTCTGTTTCTGTTCCACCTGTAATTGTTATTGCAGAACCCCCCATACCAGCCCATCCCATTCGCGACCCTTGTCACATGCTGCATGTTGCACGCTCCCCAGGTGCGTGCCGCTTGTACATGTCAGTGGGTATCAGTGCTCCTCCTCCCCCTCCTCCTCTACCACCAATTGAAATGGTTATTTAATTCGTAGCAAAAGTATGCAATGCTTTTTGCACACGCCCCCCGCTTTAAATTGCGCAGCCAAGTATGCTACGCATTTGCGTTTACGTTTTTTCCGCCCTGTTTCAAATAGTTCTCCCCCTCTTTGCCATTCGAGATCCAGATCCGTAATCCCATTTGTATCCCCGACCAGGATTACTCCCACATTACGCAATGAGCCACAATTTCTGGTTTCGTTATCCGAAATCCCCGAAATATACATATATATTTATGTACTTGCTAGTAAATATGAGGAGGCTACGCTCTGCTAATGCGCCATTCGCATAAACACAAAGAATGAGGAGAGCTGTCCGAAAAAAGCCCATTTAATTGTCCGTCGCCTCTAAATTACGCCCACAAAATGTCTTTTTAATCACGTCCAACTGTCGTCTTGGTAACGCATTTTCTGGATTTGAAGTTATGTAAGTAGTCTTCGTCTCCTTTGGATGCAAAGTATCCACAAGGCAAACAATGGGAACACACAGGGACACTCTGTGTCAATAACATGTCCTAATATTATGATTTCCATTTCCAGAGCTTTATTTTCGTGGAAAAGGCGACACGCAAGCAAGGATAAAATAAGCTGGCTAGCGGAAAAAGGGGTAAGGTAGCCCCGAAATGGGGACACCTTTTAGCCAACTTGTTATTTTCCCCCCAGGACAGAGCCCAATAAAACGATCCACATGCGACGATAATCGTAAAAAATTATTTTAATGCTCCCCAGGAACCTCCCACCACTCACATGAGGCATAAATAGAGCCCTCAACTTATGTATTTGTAATTCCAGCTAATTGCAGACCGGAGAGCTCTACACGATAATAATTGGGGCAAACAAGCTACACAGAAAGAGGAATCTAAGCAGATTGTTATTGAATTGAGAACGTTTGTTCTTTAAAACTGAGAACATTTGTTCTTGAAAACTGAGAAAATTTGTTCTTGAAAACTGAGAACATTTGTTCTTTAAAACTGAGATCATTTGTTCCTTAAAACTAAGAACATTTGTTAATTAAAACTGAGAATATTTGTTCTTGAAAACTGAGAACATTTGTTCTTTAAAACCGAGAATATTTGTTCTTGAAAACCGAGTAAGATTAAATGTTCTTTATATCAAAACTAAATGGTAAGGAGAGATAAGTTAATTTGAGATTTAATTAATAACTTTATGATACGTATACACTACCAACTGGTCTAATTTTTAAGCATGGAATCCAATCATCCAATTCAAGACGATTGCACATTAGGAACTCAACTCAGATGAGAACGTCAAATTTCTCTCTGTGTAACATTAGGGAGTCCACCAAGGCGTTTACTCACCTTGCGAGAACTGGAAGAGCTTGCAGAGGAACTCGCCGAAGATGAAGTTCCTTAGTAGGGTGCCCACCAGGGTGACCGGCATGCAGAGGACGCCCAGCAGCATGTCCGAGATGGCCAGGTTGAGCAGGAAAACGTTGGTGATGGTGCGCATCCGTCGGTTCTGGACCAGCGTTGAGATGACCAGCAGGTTGCCCAGCACGGCGAAGAGCAGGATCACACTGTAGCTGGGAATCAGCCAGACGGGCATGCCACTAGTGCCTCCTGTGCCCACGGCAATGGGACTTGGACTCGGCGAGGATGAAGGGGAAGTGGAACCGGAACCGGAACCGGAAGTAGTGCCCAGGGTGATGGCCATTTCGGTGACCAAATCGATATAGTCGCCATTCTCCGCAAAGCTGGCTATGCTGCTGTTGGCCGCCAAGGAGGCAGTGGCTCCAGTGGCTCCTCCAGTTTCGTTGTACGGACCCACCGTCAGGGAAACTATGTGTCCAGCCGCACGGGGCGCATTGGCATAGTAGTCGATCAGTGCCCGATATGCAGCCGCCTGGTCGGCATCCCCGCCGTCCTCGTAGTTGAACATCCCGGAGGGGGGCAATCACTTGCCACCACCACGGGACGTGGACATCTTCCGTGTCGGGGTCACCAAAAAAAAATATGTTTCCAATTCACAAAATAAAATCCACTCAATTGCAGTTGAAACGGCGACGCTTGCGCGCAGGCTGGCGGGGATTTTGGCTATGGAACTCCGGCAGGAATCTCGGGAGGACACGAGGAGGAGGCGGTTGCTCGCCTGCTACCGTTGCGAGTAACGCGTCGTGGGCAACTGACGACTGGCGGACGAGGACGCCTCCGCAGCGCTGATGCGAAGATGCCCCAACATGTTGCGTGGGCGATGGCGATGGCGCAAACTCACCACGGCAACTTGTGGCCAGCAGCATGAAGCTGGGATAGCTGGGCTAGCTGGGTAACATGTTGCCTCCTGATGGCGGGACAAATTAACGGAGCAGAGCCACTGCATCCCATTCAACGTTTGGCCCACGCTCCCAGCAAATCATCGAATCAGTCGCATTCCAACGGCAGTTAAGTCCAAGAAAACAGTCGTCACTCCTCCCCGATAACTTGGTGTTTATTATTTGTACAAATGTTCTGTGCTAATTTCACGGCTTGCATTCCCAGCCGACGCGTTGGGCACTGAACAGTGATGGGTAGACTACATATATATAGCTTGAAGTTTAGGGGTTATTTTGTAGAAGAAGAGAAAAAGATTTCTATATGGCAGAAACTTATATTAACCCCAAATATATTCCATTAAATAAAATGTAACCCGTTGTACTAAACATACTTATATATAGCTTCAAGTTTGTAAATCTTCTGTTCATTTTGATGACTTGGTGACCCCGATTCCTTGTTAGCCCTTAAAGAAAGGTGCTTTAAATATATATTTCCAACCCCAAATATATTCCACTAAATGAAATGTAACCCGTTGTATAAAATGTCTTTGGCAGGATGATAGTACTCAAGGCTTTCTTGGTTTGGTGACCCAGACCTATATATTATCCCCTAGACTTACCCTATTGATAAGAAACTTAAAAAATCATTTGCAGAATCTTGTGAAAATGTGTTTTTTTTTTTATGTTTGTTTCATATTATTGGTAACTTTAATAAGGTGGTGACCCCGAGCATTGCTGAAATTGCTCTCAGACTTCTATAAATCTGCCTCCAAAAAATTGTTTTTAATTATGAGTCTGTTCTTAATCTAATAATAAAGTTTATAAATCATACTACTTTACAAGCTGATTTGCGAAAGGTATATTATTGGTGACCCTGAGCCAAGATTTTTTAATTGACACACCCAATTTTCTTTCTGTGTACGGATAAAATACTAGCCAAGATTTGGCTTTTTTGGTCTTACCGAGTGGACTGCACTGAAAATGAAACTGAAAATGAAGCCAAATGCGGCGACGTCGTCGTCGCATATCATGCTCACTCTTTCGCTCTCCCAGCTGCTGTCCCTGTCGCACCGGCTGGATTTTTATCAGCTGCTGTTGGGGCCTCTGCCGCGTCCGCTGCCGAGTGCATCTCGCTCGCACCCACGGCGACTGCGCCGCCGACTTCGGGCGGTCGTCGCTTCGTTGGAGTTGCAGACGCCGGCACCGCCGCATTCGTGAGATACAACTCGTGGTGGTCGGACGACGAAGTTCAGCGGCTGCTCCAAAATATCTGCAACTGTGCTGGTTCTGTTCTATTCTGTTCCTCCCTTCTGAGTGCCTACACTTTTTTTTGTTTGTTGGCGTTGTGCTTTCGCCGTCACTTTGTCACTTTGTTACTTTGTCACCTTGCGAGCGATCTTCTCTCCGCCGGACTACTCCGTTCCCTCCGAGACTCATCCGCGATCCCCAGAAAGATCCGAGATCCAAGATCCCAGAGCACCAGCATCCCAGCTGCACATCGACACCAAATCCAAATCCAGAACACCAGCATGTCGGACGGCATCGAGGTCGAGCAATTGGTGGAGAGCAAGCCGAGAAGGGTGAGTAGTGGGGTGAGTAGACGGTCGGTAGTCGGTAGTCCTGCCCCAGGGTCCACGAACTGTGTGTGTATACAGGCAGGGGACGACCGAAAATTAAGAATTATAAAAGATTGGATGGAGAGCCGGAGAGCAGGCCAGAGAATATCTCCGAATGCACCGAAAAAAATTGCATATTATTCAAAAATGCATTTTTAACCAGTTTAAAAATTTCATTAAGCCAAAAGGTCATTAAACTCGGTCTTATGCCAACAAACAAAAAAATACTCAATAAGTTGATAAGTTATCAAGAATTAATATGCATAAATATGTACCTACACCGGTATTGAACTTGGGCTCTAGCTACAAAAAGAACAAACTTTTTTTAATATTCTTAAAAAACTTTATTTTTAAAAATTTAACTAGTTACAAAAAGTCTTAAAAGAGTTAAGTTATTTCTCTCCATAAATAAAAAAAAAGTATTGAACTTGGGCCCCCGCTATAAAAATAAAATTTTTTTTTTTTAATTTTCTTTAAAAAGTCAAAACTATTTCTTTTAAAAATTTCACTAGTTACAAAATGTCTTAAAAGAGGCTGTAAAAATCGAGTTATTTCTCTTCATAAATACGTCTACTGGTGTTGAACTTGGGTTCTCGCTATGAAAGAAACAATTTTTTTTTAATTTTCTTAAAAAAGTCAAAACTATATTTTTTAAAAATTTAATTAGTTAGAAAATGTCTTAAAAGAGGCTGTAAAAATCAGGTTGTTTCTCTCCGTGTACCGACACAGACCCCGACTGGAGTTGCCGAAGCCCAGGCCCATGCGGCGTGTGTGTATCTCTCTGGGCATGCGTGAGTGTCTGTAAATAACTCTGACATTGGCTCGCCGGCTCGAGACTCCACAAGAACCGGCCCAGAAGGCCAGGGCCAGGGGCGGGGTTGGGATGGGGCTATCGAAGGGATGCAGATGCAGCAGGGGGAACCTAAAAAAGATTGCGGGGGCGGATGCAGATTGCGGGGGCGACTTCGACGGGTTCGATGCGACGCACTCGATGCATATCAAGTTCAAGTGCGTTTTTAGTGCGGCCACCAAAACGGCTAAACGGCTGCACTTGTTCTCGAGACACCATCGATAGCGATACCATCCCCCTCTAACCAAAACTGATGCTCTGTGGTTTCAGAGTCTCCCTGGCGAACACGTATACCTTTCCAGATTACGGTGTTCAAAAACAGTTGCAGTGCTTTATCTTTGGGTCTGTTTTTTTGCCAGCTGATCGCCCGGATTCATGTGACTTTTATTTTTTTTGGGTGCATAGCACTTCAGTTTGGGGCCGGGAGATTCGTAAACCTTATCTCTATGGTTCCAACAAAGAGTTATAAAAATAATAATAAAGCGATTTTGAGTTATCCCAGTGGACAGCAAGTTGCACACCCTGCAATGTTCGACAAGCGCTTCCTGACGCGCCAATTTTGGTCATCCACTCCCCGAGTCGTCGTCGTCACCTTCAGGCGGCATGAATCACGCACTTGCAACCCCAATCCCCCTTTTTCCCCTTCCGAAATCGCCGTCGTCTGAGGGGCGTGAGCAGCGACAAAAAATAAAAAGAATAAAAACAGTTTGCTCCTTTGTTTCCTGCTGCACTGTGTGTGAATCAGAAGCAGAAACCAAAAATGAAAATGAAACATCGACGAATGCGAAGAAAATATAAAACAAAATAAAATAAAATAAATAAAAATAAAAAAGAGGGAAAAAAGAAAAAAGAACACCCGCAGCAGCAGCAGGCATTGACATATCGGCGGTCCCAGAGACTCGGAGCAAGTACGTCATTGCGACTGCGCCGCGACAACTGGCAATTTGTCACTACATCGTTTTTTCCTGTCCAAGGCGAAGCGGTTAATAACCGATTGGAAGGTATTTATTGGTTATATTCGAATGATTTCATTGATCGACCGATTCAAGGCAAAGCGGTTAATAACCGATTCGAATGAGTTTATTGGTTATTTTCGATTGATTTCGTTGAAATACCGATTTGAAGGAGTTTATTGGTTATTTTCGAATGATTTCATTGAAATACCGATTTGAAGGAGTTTATTGGTTATTTTTGAGTCATTTTATTGATTGACCGATCCAAGGCAAAGCGGGTAATAACCGATTCGAAGGAGTTTATTGGTTACTTTCGATTGATTTCGTTGAAATACCGATCTGAAGGAGTTTATTGGTTATTTTTGAATGATTTTATTGAAATACCGATTCGTTATGGTTTTGAGTCATTTTATTGATTGACCGATTCAAGGCAAAGCGGTTATTAACCGATTCAAAGGAGTTTATTGTTTATTTTTTAATGCTTTTATTGATTGACCCATTCAACGTTTTTGTTTGTATAAGTCGAAGCCGTTTATAACCGAGTCGTAAGAATTTATCGGTTATTTTTGAATGATTTCATTAATTGAACAACTCAATCTGTTTTTTCTGTCTAAGGAATATATTGGTTATTTTTTGAATGATTTGACTTCATAGATTGACCGATTCATATACCGCCAAGAATATCCCGCATAATGCACTCACTCACTTACTATAAAGTAGCTTCCTCTGCCTCGCCCCTACTTCATTTCCCCCTTTTTTTTGTTATTTGGAATTTTTCTGCCTCTTATCTGAAATTCATTAGTCAACATAAAACAATTCCAATCCACATGTACATAACGAACATGAATAAAAAACACAAGCCGAAGTGCACTCAAAGCTAATCGAATACACTCACTTTGTGCATACTTAATTTTTTTGTGTTATGAGCAAGTTATTTCGATGATACCAGAAATGGATTTACATTCGTATGAAAGAGAAAAAGATAGGGGGAAATATCTTTGAAGCTAGAATCACTAACATTTAATTATTAAATTCATTTTTATTTAAAAAAAATATCAATTAATTTGTAATATTTAACTGTAGGAACTATAGTATTTTTATGATACTTTTAGCTAGGGTATCAACACTGCAGTTCCGAGCACCTGGCTTTGGACTCGGATTCAGTTTCGTTTTCGTTAGCAATTTTTATTTGCTGTATTATGCTTGGCTACGTTTAGCTGCAGTTTTAGCCATGTGGATGCTTCGCAGTACTCGTACTCAAACTCTCATTGCCAGGCATTATTACAGGCGGCTGATATTGATAGATATAGAAATATGCACACAAATAATACAAAGTATATACATATTAGCAATGCAATGTGTGCTGAATGAATGCACAAATGGGCATATATGGTTCATTACGTATACGTATTGTATATATATATTTATATATATATATCGGACATGGTCGCATTGCCATTTCAGTGGAGCGTCGAGCTGCCTGGCAGATGGCTTTCCTGCTGATCAATTGATGATTTATAATAACATATTTATTAGACTTGAAATTCATTTCCTTCCTATTTGTGAGTGGTTTTGTTTTCACGATAAGCCATAATCAATTGTAGCAGCGCTACTGTTTATCGCTCTCCATAGAGATCTTGAGAACATGACACACTCTGGATTTCCTTGGAACCAGGCTCCCCAGCCCTATATCTATATCTGTACCCGGTGAGTAAGCGACAACCTCTAGTGGAGTTTTATGGTGTGTAAAATTGAAACAGCCGAGCCCCAGAGATTACCAGTTTGCCGTTTGGGAATGGGAATGGCAATGGCTTGATTTACTTAACACTAATTGCCCCAACGCGATCCCAAGAAGTTTCTATAGACATACATAAAATAAAATAATTTAGAAGTCTGTAGTTTTGTTATCAATGTTTTAGGAACCGATTGCGTCAGTCGCCAGCTTTCCTATTCTATATGCGGGCCTATCCTATCCAATCCCATACGATCTTTGGGGTGCAGTCGCAGTGGTGTGATCTAATTTGTCGTGTTGTTATTGTGTCAGAGTTTCTCTGAAGAGATATGGCTGTGGGGACTGACTGTGTGTGCGGACTGTTATCGGGCTTATCGGCTGGAAAGTTAATATCAGCTAATTTTAGCCAACAAATTGGCTCACGTACGGGGCCACAGGAGCAGCTACATATGTTGGGAGTACATATATATAAATCTCCTATCTGGCTTTGGGGGGAATTTTTTGTTGGGTTTCGGGTTTTTTCGGTGGGTCATTTGCTGCAACGGTTTCTTCGTCGTCCGCTCTTTTTTGGCACAGTTCGCGTCCGCATTTTGTGACTAATTAATTCAGAGCCACGAAACGGGAGCTTCCGAGCTGCTCTATAGTTCTATAGTATCTCTATCCCATACCCCAAGTTCTCACCGAGCGATGGATGCGATGCGTTGGGTTGTGAAAGTCGTCGCCCGAATCATCTTTGGGTTTAATTGTTTGGCTTTTTGATATTTTCGGCAGTCGTCGCTTTTCTAATTGATTTTTCTCACCAGACGACGCCGTACTCTCCGGTCATTGAACGCATTATGTATCTGTATCTCCATCTTCTATCTTCTATATTCCATCTGTATCTGTATCTCTAGCTGTATCTGTATCTGTATCCGCATCTCTGTCCCAGCTTCAATGTCTATTTTTACTCGTCTCTCGTTCCTGTCTTCAAACCCGCGTTCTGTCTTGTGGCCAGCAGCACTTCTCTTTGTTTGTTGTCATCCCGTTCCGACGACCCGAACTCACTTATCAAATCTCTGATTCTGACCTGCTTTCTGTCGGCTACTGATTGAAAATTGTCACGCGTAAATTACTTTCAATACAGCGATCCGCTTAAGACAATAAGGGAACAAAAGAGAGCGCTTCATTGGGGGCTTACATTTTCAGACCCATGAGTGCACATAATAAATAAAGGCATTGATCCGAATTCCAGTCCATTTCGTCGCTTTCTAAGCTACTGGCCTTTTCACCTATTTGTTTACTGAAATGAGTAAATATGTTTTCTTAAGATTACCTATTTATTTTCAAAATATGTCCTTAAACTCTAATCATATTTTTTTAAAAACCGAAGTTTATGTTTTGACTTTTTCCTTAAGTTTCAAATCGCACAAAATAAGTTTATGTTAATACGATTACCCGACTATAAGATACCCATTAATCTGTAAACCAATTATAATCATATTTTTCTTTAAAAACCTAAATTGATGTTGTCCTTTTTTACTTCAGCTTCAAATCACACAGAATATGTATTTGTTAATACGCTTGTCCCCCGACTATCAGATACCCATTACTCTGTAAACCAATTATAGTCATATTCCTTTTAAAGCCGTAATTTTGCTTTTGATTTTTTTACTAAAATATTTATTTGTTAATAAAATATACCCAACGTGTATACAAATCAAATAAAAACACCTCTTAACGAGGTAAAAAACTAGTGACGACCGCACCTTCAACATACAAAAGTTCTGATATCAACATTTGTGACGAAAAATTATTACACTCGTCATTAAATAGACTTTCTAATATTTTCTCATTCGGCCCGCCCTAGCAAACTATTCCAGCATTTTTCCCTTCACAGGCATTTTCTATTGCAGCGTGCCGAATGAGAAAATATTAGAAAGTCTATTTAATGACGAGTGTAATAATTTTTCGTCACAAATGTTGATATCAGAACTTTTGTATGTTGAAGGTGCGGTCGTCACTAGTTTTTTACCTCGTTAAGAGGTGTTTTTATTTGATATCAGAAGTTTTTGTTTGTTTACATTTGCTCTCATAGGAGCTAATATATACATTTAAATTTAAATTGGTCAATCATAATTTTTAAAATATTGTATTTTAACAAATTAAGTTAAAAAGGCGTTGAAGTATTTCAAAATACCTTTTAAACGAGGTATAGCACATGTCTGTACCTTTAGTAGTGTAGAACTTACAAACTAACGAAATTTAGCTATTTTTAGCTTTTTCCCGCTAAAGTAGCGGCTTTTTCCAAAAGTCGTAGAACAAAAGATTCCTATATGGAACTCTTAAGTGCAAATTTACTGATTCCATGACCCTAAAATACAGTTCGGATACCCTCCCACAAAATTCAATACTCAGGGAGCGTTAATTGTTCGAGCTGGCAAAAGTGGCTATTTTCGTATAAAAATAACTTTTAAACGTGACTTTTTACAGTAATGTGTTATATACCAAAATTTAAGGAATCTCAAGGGCTATACAGTTTAAGGTTTTAAAGAAAATCGTTAGAGCCGTTTTTGAGAAAAATAAAAAAAAGCTAAAAAAAAAGTTTTAAAAAATTGTCTTTTGTTCATATTTTTTTAATTATTACATTTACACAAATTGCATATAGAAGGCGTTTATAGCATTTAAAAATACCTTTCAAACGAGATGCAGCACAAGTCTGTAGCTTTAGTAGTATAGAAGTTACGGCTTTCCGATTTTTAGCTATTTATAGCTGTTTTCCCGCTAAACTAGCGAGTTCTTCCAAAAGTGGTAGAACAAAAGTTTTTTATATCGATGTGATGAACGTCATATAAAATTTTCAAAACTTAAAAAACATGTTTTGGACAAACTGACAAACTGACAAACTGACAAACTGACAAACTGACAAACAGAATTAAATTTTCATTTTGGGAAGACGAAGAAAATCTTATTTTGGCTATAACTTTTGAACGGAGCGTCGGATTTTGACAAACGACCCCTCATTCGACGGGTATTTTCAAAAGGAATACAAGTAAAATATTGCGAGGGGGCAATTATCCCCACCGGCCCCAACAGCTCCAAATTTCGAAATTTTCACTTTTTCACTTTCACCGCTCTCTCTCCCAAGCCAATTGATTTTCTTAGAGTCTTGGTATGCAATCCTGTTAGTTTTTGCAATACCTTTCGATAGGTGTATCATTCATTATGATCGGACCATCACAGTAGATTTTCATTTCTTCGTGTATATATAGTAGTTGCCTTCGCACACTCTCCTGGTGCGCTTCGTCACTACATGGACTGCCGTCCATAGTGATAGTTGCCTTCGCACACTCTCCTGGTGCGCTTCGTCACTACATGGACTGCCGTCCATAGTGATGTTAAAATGTTTTTTGAAATTATCATCAAAATATGATATAGCCATTAAAACGGTTCCTATTTTTATATTGCCATTGTTTTATATCCAAGACATCTACCTATATAGCCCCTTTCATGATTTCCAAACATTAGGTTTTTAAAATACAGCAGATATATGGTATATGCTATATGCTGACTGTGTTTATGAAGCACTAAAAGCCCAACATATTGCTTTCCGTGAATCTGGCCGAACGTAATGCAAGTGGGCGATTCAATGGCGTGCCGTCTTTTTAAGCGTTTTGCGGTGGCCTGACACGGAAACGATTCGAACTGAATTAAATACGAAATTGAAAGCGAAAGCCCCGATCGAATCTGACTCATAGATGGCGCCGTCAAGAGCACTTGGCCGCCGGTTGAGTGGAGTACATAAAAGTTATTCATTATCGCAGACGATGGCTTTGGGATTCGCTGGGGCGGAGCGGCACTCACTTCCGTTGTTTATAATCCCGATTTTGTTCCTTCCGCAGATGCCATTGGCCACCTCCCTGGAGAAGGACTCGATCCGCGAGGCCTACGAGGATGTGCGCTCCGATCTCACCGACACCGAGTGGGCGGTATTCAAGTTCGACGGCGCCCAGATCATCGTCCACGGAAGGGGCCAGTGCTTCGAGGAGTTCCGACAGCAGTTCGGCGACTCGGAACGCGCCTTTGGCTACATACGCATCCAGATGGGCGACGAGATGTCCAAGCGCAAGAAGTTCATCTTCCTGACGTGGATTGGCCAGGAGGTGGGCGTCATCCAGCGGGCGAAGATGTCCACGGACAAGGCGCTCATCAAGGATGTGCTGAACGTAAGTGGCTGAGGATTAGATCTAAAAGCAATCCTATATATAATCTATACCTATATCCTCACAGAACTTCGCCGTGGAACTGCAGGCGGGCGTGGAGGCCGAACTGGACATTGAGCTCTTCCGGGAGGCGTTGAACCGTGCCGGCGGTGCTAACTACGGAACGGGAATCCGGGATAACTAGGCGGCCTCCAAGTTACTTTATATATATATACATTTTTTTTTTTTGCATCTCTCAACTGCTTACCAAACTGCTCCTTTCTCTTTAATTATTATGAATTAATTTTATGAAATTTAAAAACTGTACATTTTATGTAATATTATACAAGCAATTGTAACATTACTGGTTATCTATTCTTTTCCTTTACTTTTATTGGAAAAAATACGGCATTCCATGGGTATTTTACAAGTGTACTGTTCGAATTTCTATTTAGATTCAAGGACTAGGCCAAAAAAAAAACACACTTGGTTTAAACTTGTCTAGTTTACTGAACAAACACCGGGTGGACCGATTCGTAGGGGACAAGCGCTCCTAAGGTGTAAATGGTGTACATAATTTTGAGCTTAATACTAAGGAGATGATGAATAGAGTAGGATGCGTGGAGAACACCATGTCTAGAGTAGCTGGAAAATTGCCTAATTGCGTCACAGTCCGCAGAGTCGCTACCTAGCGATCCCGGAAGAGTACCGAGTGGAGAGCATCGATGTCCACCTCCACGCCGGACGAGTTGGTGGTCACGGTGCGAGAGCTGCGATAGAGAAATATAATTAATATAAGCCAGTGATATCCTCACAGAACTTCGCCGTGGAACTGCAGGCGGGCGTGGAGGCCGAACTGGACATTGAGCTCTTCCGGGAGGCGTTGAACCGTGCCGGCGGTGCTAACTACGGAACGGGAATCCGGGATAACTAGGCGGCCTCCAAGTTACTTTATATATATATACATTTTTTTTTTTGCATCTCTCAACTGCTTACCAAACTGCTCCTTTCTCTTTAATTATTATGAATTAATTTTATGAAATTTAAAAACTGTACATTTTATGTAATATTATACAAGCAATTGTAACATTACTGGTTATCTATTCTTTTCCTTTACTTTTATTGGAAAAAATACGGCATTCCATGGGTATTTTACAAGTGTACTGTTCGAATTTCTATTTAGATTCAAGGACTAGGCCAAAAAAAAAACACACTTGGTTTAAACTTGTCTAGTTTACTGAACAAACACCGGGTGGACCGATTCGTAGGGGACAAGCGCTCCTAAGGTGTAAATGGTGTACATAATTTTGAGCTTAATACTAAGGAGATGATGAATAGAGTAGGATGCGTGGAGAACACCATGTCTAGAGTAGCTGGAAAATTGCCTAATTGCGTCACAGTCCGCAGAGTCGCTACCTAGCGATCCCGGAAGAGTACCGAGTGGAGAGCATCGATGTCCACCTCCACGCCGGACGAGTTGGTGGTCACGGTGCGAGAGCTGCGATAGAGAAATATAATTAATATAAGCCAGTGATTGCTTTTCACTATATGGGCAATTCTCTGTCGGGTGCGGCATGTAGCGTGTGACAGTCACTTCGATGCCAATAAAAAATTAACCACCCAATATTTTAAATTCAAACCAAATACATTTTAAAGAAGAAAGAACAAGAAACACTATGAAATTAACAGCACTAAAATATTCCTTCACGTTTCGTTACATTAGAAAGTTAAGCAGGAAGTCAAAAAAGTCACTTCTATTGGTGTCGCGTGCGAAAGTCTTGGTTTTTTTTATACATCTTAAAAACGAAATAAACATCCTTTAATTTGAGCCTAGTGCCAAAATAAAAGAAGTCGTGGAAGACGGTTTTTTTTCATCTGCAAAGCGTAAGAACGTCGCGTGCGACAGCAGAGAATTGCCCATATATTTCTTACTCACCTGGCGGAGTGGGCCGAGCGGTGTGAGGAGTGCGGATTGACCAGCACACAGTGCATGGGCTGGTCATCGAACTCGCGATGATGATAGGCATCCACGGCCATCTCGGCGTGTTCCAGTGACTTGTAAATCACCTCCGCCGTGCCGGGACGCACCACATGGGCATCGTACATTGGTCCAATGTCGCTGAATAGCTCGCGTATATCCGCAGTGGTCACGTTAGTATGCAGATTGCTGACCAACAGGCGATAACCGCCCTTGGTGTTCGATGTCCCCAGCGGCAGTGTGGGCGGCGAGCGTCGCATGCTCATCGGGTGGGCCATCGATGGAGCCATGCCACCACCAGCAGAGGAGCCTCCCCCGCCACCACCTCTATTTTCGTTGGCATAAATACCATGGGATACGCGACGATCGGGCTCACCGCCAAATAGACGAGCTCGCAGCGATTCCGGCAGATTGGTGGTGTTAACCATGTTGCGTTGACGCCGCTCGAAGAGCTTCTCGCTGGTATCCGTGTGTCCCACCACCAGAGGAGTGGGCAGCGAGGGTCGCTCGATGCGATTGCGGGCCACCTCGTAAATGGCAAACGGATCGTTGGCTATGTTGTTCTTGAGCGGAGCCGTGGACATCTCCACGTCGTCGTCGCGATTCAGGTCGAAGCCACCAAAAGTGTAGCGCGGCGGCGGCTGCTGGCCGGTGAAGTTGCCAAAGTGCAGGGTGCGGGTGATCTCCTCTGGAAGGAAAAATGAGGGGGTGTTATAGGGGAAAACTTCCTTAGTGCCTTTACTTACCATCCTCTAGGTCCTGCATATTGTCATGATCTATGTAGCCACGCGGAGCGAAGGGTTTGCCCGGCTGATTGGATCTGGAGGCGTAGGGACGACGCAGGCCCGGCGACTTATGACCACCTCCGCCCAGACCGACGACCTCGTCGTCCGAATCCCACTCCGTTTGGATAATGCCGCCCGGGCGGTTCGACATGGTGATGGTGCGCTGGCCAAAGTGACCCATATGCACCCCAGATCCGCGGGCATGACGAGATGGCAGTGGCTCTCCGTCGGCATCGAGGGTCGGTCCCAAGGGGCGGGACTTCTTGCGCTCCAGGAGCAGCTGGCGGGCATCGATGCCCGAGTCGCGCATGCTCTGGTTGAGCAGATCCCGGGCATCGGCTATCTTGGCACGTGTCTTCTGGATGATCTTGTTGCGGGCGTCGAAGGAGCGCTGGGCGGGCGGATCCGATTGAGAGCCACCCGAACCGGTGGCCTTGAAGGCCGGCTTGTTGAGCACACGACGCGGCTTGGTGTAGTTGGCATTGCTGCAGGGGGAAATCAGGAAAGATAAACGCATGGAGTGCAACGCCATTTTTTCCGCCTTCGTACTTACAACTTCTTGTCCGCGGGTCGACCGCCATGTCCACGCTTCCGCTCTATAATCTCGTCCAGGCTCAGTTCGATGTCCATGGCTCCCGGCTTTCGCTATTAGCGAAAAGATGTTAACGATGTGCTAGAGAAAGCAGTTCTCCAAAAAAATTGCAATTTCAATAGTATTTTCTACTCGGTTTGTTAGAAAAAAAAAAAGCCAAGGCGTTTCAGTGGTGACACTGGGGGGAAATTGTCGGTGCTATCGATGAGAACTATCGATCAGCACTATCGAAAGTAGTCATCGCTTAGGTAAGCAAATAATTAGGGGGATTCCCTAAACTGTTGAATTGCTGAATTGTTGAATTTTGGTCAGCTGTTAATCAGCTGTTCCATACAAAGTCAACTTTCAGAAATTTCAGCAATTCAACAGCCTCGAGGCTGCTAAAAATTTTGTTGAATTGCTGAAAAGCCAGAGTTGTCACCTTTTTTTAAAAGTCTTGGCAACTCTGTAACATTTTTGTATCATTAGTACGCATTATTTATTTTAAAACCAACTTAGAAAGCATATTTGTGGTTCTTTTTACCTTGCTAACACTTTTAGACAGTAACTAGCAATAATAAATCAAATTTTACATGCTTTAAGTTCCGTGAAACTTTTCAACAAATAACAGCTGTTTGAAAATTCAACAGAACCCATTTTGGGTCGTTCCCTTAATTGCTGAAATTTTTTGTTGAATTTTCAACAATTCAGCAATTCAACAGTTTAGGGAATCCCCCTATTAGTTTCTTTATGTTGGAAAATGTGTATTCTTAAATATATGCAAAGAAATTCAAAAATAGTTTGTACGTTTTATTTTCAATTTAGTAGTTTTACTTCGTGTCATAAATCTGTTTTTAAGCAACTCTTCTATCTGAAAATATTGCCCCTATAATTGTTTTCTTTATTTTGTAACGTTTATTCTTATAGCCTCTTCCCATAGAGTCCATCCGTTAGAAACGGTTGGGATTTTTGACGAATGTGAAACTCGTGTTCCCACAGAACTCCATCCACCATCTACCATCCAATAACAGCTGACTGAAGAGCAGTTGCTCAGCTCAACATTAACGAAGGGGGATTTCAACTCGGGAAAACTGTTGTAAAATTGCGCTCTCCTAATTTTACTGTAGAATAATACAATAATTAGATTAAGAAAATAGTTTAAAAACATATCTGAACGTTTATAACATATCCTACAACGAGTATGCATACATATTGCTGACAGGGGGGAGCCTAACCTCTCGTACCCCACACTCCGGTCTAACTACGCCTCTGTCTAGCCAATATTAATCTGGCACATTTGTAAAAAAAAACAAATTTGTGCTGTTTTGGTAATTTATAGCAACTTTGGAACTTTTTAGGAGTACATAGTACCCTTTTAATTAGTATTAGTTATATTTACGAAGTGCAGAACATATTTTGACACTTTGCTGCAAACATTGATATTTTCGTACGCACTTTTTGGCCCACACATAGCAACCTGCTCGCGAATGCTTTTCCGCTCATAACAAACTACAAATAATTCAAAAAGACCCAAAAAACAATGAGCTGAAGCATTATTTCATTTTCTCCCGCCATCGATTTGATTTGTTCTCGCAGTCATCGTTCCAATTTTCACAGTCAAGAGGAAGAATTCAGAGTTGCACCGAGAAAACATCGCCCAACTATCGCATAAAAGAGCCCGTCAAAGTCCGTCAAAATTGGATGGCGGACTAACTGGGAAATTTTCGGAACGGCAAAACCTTACGGACCATCCGTTCAACGGATGGTAGATGGTGGATGGAGCTCTGTGGGAAGACCCTATTAGATATATGCAAGGAAATCGAAAAAAGCAAAGGTATGTAATGAAATAATTTGTACCATTTTATTTCCATTTTAATTGTTTAATTGGGCAACTCTTGTGCCTAAAAATAATACCTCTGTCGCATTGGTAGAAATCAATTTACAAAACAACACAATTTATATATTTGCATAATCGTGCATAATAATAAAATAATAAAAATAATGGGTTTATATTTTCAAATTATTGAGTAAAAGTTATACTGTTGTTCATTTCTAGTTTGAGCATATTATATTCATTTTTAAATTGTTTGCATTTCCGTCCTTAATTCTTATAAATTAATAATTTATATATCTACTGCACCTCTTGATCTTAATAAATTATTTTTGTTATTCTTAAAAATTATATTCTTGCAGCCCTTTTTAGTGTTACCCTTAGCTAAGACCAGAACTTTATGTGTTTTAGTTGCATCCGCCGCCTGGCCACACTGCTACCTCCCGCACATCACAACAACAACAAAGCGTAACACAGGGGAAAAAAGAGCAAAATAGTGCCAGGCCAGCTACCAAATATTTATATTAGAATTTCATTTTCCGGCTGCGAAAAGCGCGCTTTTTATTGCGATTACTTAGTCTGCTCCCCCCGACACACACACACACACACACGCAGGCACACGGTGATTGCGCAATTCCAGTGGAACGAGAGTGTGCTGGTGTGCGGGGTGTGTGTGTAAACAAAATCGAAATCGAAACAACGGGAATTGATTTAGAACGAGTGGAGCGGAGCTTTTGATGGGCAACTCGCAACCGCGGAATGCGAGCAGAAGCAGAAGGACATCGCAGTGGCCACAAGGAGGAGGAGGAGGAGCAGCAGCGGAACTAGGCGCCACCACCGATCATCGCCAGCAGCAGGAGCAGCGGGAGGAAGAGCAGCAGGAGGAGCAGCAGCAGCAGGAGCAACAGGAGCAGGTCGTGAATCCCAGGAGAAACCAGCTGCAATCCGATCCTCCAGGCGAGGCGGAGCCACAATCACAGCAGGTAATGAGTAATGAGAGGTGGTGAGTGGGTGGGTGGTGGGTTGCTTGGTAAATAGGACAGGCTGATAAGGCAACCCACATAGGTATAAACATACAAACATATGTGCGTATGTATGTGTTGACCATGTTTTCCCTCGTCAGCGCAAATAAATACTGCGTCATTAATGGGCGTTGGGTTCGCATTTTACCCCCCTTATTCAATTACGACGCGGCTTTTGACCCCTGACCCCTTCCCACCCCCTCGCAATCCACCCAAAAACAAAGCACGTGCGTGGGGGCGCTCTTTTCCGCACTTTTCAAATGCCCCCAAGTATTTCCGCATTCGCATACGGATTTTCATGGCCATGCCAATTGAGCCTCCCGCTGCGCAAATTCTGGCGCCCCCTTATCAAAACCGCCCTCCCCCCGCCCTCTCGTTCCACCCCTCCAGCACAACCGAGGATCACATAGCCCACATGGAGATCCAGAGATCCAAAAGATCTGTTCAAACATATACATATGTATGTATGTAGACTCCATGTGCGTGTGTGTAACCATACGGAATATGGTGACCCTCAAGCGAAGAAACGCTGGCCACAGTCGCGGTCAAAAATATTGAACAAGTGTCTCAAAAACAAAAATAGTGAAAATCACCTTTTTATGAAATTTAAAATTTAAAATTAAAAAAGTATAGAAATCATAATATGTATGACAAGAGAACCTCATCAGTTTTACAAACATATGAATGGGTTTTATAAAAGAGCATTTAATACATTATGAACTACCTGTAGCTCAAATTGTTTAAAAATGTTTATTATTATTATTGTAAACACTTTCTTTTATGAAATTTAAAGTGAAAATTACAAATTAAAAGCTGTATGGACTAACAGATCAGCATTAAAAAATACCTTTTCAAAGATATATTTGTGTAAACATATAGCAACTACCTGTAGCTCAAGTTGTTTAGAAATATTCATTATTTAGCATTGGAAACACTTTCCTTTACGATATTTAAAGCACAAATTACAAATGAATTCTAATTCCTTTTTTTAATTTCCTTTTCAAAGATACATATATGTCTAAACATATAGCAACTACCTGTAGATCAAGTAGCTTAAAAATTCAGCATGTATATATTTTTAAGAAATCAATATATTTTCTTGCAATTGTTTTAAGGAACTTTTTTTTAATTTCGAAACATCCGATAATCTACCACCTTTTGTGGACCCCACTGTATGGGCTGATTTTGATTCGCTCTCTCGCTCTCTTTTGCGATCCGAACCCAGCTGTTCGATCATCGGTGTCGTTATTTGTTTGCAAATATTCACAGGCCATAACGCACGTGTCGTCGCCCAGTGAACATCGCAAAATCGAGTCTACGCCTCCGTAGAAACTCATAGATAGACAAATAGATAGATTGACGGGGTTCTGCGAACTCATTTAGCTGAATTTCCCGGCGAAAACGGGTCGGGTAACCGTCGAAAACGACTGGCAGGTAAGCCGTAATAAATCCGCAGAGCCGCTGAGTTTTCAGGCCCTTTTGTTGGCTTCCAGTCCAGCTTTGGCCATTTAGCAGACAGACAGACAGTCCGCCGCGTGTTCAGTTTTATAATATAGTGAAGGGCAATAGCTATATATACCTACAATCGCAATTGTGTATACCAAATCCTAATGATCTGACTTGGTTTTTCAGCAGCAACAGCTTTCTACTTGGAGTCTCGGCAGCCTCAGCGGAGGACGACTCAACTGGAGCTTTTCCGGGGCCCGCAACTCATTTCGCCATCGGAACAAGGCGACGCGAAAGAGGTAGATTGCCTTTAACCTGTCCCTTTGATGGCCTTTTAACTTATAGAACTCTATTTCTTCTCAGCTTGACCTCGCTTCATGGCTCTCGTCGTGGCAAAACACAGTGGCACCGACCTCTGACTAACTCAATATTTAATTCACACTTCAAGGAGTCCAGCCGCAACGATCTGTACCAAATCGAACATCTGGTGGCCAAAGGAGCCTTTGGCGTTGTCTTCAAGGTGTCCACTAAAAGCGACAAGAGCTTGTGTTACGCCTTAAAAGTGCTAAAGAAATCAAAGGTAATCCTTTAATTCAACCTGGATATTTAATTTATTTTTTTAATATCCCAGCGCTATAAGTGCACACTTATAATTATCGCGCTAGTCACATTGAGTTGATATTTTTAACTTATTATTATTTTTAAGATATTTGAACAATTTTCCTTGCTTACATACTTAATTCTTTTATTATTTTTTTATATATTAGATATTCGAGGAGAATTAGTTACTTACCCATATTTATTTTTCAGCTCATCGAGGACAATAGCGTGCGGCAGATCAAGGACGAGGCCGACATACAGAAGGTTTGCGGTCATCATCCGTTTATCGTGAAGCAAATTGATCTGTGGCAGAACCGTCACAACCTCCACATTCGTACGTTGAGATAAGATTGTAATTAGACTTCCGAAAGCATACTAATCGCTCTGAATCCCTTGCAGTATCGGAGTACGTGCCCAACGGCGAGTTGTTCTCAAAAATAACGCACTTCTCCATCGATCTGGTTCGACTGTATATCGGCGAGATAGCACTTGCTTTGGGTGAGTTATCAGTTAGTCCCTTTTTAAGCAATATCTAAAGTAATATGTATGCTATTACAGATTTCCTGCACAACGCCGGGATCATTTATCGCGATGCCAAGCCGGAGAATATCCTGCTAACGCAACAGTTTCACATTAAGCTGACCGACTTTGGCCTTAGCAAGTGGCTCAAACTGGGGGCCAATACGCGCACCATGTGTGGCACTTTCAAATACATGGGTACGATCTAATTCAACTTAAACATAACAAAACAAAACAAAAACACTTGAGTAATAGATTTAGCTGTTAAGAGGCGCGCCGATCCATCGCAATCCAAATCGTTCAAAGGCATTTTCGAAAAGAGGGCCCAGAGAAAGCAACTTAGAAGCAAAGGGAACAGAGCAGTATAGGAAAATAGAGAATACATATTATATATAATCTCCTGTTACGCTAGGATACTACTAGATACTACCGCTTAAGCTAAAAAACTATGTACATTTGAAAAGAGAAAGGTTACTTCACTAAAAAAGCAACTGTAAGCTGTGAAAAGCAGTAAAGAAACAAGACAGAGAACAGATAACCCAGATCAGACTAAAAAGAGTCACAATACTGACGTAAAACTGTACATAAAACAAAGTTACCGCGATGAACGCACGCTCGCAGGTCTTCGATTTGACCATGGAGGGTCGTCAGGTGGACGAGGCGGTGGCCACCATCTTTCACACCGTCCTCTTTCACCGCTGCCTGGGCAAGTACATGTATACGGGCGATGCCCAGTACTCCATCGGTACGGTCGGCTACACGGACGTCGATTGCAACTTCATTGACTTCACCTACGTCTGCTGCACCTCCGACAGTTTGACGCACAAGGTGAAGCGGGCCATCAACTCGTTTAGCGAGAAGCTGCGCTCCAACGAAAGCTGCGGCTCCGGCCAGATTAGCCTGGAGTTCTTTCAGAAAAAGAAGAACCGCTGGCCCTTCCCACAGGAATCGATACCGTGGGAGGTGTGGACAGTCCACCTGGATCTGATCAAGCACGAGAACGAGGACGAGCGGCAGCTGTGCCGCGAGAATGTCTCCGATCTGCTAACCGAAAAGGTCATCTACATCACCGAGCTGATGAACCGGCACGACTACGTGCCCAAGACGCCCAGCCAGAGTGAGCTGGACCTGATCTTCGACACCTCCTTTCCGGACGTCCAGCCGTATCTGTTTAAGTTCGATTACTCCACCTCGGGCTCGGCGGCTCCCTCGATGGGCAATGCCATGAAGAAGATCATCAAGGAGACCCTCGCAATGTGACGGGCTGAAAAATTAGTTGTTCAGGAGTTTATTTATTTGCATATTGCCTCTTCTTTTTTTTTTTTTACCGTGTTTCTTTTGAGTCATTTGCAAGGGTGATAAGTTGAGATATCAAGTAGTTAAATATTTATGGCATGTCCCTGCTGAACTAGATCGTTTTATATACCTAGATTTTTCTGCCTTATGACCGTATGGGATTTTCCTTCAGAAAATGTGGGCTAACTGACTGGATTAATTGCTATAATTTCTTATAAATAAATCCAGTCAGTTGGTCGTACGGTTATTCATACTTTTAGTTGTTATTATTGCTTTAGTTAAACAATAGGTTCTATTGACCACCGGTACATCCATGGGTAGATCCTGCCTTGCAGGACCTGAAAAAGAGCAGGAGCGGTAGAGTTGTGTAAATAGCGATGCTAGAAGGAGATGGATGCAATTAGCCACCAAACTTACCTTGCTCCAAGGTCCAAATGCTTAAAGATCCCTCGATAATCCATGCAAAACGTTCCAAAATGCAAGCTTTGAAATTACCTGTCGGCAGAGCAAATGCATTGCGTTAATTATATCTTAATCGCCAGTGTAAATAACGATGCAAGCTATGAAATTATAATGCGATGTTCGAGAAAAGGAAAAGAAATGATATGAAAAAACATTACGAATTCAGAACCCATCTAATGTTGAGATCGAGGCAAGTAGCGATGTAGTTGAGATGTATGTATAAAAGATTGTGATTGTACTTGTAGTGATTAAACGATAGTACCGACTCTATGTATCCATAGAGATCCAATATATAGATGTGTATGTATGTAAATCAATGTTTATCTGTATGTCCAAGCTATAAAAGTAATCGATAAATGTACTTTACGACTTAACTAATATATTGTAAAATCGAATTAAGCAGAATAAATCCTTTGAAGCACACGTTCAAAGTAGAAATGTAATTGGCCTTTTTGCGACCATTATTATCTAAAAAAAAAAAAACAATAAAATCATTTCGACCAGCTGCATTAATCGTTCGTTCGTTCGTTCCAAGTTTCTGCTCTACCGCTCTCTATATAGTCCATTCTATAACCTATATCATCCGTATTCGGCCCGCCGAAGTGCTCACTATTTAGCCTCTTTTGTCACCATTTGTTTGCGGGTGGGTAAAACGTTCTCCACGTCTCGTATCGTTTCAGCCCCGGAGATTCTGTGCGGCGAACCTTATGGCCATGCAGTGGACTGGTGGGCCTTGGGCGTCATTGCCTGTCAGATGCTGACACAGAAGGTAAGCCACCAATTCCGGTAGTCAGTAATTCAATCGGTAATAACCGTTCAGTTCAGAATGCGATCGCGATCTCGATCTCGGCAATCCGATTTCGTTTTTTCCGACGCAATATGGAACTGGTTTGCATGGGGAATGCTCTGTAATCTAGTAATTGCAATAGCCATCAGAATATTTCTAGCTCAGTTTAGCTCGATCTATACCATTCCCCCAATGAAAGTAACTCGAAAACACTTGTGTATTTTTGTTTTTCGATTTTTATTTAAGAATTTTCTCAGTCTATATAAAATCATATATACTTCCTCTCATATATACGTTATAACACTATCGTTATTAAATGTAGTTTCATTATGTTCGAACTCAAATAAAAAAAAAAGGGCTTTTCATTTCATATTTGTATCATAGGCGATACTCGAGGGCTGGTGAAGTGGTTTGGGTGTTTTGCTTTAAGATGGACCGTTGGACAGGCTGATCTGGGATTCTTGATAGGGGGTGCTGGGGGGTGTTGTCTTGCAATGACTAAGATTTAATTAAAATTACATTAATTAAATTATAATTATAAGTATTACTTTATGCCATCTTAGCGGTTTGTCCTGTTTGTTGTGTGTTGAATTGTTATGCCTACGCGTGGGTTCCTTGCGATCTTTCAGAATCCAATCCACTTGGTTCTATTGTTCCTTCAAACTCATATTCATATTCATGGTTGTATGTGTCATTTCGTTCTGCTCCATTTACAACTAAGGATACCACTAACTACGATCGTAATATTAAGACGCTGCCAAGGCGTAGCAGTGGTGCGATGGTCGGTAGGGGGTGGTGGTGCGGCTGGTGCGGCTGGTGGTGCTGGGTTAAGGCATGGTGGTGGTGTAGATGTAAAGCTCTCTCTTACTATCCCTAGTTCTCCTTCGATTCGCTGCTCTCCTCCGATTCCTTCGACTCCGAGGACTCATCGACCTTGGACTCGGACTTGTCCGACTTCTCCTCCGATGACTTTTTCGGCTCAGTAGCTGCCGGAGCAGCCGGTGCAGCCGGTGCAGCCTGGGCAATGGGCTCGGCAATGGCTTCGGGGCTCTTGGTCACGGCAGCCTCGGCTGTCTCGTCGATCTTCTTGGCCTCGGGTGCGGCAGCCACCACAGTCTCCTCGGGCAGGGCCTTGGCAATGGTCTCGGCAGGCTGCTCCTTCTCCTTGACGGGCTCACTGACCTTGGTGGCACCGGCGGGGGCCAAAGGGGCATTGGTCTTCAGGACGGGAGCGGCCTCGGCCACGGTCTCGGTGCTCTTCTGCTGATCCACCGGCTTGGGGGCCTCACCCGACTTGGCCTGGGCAGCCTGGGCGGCAGGAGAAGCGGCAGGAGAAGCTGCAGGAGCAGCACCAGTCGACTCGATGGACTTCTTTTCGGGAGCAATCACCTGGATGTTGGTCTCCGTTTTGGCTGGCTCAACGGCTGGAACCTCGGCCGCCTTAACAACTGGCTCCTCGATGGCAGCAATCGATTCCTTCTTGGCGGCGGCCTCAAGCTCATTGATCCTCTCCTGGCGGGCAGGCTGCTCCGCTGGAATAGTGGTGGTGGCGGCAATGGTCTCCTTTTCAGCGACGGCTACAACGGGAGGAATGGCTGGCTCCTCGGCGGACTTGGCATCAATCTTGGGCTCCTGGGGCTTGGCCTCGTCGACGATCTGCTTCTGGACCTCGGCATTGGCGGCCGGTGCCTCGGGTGCCAGCTCAATGGCCTTGGGTGCCTGGTTCTGGGCCTCCACCACAACAACGGGCTCCGTTTCCGTGCGAGCGGCCTTCTCCTGCTTCTTTTCGGCCTCAACGGCAACTTCCTTTGGCTCCTCCGGCAGGGTCTTCTTCTCGGGAATGGCTGGGGCGGTCTCTACATCCGGCGCACTCGACTTGAGCTCCACGCTGTTGATCTCCTTGGCTGCCGATGGCTCAGGAGTGATGACAGCCGGTGCAGCTGAAGCAGGGATCTCTGCAGCCTTGGCTTCAATCTTGGGAACCTCCACCACGGGCAACTCGGTCTTGGCGGCAGCGGGCTCAACGGCGGTGGGCAGGACGGTCTTGGTTAGCAGATCGGCCTTGGAGCCGCTGGAGTCCGGCTGGATGGCCACCTCCTCGTCGGGAACGGGCAGCGCCCAGACGCTGGCCAGGCACACGGTGGCCAGGAAAAGCAGTTGGCACTTCATTCTGGAAATAGCAAATACAGGGAAAATTTAATTGGACTTTCTATTCCATTCCATTTGAATTGCCCAATCGTCTTCCGCAGAATTATGTTTCGTTTGCCAGATTCGTTCCTTTGTGATTCGATTAAATGAATTGAAATTGGCGGTCGCCGCAGTTCGTAGACCCCCAGTAATCCTCCGTCTAATGACGCCTCCTTTCTCCCTGAGCTCCGAATGGCCCACATTCATTCGTTGCGCTTATATATTCAAATGCGGGCACTTAAGATCACGATGATCACGGTGATCACTTAAGTTTTTCAGTGGCTAAACTCGGTCCATCCATCTGATAACGGCTGACTTGCAAATTTATAAGCACATCTGCTTATTTCCTTATGCTAATTAATTCGGCCGCTTTTTTTTTATGGCCATCGATAAACCCTAATTTATTAAGCAAAGAGCAAACGGTATTCGTAACGGTTTGGGTTCGTAAAACAAATATCTACATGAGGTTCTTGAGCCCCAAAAAAAGAAGCATATTTGAATATATTTGAGTATCCAGTATCCCCATACCCATTGTATTGCTGTCTTTAACCATAATTTCGTGGATGTTATGCAACTCTGTCTCTGGTCGAGAAGCCGGTGGCCCCCTGCCAAGATACCCAAGAGATACCCGAGATACGATCTTTATAATTTACGAGCAGCGCTTGTTGGCCGAAAAAAAAAACAAGCACAAAAAAACTGCATTTAGGACCCGCCGCCAAGACTTGGCAATCGAAACTTGTTAAGAAATGCTGGTGGTGATTTGCGAAACCCAAGCGATTGCTATTGGTTCACTTAGTCACTTTGGATGGCCCCCGAGATGCAGATAAGGCAGGCAGGCCTTGTTTTAAGGATATACCATCGTCACTCACCTTTTATTGAGAAGCAGCTAAAACGTCGGTTTAAAACTGTGTTTTTGCTTTTTGGCACACTGCGTATCACACTAAGATACACTTATTCTTATCGTTTTTTCGGATTTGATTTTCTGGGATTTCGCAACGCGCCCTGCAAAACCAAAAACACAACGCACAAGGTTAACAAAAAAAAATGGGTATTTGAAAAAAAATATTATATATAAGATGGGTTTATGGTTTATATGGTTGATATGGTATATTCCTAATCCACTGCTGGCTTCGCCTGCCGCGTGTTCTCACCGGTCAGTTTCAAGAAACACTTTGAGTGGATGGTAGCGCGCCGGGGCGTTTATATACACTCGGCGGCGGATCACGAACGCCCGATGCCCGACGCCCGACGCCCCTCAGTCGACGTCGGCAGCGCGACGGCAGAGCGGTATGGCCATAGACAGCGTGCTAGGCACGAACGTCGCAGCAACAGCAGCGGCGGCGGCAGAATCTCTGGAGAGGATGGGGCAGCGGGAATGCGTACGTGAGAGCCTGGCAGGATCCCCAGCCACATAGTACATAGATATTTTTAGGCTGCCTTGTAACAGAGGAACCCAAAGAACCAAGAACCCCATGCCATATACCATATACCAGTGGTATAATACCATACAAGAACCCTTTCTCCATAAATAGACGCTGTCTATTTTTAAAGCGAATGCAATTTGTAAGTCTTCCTTCTTCTGCAGACTTCTTCGCTGCTGACCGCAGGGAATCTATTTATAAACCAAACTAGCCAGGATCGGATCGAACTAGCCGCGCCTGCTGATCGATTGCCATAAGCGTCATTAAACGCAGCACGATTTTCAAATGCAGTTGGTACGATACGATGCGATGCGATACGATGATAATATCAGCAATCAGCCAGGGCCAAAGAAAAATGCTTAATTGTGGTTCATTGCAATTGGCGGGGTCGCTTGGTAGATCGGTAGATCGGTAGATCGGGCGGCAGAGGAGTTTGGCGAAAAACCGGTATCGACTTGGAACCGAGACCTGACTATCTGCTAGTTCCACCGCCACACCACCATTACCATCCAAGCCAAGAACTTTAGCAATCGAACCAAAGAAGGACTAAGCCAGAAGACCAGACCAACACAGACCAGGCTGCATTCGATCCGGCCGAGGAACATCATTAACATAATCAAAGCAGGGGGTTTCCGATCGTTGATTATCTTAGAATGATAAATGCCTTGGGGCAGCTCCAACAGCTCAAACAGGCCTGCGGATTCTTTTTATAGACTGCCTCCACATATATGTACATATAAACCAAAAAGGATAGATGATGCGTATATATTATATACGTGGAAAGTTCCATTCCCTGCCAGAAATTGATATAAAAAGCGTGCGTGGGGGGCGCACAATTGATTATATACAACCCCCAAAAATCTGGAAACTAAGGGTGAAAAAGCCACCCGAAAAATACCTATTTATAAAACCAATCTTTTGATCTCTATAATACATAACGCACAAATTGCATCTTTATAGATCATATATTTGATAATTCAATGGATTAAACTAACAGATCATATTAGTATTCCAAAAGTTTTTCCTACACTAGATCTTACTGTATAAAATGTCTCCGGTCATTACTTTTTCTTTGGGTGTACTCATAACACCAAATGCCTTATAGAAGATACGACTGCGTCGACGTCTCTAAGGTCAGACAATCGTTTAGCGGAAAAGTTCTGGGAGAGCTCTTAAGTTAAACGTGCTCTGATTGGATTTAGAAAGACTCTGATTCGAGAATGGGCATGATAATACTAATGGTGCTGGTGCGAGATCGTAACAGAGAGATGGAAAAGATAAACAGGGGAAAGCCGCATAAAGTCCGCTGTCGAGAATATTTGAACGCGACCCATCTGTTTATTTACGACCAGTTTGAGTTCGGTTTTTGGGTTTTTGGTTTTTGGTTTTTCGGTTTATGAGCCTTTGGATTATCGAACATCGGACCGACTGTCTACCTGTTTCAATTCTATTTATAGTTCGGTAAGATCGAGTCCCGTTGCCTGTGTACCTAGGACACCGAACCGAGTGTTAAATGTATGCAAAAAGCGATAATAGCCCAAATACCCAAATACCCAGAACCCGAAAATCCAAAAACATTTATGGCCCACTGCCAGTCGTTTGCTAATTGTGAAGGTCGATCTACAGCGCCGGTGATCTCGTCACGAAAATGAAACTCATAATCTTTAGATACTTACGTTTAGAAAAATCATGCATAATTGCAATTATTAAGTTGCTCAATGATTTCCATGGATGAACGGCTGAGAAGCAACAACAACACTATCTGCCCATGTGAACTATGTGTTCATAGAAAAAGATGACGCATTCTAATAGTAGTAGTGGGGCTACAGTACTCATAATCTAAGCTTAACTTTGTTTTATAGCTGGTAAATTGATAGATTTTGTAAGTCTAGTCCCCACTACTTGCACACTCACCAGAAGATCCCCCAAAGCCATTTAATTGCTTGATCTAAAAAAAACTCAGCTCTGCTGGAGAACAACGAAGTTGGAAGGAAAACCTGAAGGGACAATACAAAAAAATTAGAGTACTTAGCCGATATTTAAATACTCTGGGTTTTGTATCCATGAACAAAATAAAACCATATTTATGCAAAACAGGGAAATACATTTTTTTAAATTTATAGTTAGAAGGAAAACCTGAAGGGACAACCCAAAAAAATAAGAGTGTTAGTACCTAGCCGATATTTAAATACTCTAGATACAAATATAAACAAAATCAATCAATTTTTATGCAAAACAGGGAAATACTTTTTTTTTTAATTAATAGTCCTAACCTAACTTTTTTAACCACTTTATATTAGCGAACTCTATTAAAGATACATTAAAATTTACTTATCCCATCATATTGATCTGTATGGCAAAGTTAAGCTCTGATCTATTGACTTTAAAATGAAACGAAAACTGTCCCCATTGGGTGGACATGTGCCGAGATGTAAGAAAAAATTCGAAAAAGGTCAGAAATTTAATTTTAAATCTTAAAAAAAAAACATTGCCATCGAAAAGAAGTTAGTGGTATTTTCGTGATATAGGGCTCCCAACACTAACAGAATTTGCCATCAATTGCTGGGAAGCACTTCAAGAATTTTATTTGGTAAACTAGTTTTATTCTTAAAAAATCGGAATAAAATGTTATCTTAAGCTGAATTTGAGTTTTTGAAAAATGATTATATTCTAACAAAGTTCGCTTGCATTCGGATGTAAAGAATTCTATTTTTGCATATAATCCGATGTCTAATAGTAATAGTATAAGAATATTGTATACTCTTCAGAAGCAAACTCGTTCTAAAGAAAGGGCAGCTTAACCCAGGCAAAAGACCCATTCCAACGCCAAATCAAATCCAAGCTTTTGGCGTTGAGATGGTGGAAAATTGGCCGGGATCGCACGAGATGGCATTGCTTTTCGAGCCGATCCTCTGGATCCTCTGGTCGGATCGCAGAAAAGATCCAACCGAAGCACCGAACTGAAGAACTGAAGAAGTGAAGAAGTGGGGAATGGGAATGGGAATGCGGCGAGCAGGCCAAGTGGTCAGTTAATGGTTAAGTTGCACCGGCCTGCTCATTTTCTTGCGACATTTTTATGCTCTTGACTTGCATAAATATTTGCGGAGCCCGCAAAAGGGAACTGGCCAGTGGGCACCTTGGGACGTTTGGATTTTCTACAGGCTCTCTGCAGCGAAAGCAATAAATTTGTGCGCCGCGGACACGACTTCCACTTCCACTTCTGGCCTGGCATGGAGTGGCCTCTTTGGTGGGGAATGGAATGGGGATTGGGGGACTAGCCCCGTACTCCTTGTACTCCTCCTGGTCTGCTATCATATAATATAAAATGCACATGCGTTGCAATCAACATCAACATTGTCCTGGTCGTCAACACACAGCCAGCAAAAAAAGAGGGAGAGAACTAGAGAACTAGCATAGATCGAGGCGGGCAGGGGCATTATCATCATCATTATCATTATCATCCTGAAAGGTAATTACACAGGACAACAAACATTGGGTTCTGTTTGAACCGAACTAAAAGGAAGCTAGATATGGAGAGATTTCCCTCCTATAACTGGGAAACCAAAGAAATCCCAGCTCTTAACTGGGAAACCCCAAAGAAATTCCATCTGTATCATTATCATCCTGAAAGGTAATTACACAGGACAACAGACATAAGGTTTTATTCAAATCAAACTAAACGGAAGCTAGAAATTTCAAGATTTCTCTCTTATAACTTGGCAACCAAAGAAATCCCAGCTCCTAACTTTGGAAACACCGAAGAAATCCAATCTTTATCATTATCATCCTGAAAGGTAATTACACAGGACTACAAACATTAGGTTCTGTTCGAACATTGAACCGAACTAAAAGGAAGCTAGTGATGGCGAGATTTCCATCTCATAACTGGGAATCCAAAGAAATCCCAGATCTTAACCTGGAATCACTAAAGATATACCATCTTTTGTAGCACAGTGTCCGTTTTGCCAGCACAGATTGCTGCATGCCACATCCACATCGAGGCACATACACTTACATACTTACTCGTGCCTCTTTGCTGCGAGTACTAGACCTGCGCGATCAGCAGTAAGCAGCGGCCGAGTCGCCTTTGTATCTCATGGATACATAACTCTTTGTTATTGGCCTTGAATGTCCTAAGCACGGAAAAGAGGTCATTGTCGCATAATACACCGCCTGTCCAGCCAGTCCAGTCTATGCAGTGAACAGTGGACAATGACAGTGGCTAGTGGATGGTGGATGGTGGCTAGTCCCTCTTCCCTTGCATTTTCCCCCAAGGGGCAACTGCAAAATCTATGCGCGATGTTCGCCTATTCTGTTTGGAAATTTGTAATTAAAGTAGACACGCATTTTAATGACTGCAATTGAAAAGGGCCCAGCCCATCGCGGTCGGGTTTCTGGAGGCGATCAAAGATCAAAGAGGCCTTTGACCAGATGTTTATGTACATGTGCATATATTATAATAAATATCTTGAAAACTTATCGATGGATTTACGCCACATCTTTTACTGTAAGAGCTTACTTCCTGCCGCCGTTTGTTTAGGACATCCTCTCATCGGCAGCTTAACACTCTGAAAACCGCAATGGTCATCTGAAATGAAATCTTGCAGATTGTTTTGCGGTTTTTGCTGCTGCGCACTTTGTTTTGTCAATCTGTTCTTGCCGTTCCTTTTTTTTTGTTTAACTGACTATGCAATAAGCGATGTACAGTCGATTAAGACAATTAACTGTGGACATTAATTCTAGGAAATATAAAAATAATAATCACTATCAAGTTTTTTTTGCGCGCACTAAACTTTGTCGCGACGATAATTGGCCAACAGCCGAGCGGCAGATGGAGAAGGAAGGCGGTTGATGACCTATGATAGTTCAAACGAAAGATGGATTCCAGCAACCCATGACTGGGCCAGGGCCAAACGGATGATTCTGTGATCTGGTTAGCCGAAATCAAAGGCAGAAATCGCATATCACAGCTATTTGGAATACACGGAGAAAAAGAATTTTAAGCACAGTGGAATACCTACTATCATATATGATATCTATGATACCTCTGATCTTATACGTATGATATCTATGATATTATACCTACTATCATTTATGATACCCCTATGTTCTTATACCTATGATACCTCTGATCTTATACCAATGCTATTATCTATGATGATATCTATGATCTTATACCCACTATCATATATGATACCTCTGATCTTTTACCTATGATATCTATGATATTATACCTACTATCATTCATGATACCTCTGATCTTATACCTATGATATTATCTATGATGTCTATGATATTATACTTACTATCATTTATGATATCTGTGATCTTATACCTATGATATCTATGAACTTATACCTATGATATCATATTGTATTAACTGGTTACCATTACATAAGCTTTCTTTTCCATACCAAAAATGGATAATATTTGCATGGGCATTTGAAATTGATTTGATTTGTAGTGTAGTTCTGATGGAGTGACAGTGATTTCAGCTCACGTGCCGGCAATTACAATTACCATGCGTCACATTGCCAGCTATGTAGATAGGTAGCTATGTGGTAAGGTAGCGTCTGCGGGAACCAGAGCAGAATCAGTGGAGCGCTCGTCTCATCTCATTTCGCAACTTGTTTTCGAATCAACGAACCAGGAAGGTGGCATGGTCAGTCCCTGTACCGCCCTGCTCTACCCTAGCCTACCCTGATCATTACCTCTCCCCTCCCTCCGCTCGCTCGTCTGTGATTTAATTTAATTTTTCTAAGCACAACCCAAACTGTTTCACTTTGTCAACTTTTCGTTGTTTGTCAGTTGGCGGCCGCAGCCGCATTGATTAAGCTTAATTCGTTGCTCCAAATGCAGGTCAAACCTTTCGAAATCTCTCGGCATTAGGTTAGCGCTTAATGCATCCTAACCGAACTGAACTGAACTGAATGGTTTATCATATGGCATATTGTATGCTCAGGCAATCACCTTGAGCCCGGTAATGAATCTGGATGACTAAGGGGCAATCCACTGACATTTCCCGAATGCCTAGCATTTTGCGACGTGAAAGTGACAGTGTCGCCCAATCATAAATGTCACTACCCCTTCATTTTTGGGTCATGCCTGAGTGACAAGTCCAAGTTAAGTTCAAGTGCGTGCATTGCTTGGACTCGAACTCGAGCCATCCTACATCCACCATCCCCATCCAACAACTACTTGCACATGTACACATACGAGTATTCAAGTGCAGACACTGTAATTAGTAGCTAGTCAGTGTCAGTAAGTGGCTTTTACATGACAATTGCGTTTGTCAAATTAGATTTGCATGAATTTTGCTATTCTATTCAATGCGGAGTGCTTGTAGATTATGCTACCTATATATGATACATATAATGCTGGTTGATCGACAGCAGTGAAACTTTTAATAAGAGTAATGAATAAAAAACATTGAGGAATTTCTAACACAATGTCTACTAAATTTCTATAATTATAAGCGCAATCTTTAGAGATTTTTTTAATACATATAAGGCATAGTGGGATGGGGATGACAAGTACTCGCCCGTCGATTCACTATATCATTCTGGATCTGGAACGTACTCGGCAAGTGAGAGTGCGAGTATTACAGCACTCTCCATGGCGACAACGACAATATGTCCAGCATCAGAGCGACGTCGACTCAACTAAAAATTGTCTATTTCTATTTTAAAAGTAGTCGCCCGCTAATTGAATCCAATTTGCATGCATTAGCGTTCGCGGAGCCGAACTGAGGTCTAGTTGAACGGAGCCGAGATCTAAGACATAGGCTCAGGGGTCTTATCCAAGTTATCCCAGCATACAGATTTCCAACCGCCGGCATCTGTATCTTTTCGTAATCACCATAATTGCTGCTTCTTTGCAGACTCATTGCAGGAATTGAGTGAAATAGAACTTAAAAAGTGTTTCTTGTTGGGCGCCAAATTAGAAAAAGTTTATTGTTAGGCGCTTCCTGAATTCTTCCTTATGTTATAAATGTATCAAGTGCTATTGGGTGCAAAATTAAATATATTATTATGCTATGGAATGCAGAATATTTGATTTATCTAGATTTGAGAGTGTCGTAATATAAAATAGAATATAATTATATAGTATATCATGTTCAAGAAAGAAGTATATCATGTTCAAGAATGTACACACAAAAAAATTTGATTGGTAAAATTTACCTATACGGATAGTTACGTAACTATAAAAATTAGTTACGTGTATTTTGTGTTTGCCTTGGGTGTGTGTCTATTTAATTGGTACAGTTGAAAATTTTTGTGGTTGGGGACTGTTTGACATTTATATTAGTTAATTTTAACAATTTTTTATATTATATTAGTACCTGTGTAAATTTGACCTAAAGACTTTCCTAAGAAAGCTTATAAGCAAACTCAAGGAAGGTTAACCTTTGCATATAAGGGCTATGTTGGGATATGTTCTGTAGATACTAGATAAATATAAAATATTTGTCATTAATTAGGTTCTCTCCTTGGGAATGCCCAATACTATTATTATTATATGTTAGTAATAACAAGGGTATACCGAGTACCGAGTGTTTACTCCACTTTATTGAGTTCCATGGTAGAGAACTCGAGCTGACGCTTGTGATTTGCGGATTTGCGTATTTGCGTGTTCATGCGTCTGTTCCGAATTGTTTGGTTATTTAGATATGATTCAGGGCGCCACCATTAGCATTGTTCGGTCGATCGTGTTGTCACCGGACGCTAATTATTTATTTTTTGGCATAACTGACGAGCGGAAAAAACAAACAGAGGTGGCTCATCGCTTTGGTAGCTTCGCTTTGCTTTGCTCTACCAGTGATTTCTTGGAGAAACAGGTATTTTTCATATAAATTTTGGCATAGAATTGCAAACGGGTTCGACACTTGACTACTTTCCAGATTCGCATAAAAGTATACTTTAGCAAAGGTCTTAATCTGTCTTTAATCTCTCTGATTAATCTCGGGATTTTCCATTTGCAGTCGCCGAACATTAAGCGCCACCTGCTGCTGCGCCGTCGGGAAAGTGTGGAGCCGGAGGACGGCCTGTCGAATGCCCCCTCCTTTGCCCAGATCAATGGTTGTCTGCAGGACAGTGACAGCGGCGACAGCGAGGACTTCCTGCCGGAGGAGGTGCAGCACCTGGCCCACGAGGGCAGGGATGTCCTGCGCAAGCTGCTCACCATCGAACCACGTCAGCGAATCCGCAGTGTGATGGCTCTCCAGAGGATTGCCCTCTATAAGGGCTATAGCCTGAGTTCCAAGCAGCTCCTAAGCGTGCGTTTCGGTTTTTGGATCAAGATTAATCGCGGGTTAATCCTTAACGATTCCTTTTGTTTTTTAACAGCTCTCTCCCCGAGATATCATAGCAAGAGATGGCATACGGATCTATGAGGACAGACAGTTCGATCAGGCAACCAGCCAGTGTGCCATCGATGCATTCCTGGACTTCTAGCACCCGCAATTCGAAAAAGAGCCATCGAAACAAAGTCACAAGGACGCGATGTTCAGCCATACAAACAGTTTCCAATTATTTGGGTATTATTTAAACTCTACCTTTCCATTAAATTTAAAATTTTTGCATAAAAAAACTTATATACTCTCGACTCGATTAACAAAGGCCTTAAATTCATTAAGAGTGAACAAATGTTTGTTAATTAATCAATATATTTTTTTGTGGCAATGTTATATAACCTAAAATCATTATACAAGTATTCAAAAGCTTACAGTGATACAACTTTATGAAATTCTAATTTTTTATTCCATTCCATTAAGTAAATGAAATATATTAGCTGCATTTTTTATTATTGAGTGTACACTGTTAATGTTTCGTTATATGTATATTTTTTCGAGCTTGAGAAGTAATATTTTAGAGTGTTTACCAGCGTGCCAAAATTAAATGTTTTTATTGTACTAGAAAATAAAAAGTGCTTTAAAAATCTATAAATGGTCTGTGTATTAAAGGGATTAAATAATACTAGCTAAAACATGAAAAGATAATAATTTATATTATTATATTCAGCCCTTCAGTTGTATATTTTCATTTTCTTGTTGTTGGATCTCTAAAGTTTTCCAAATCCAAATCCGAATCCCAATCCCGTGTTGTGTCAAAATCAGTTACGTCAATGGAAGGCGTCAAATGCGTTTCCTGTCCAACGTCATGGGGTCGTGCGTGGTGTTTGTCCAAACATTCCATGGAGGAGTAATTGAAAAGCTCCGCGTGGGTGGCTATACATTACCCCATTCAAAGCCCACCTACGCTTTTCCCCAGAGCTTTTCCGTTTAAGCTTTGTCAGCTGCTCAGGACGGCAGGATGTGTGAGAACGAACAGCCGGGAGTAGCGAGAGCGAGTCCGAGAGAGCGAGAGCGTACTCGTTGGAATCCTTGCAGAGCGGCAGAGCGGAGGCGGAGGGGGCAGCAGCAGCAACAGCGGCAGCGCAGTTACAGTTATTGGCAACAACAAATACATACACATGCACACTCGTACACTCGTACACTCGCACATCGATATCCGTATCCAGAAGAGTTCCTTTCTAGAGTCGTCGACGTCGGGTGAAGTGGACACAAAAAAAAGTGGACAAATTTCGAGTGGAGCATGGACTACGGTCACCGATGACTGCCCAGTGACTCGCAGGCGAGGCAGTTCGTCAGCCCACACAGGGACACACACACCAAACGCACACACACTCGCTTACATGGCTCTGCGCGAGATTAGGCAACTCCATCCAGGACACTAGACCCTCGACCGCCATGGCACTGGTGCACACATTCCTGGGCACCTGGGAGGTGAGTTTGAGTCCAAGCTATACTTAAACATATATGTTATATATACTATACACATCTCAGATCGTCTGCTGCACCTTCGAGGGAAAGCGGGAGCTTTCCGGTTTAGAGGGGTAAGCCCACTCTTTCCTCATCAAATATTTCACATAAACTTACCCCCCTTTCAGCATTAAATTCCGCCTGGATGACACCAGCGATATTACCTGGTACAATGACCTGGTCAGCCCACTGCCCGAATCGAAGGACTGCGGCACCTTCTGCGAATCGGCCAGCGTGCTCTTCAGCTGCGAGACCTTCGACGTCCACGAGCTCAATCCGCGTCTCGTTTTCGGTGCCTTTGCCGGCCACAGCATTGAGTTTAGTGTGAGTATCTCTGAATAATCTACTCCAGGATCCTAGGATTAACCTCCCTGCTTCCCAATATAGACCAATACCTTAACGCCGACTGATACGCTGGTTTTGAGCTGCGAGAACTGGTATGCCGTCGAGTGCAAGCGCCTGCAGGATGGCCAGGCTGCCGGCCAGGAGAAGCAGCTGAGCTTCGGCGAGGCCCTGCAGGAGTCCTACTTTAGCGACGTGATGGTCAAGAGCTCCGGCGGCCTGGAGTACGCCCTGCACGCCTCCATCCTTCGGCTGAATGGCTTCGATTGCAGCATGTGCGTGAATAGTGCTCCCTCGTCGGCGGCGGGGGCGGCCGCTCGTCCTGCGGCGAGGACCTGCCACAGCGGTCCGAATACCCCTAATCCCATTAGGATATCCGTGGCCCCGGCCAACGATGAGGGCGGGCATGACAAGTCCCTGCCACGCCTGAATCTATCGCCCATTTACCTGCAGCCGCCCTGTGACTTCCAGACCATGCCAGGCTTGGGCACCCAGCGAATGCATCAGTTTAGCAGCAGCTTCAATTGCCTGAGCAACGGCAATGCCGGCGATTCGGCCTCGGTGGCCAGGACGACGGGTCTGCTGAGCCTCGAATGTGGCGGTGGCGGCGGTGGCGGCGGTGGCATGTACCGTCTGCCGCCCACCTCGCATTCGGATTCGCACCTGGAAACTTCGCAGTCGCACTGCAAGAACATATTCAACTTCTGCCAGGACCTCATGCTGCAGCCGACACCCACGCCCCTGCCACCGGCCACTGGTCTGGCCATCTGCAGCATCCGGAGGCCGCCGTTGTCGCCGTACCGCGCACGCAGTCCCTCGCCGTTCCCCAGCTCCATGGACACGCCGCCCTCGTCGCCACTGACGCCCGTGGGCGTTCTGTGCAACCTGCCCACCTTCCTGCTGGGCCCCATCCTCCACTGGCTGTACACGGAGTCACTGCTACCCGATCTGGACGAGGATGTGTGCGAGAAGCTGATTAGCTTCGCGGAATCCCAGCCGTCGCTTACCAAACTGGTGGAGCCGACTCGCAAGTACCTGCGACTGATACGACTCAAGAAATGTATGTATTTCGGGTAGAGCTAGATATCCATTGAAAAGTATCGATAAAATCTAAAAATATTCTCATTATGTAAACGATATTTTCGATATTTTTAATGGTATCGATAAAATCGAAAAATGTTCTCATTATGTTAACGATAAAACGTTAGAAAAGCATCAATTGTCCGATTCAAATCGAAAAATATTCTAATTATATTAACGATAAAACGTTAGAAAAATATAAATTGTCCGAGAAGCGCATCTATTTAATGATATCGATAAAATCGAAAAATATTCTCATTATGCTAACGATAAAACGTTAGAAAAGCCTGAGTTGTCCGATAAGCGCAGATGTTTAAAAATATCGAAATTATCGATATTTTTCAAGCTGTAATTACTGGGTATAAACCTTATAGGAAGTAGGTGACTTACCCCTATCGTTTTCCCTTTCAGTTGTGGTCAACGTTACTATGGATCTGCATGGCATTCTCAATCGGGTCATTCAGTGCATTAATCCGGGGAACATTACTCGCGATCCGGCGCTACTCTATGCAACATTTCAGGATGCCCTGCGCGAATGTGCCATAGGTAAGATTTAGGGTATAAAGCATACCATTCCAGATTTCTATATAATCAAACCTATATGTCCAGGCTGCGCCAAGGTGCTTCAATTCTGTAATATCTTCATCACGGACGCCACACACATGACACGATATCAAAAGAACGAAATTGTCAAGTACGTACGCACCCGCATTCCCATTTTTATGTCGCAAGTTCAACAGCTGCTGCAGAACGTACTCGGGGTCTTTGTGGGCCTGAGTGTCGATGAGAAGGCCGAGTTGGTGAATTACCTAGTACCTGAAGTAAGTGAATTCTTCAGATCATGATGAATGTATCTTATGGTTCCATCTTATCTCAAACAGATTGAATCAACCTTATTTGTATTGACCGCTGTGATAGAGGAAATCAAAATCTCATTGGAAATCATGTGTAAGGTGAGTTGGAAACTAGACTTATATGAAATGTGCATAGTATATGATAATAATTTTTAATTTGTAGGACCTTAAGTGTTCCCACTTGGATCTCCACCTACAACAACAGCAGGCCGACGATGCTATTGTCATGCAATTGCAGATTGCCGATGGAGGCGAACCCTCTCCACGTCCTCGTCGCGGTGCTCCCGTGGGTCTGACGCTCTATGATAATCTCACGGACAAGCAGCGCCTGAGTTCCGCGGAGAACGATCTGAAATTCGTTCTCTACATGTACGAGGTGCGAAAAATGCGCGACATTTACGGCCGGATTGTGGCGGCCCTGGAAATAATTAAGGACAAAAAGTGAGTTGGGTAATCTTATAGGGTGATCCTATCTCTAATAAACCTACTTGGCTTGCAGGAGTACATTCTGCGAAATGGATTTTCTGAGCAAAAGTAGCACAATCCACCAGAACCTCGAGCAACTGATCATGGACATTCCCGCATACATCTTCATCGTGGAGAACTTGTCGGATCGACTGGACGACAAATTGGGCTGGAAGGAGTTCAAGTTTTGCTTCAAGCTGGCCACCAGTCAGATAGTATGTCTTAGTTCGATTTTCTGGATAATCTTGTTAATAATCCGGATAATCTTCCTTACAGAACGGCGTCATTGCCAAGTTACTCGATCACAAGGATGGCCTGCGGGATGCGATCAGTCAGATCTGTTTGCTGGTGCGAAAGCAGGAGTTCACACAGTCCGTCATTGAATTGGGCTTATTGGACGGCACCAGTGGGCTGTCGAACAATCTGAAAATGGCCGATCATGAGAACAACCTAAATCAGGGGCTAAGCGATAAGGAAAAGCCGATCTATCTGGATCGCAAACAATATTATGATTATAATAGCATTAAGGTAAATGAGATGGATATTCCAACAAACCTGCTGACTAACGATCTATTTGCACTTCAAGTTAAACCTCATACGACATCTCTGTGAGCCACCCATTGCCGCCAGTAGTAATCTCTCGAAGAACGCCCTGCGTCTGCTGCACTCAACCCAACTGGCCGACATGGAGTTCGAGGTGCACACCTATGCCTCGACACCAAGCAAATCAGAGGCGGGAACTGGAAGTGAAAGTGCAACTGCAACTGAAACAACAACGAAGGCCCTTCAGGTGCACAGCTTCAAGGCTCACAGGGTGATCGTCGCCGCTCGCTGTGAGTGGTTCAAGAAGGCCCTGATGTCCGGGATGCAGGAGTCCATCAATCGAAAGGTCATCATCACAGACACCTCACCCGTAATATTCCGGCGCCTGTTGCTCTACCTCTACGGTGCTCCCATCGATCGTACAGTTGGCGCCGAACAGGTCTGCGAACTGATGCTCCTGGCAGATCGTTACTCGATCGATGATCTCAAGGTGAGGATATCCTTAATTCAAACGACAATTTCACTTCATTTGTGATTAAATCTGCATGCATTTTATTTTTTAGCAGTTCACATTGATTTCTTAAAAATGTTCCACTTTTTGTTTTCAAAAGAAAGCACAAACAAATCTGGCAAATTCAAAAAATGCATAAAAATTATTCATTTATTCATTCGATTCGAAATAAATTAGAAAAACATTCAATTTATTTCACATACATTTGAATTAAACAAATCAGAAATTTCATGGCATACTATGATAAAACAAAAATTGAATGATTCACGCAGGGCTCTAGTATACAGGGGTGGTCAAAAGTATTTTCACAAATGTTAATGTAAACTGTACTTATATTTTGAACTTATAATATAAACTTTTGGCACCTATAGAAAGAGCACTTCAATTCCGTTTAAATGACACAAACATTTTTTTAACCCATTAAGACCCATTTGAAAAGTGAGCAAATTTTGCGAAATTCAAATTTTCAACTTTTTTCCTGGGGCTTAAAACAAAAATGTTTTGATGCAAAGTTGTTCCCCAATCAAAATTAATAATAATAATAATAATAATAACTGCAAAAAAATTTTTTTCAAAATATTTTTCCTTGTATTTTTTATGATTTTTTGAATGGAGACCTCTTAGTAAAATTTTGTATGAAAAGGAAGAAAAAGCGGCAAAAATAGCTATTTTCAAAAAATCATAAAAAATACAATGAAAAATATTTTGAAATTTTTTTTTTTGCAGTTATTATTAATTTTGATTGGGGAACAACTTTGCATCAAAACATTTTTGTTTTAAGGCCCAGAAAAAAAGTTGAAAATTTGACTTTCGAAAAAAATTGTCTAATTTGCCCACTTTTCAAAGGGTGCTTAATGGGTTAAGAAAATTTTTGTGTCATTTAAACGGAATTGAAGTGCTCTTTCCATAGGTGCCAAAATGTTTATATTATAAGTTCAAAATATGAGTACAGTTAACATTCAAATTTGTGAAAATACTTTTGACTAGGGTTGTATATTAAAAATAACCTGTAATTTTCTTTAAAAAAAACCCTTAGGAATTGTGCGAAAATACCCTGTACTCCCTAATTGACGAGGACTCCGTGGTCTGCCTACTGGGTATTGCGGATCGCTACATGGCCACCGCATTGAAGTCGAAATGTCTTTCCTTTCTCTCGCAACATGCGCAACTGACCAAGTGTGAAATATTCAAGGAATTGCCACAGACACTTCAGGTGACTCCACAGACTAACTATATTTAGATCAATCTTATTTAATATATATTTCAGCTAGAGGTTATGGATTTGATACATTGGTTTGGACGCGTCTCGGAGCCGTGGAACGATCGCGGGTTCAAGCCGCGCAGCAGCTCGCGGCACAGCCTTAAGAGTCCTTCGAAGCCACGCTCGCGATCCCGCAAGTCCTCGCCCTCCTACATGTGACGCCGACAAAGCGCCATTGAACACACGAATGCCAACTTCTTGTGATAATTTTAGAAGACTTCGCAATCCAGACGGATAATATAGTCAGTAAGGAAGTGAGGGCATAATGAAAGCCATGAGTTTAGACTTAACCGGGTGAGAGGAAGATTGTTTAAATCAGCTACAGGAATGACAGGGGCTCTCGTCCCGCGTCTCTGTCCTGGTGAAATATAACATAATATCACCGGGGCAGAAGGACTAGCCCTAAATATCAAGCCAAAGAGCGAAAGGCACACATGACCTGATTTTAATGAGTTTTACTAAGTTCACTAGTAGATACATAGATAGGAATTTGGCGTATTCACACTTTTCTCTAATTAATTTACGTATGTGTAGGAATGATATTTCCACAGGTGTTACCCATTAGGGCCAGACAACTGAAATATGTAGGTAGAAGCACTAGATCGAATTGATTTTTGGACAAAGATCGGTGTAACAGTTACGTTATGTAAATACACAATTGAGTAATATATATAGAAAGAATTTTCGAAACCACTCCTTTATTTTGAGATTTCTTTAGTTTTGTGGTCCACTTGTGAGGTAGGTTAGTTGTACTCTTGTATTCTGACGGGTAGGTAGAATTTAGTCCTTTGGAGAAGCCAAAGTGAATAATTGTTTTATATTGGGCAAACGGAATATTGACATAATACCAACATTTTCGGTCCACCGAAGATTATGTGCTACACTATTTTAAACTAACTAGTGTATTTTGACATATAGACACAAATTAAATTTAACATTAGACTATTGACCCCGTGACGAATTCCCTTACAGTGGCTATGGGAAAAAGGGCGGATTTTAAGTAACGAACGCAGCGTATTTTTTCATTCGATTTGAAAGCGTATCAAATTAACAAAATATATGTACAAATATTATGTGTAAATTATATTATTGTACTTATTCAATACATTTCTTGTTGTCTTTTTAAAACATATCACAACTTAACTCTTTTTATTAGATACCGATTATAAAATGTGCGTATGTAAGTAACGGAAGTAAAAAACAAAGTTGTTTGAAAAGTTTTTTGCTTCGGTACTAATGGAGCAACATAAAGCGGTAAGTTCTGAACGGTATGGGTACGACCTTTGGTTTCATGATTATGATAATTCAAAACATCAACTGCGAAGATATAGTCAGATCATAAATCGTAATATACTGATCAAGATTACTGATCAAGATTGCATTAAAAATAAAATAAAATTTCTTTCTTTTTAAAATTATTTTTTTGTTATTACTCATACGACACGTATGACAGTTTGAGTTTGGTCGAAAAGAACCGTTCTCCCATTTTCATTAATCGGTTAGCCTTGCCTTATTAAAAAATGAATTTCGTTGGAATAGATGGTTTACCAAAAGGAGATTTAAAAAACAACCACCTTTTTTACCAAAGGCAACAGTGCGTATGAGTGATAAATGTTGAAGTCAATATGCAGACCGTAAAAACGTGTTTTTTCAAACCATTTCAAAATTTTGGATATAATATAATTGTGTTAGACAACGTTTTAAAGGTTTCTTACTTCAAAAACGAATAGCATCGTGATATAGACCAAAAACTTGAAAATTCAGCTCATCAAGATATCCGCTCTATACGGTTGGGAAAATCGTACTCAAATGTTATTTAAATTCATGCAACAGTCTGAATTATTTTTTTCCCTACTAGTATAATTGCTATTCAAATAACCAACGGCAAAGTTGAGAGCAAGTAACGAGAATCACACTCGCCATAGAGATGGGCGGATGAGCGATAGTCGGAAGGAGCTGTGATTTCGTGCCGCATTTCCCCTTCCAGTGCCAAAGTTCGCGGGGCACCTTCGCTTTCCAGGGAGCCGCGGGCACTTGTTTTCCCGACTGCGTTGCCATAGGGCTGACCGCAGCTTTTCCACCCGAAAACTTGGCGCTGGCGCTCTCGCCGCCACTCTCGCTCGCCTCTCTCTGCCGCTTTTCTCTGTTTCTCTCGTCGCGACGGGTCGGGTCGAGTCTGCCGAGAACAGCAGGAAAATCCATTTTCCATTTTCCTACATGCGGACACTGGCTCAAAGTATCGTGTGCGGCGTCCTTGTCGTGCGTGCGTCGTTTGCTCGCGCTGACGGTGTTTTTTGAGTTCAGGGAGCACTAGCACATCGCACATCGCATCGAGCAACATGGAAACATAACTATTGGCGAGGCGGAATTGGAATCGGAATAACAGGAAATCTAAATCATCTAGGAGAATACGACAACTAACACTTAATTTTCGCAATCGCACAGTTTTGAATCGATACAGAGTGTTGTTTTCGGGAAAGATGTGATGCCGTTTTTTTTTTTTAAGTGAGATTTTTCCCTATTTTCCCCCATCAATTTCGGTGAGAGTGCTGTGCAACGAAAGGGAATACGCAAAATCTTTTTTTTTTTCGAAAATCGCGAGAGTCCCCAAAGGAGAAGGCTTCACATTGAAACGAAAAGGAGAAGCGAAAACGAAAACGAAGGAAAGGCAGCGCAATAAGGTAGCAAAAAAAAAGATGTATTTGTTTGTGTGCGAAAGTGCGAACACCGTTAGTTATGCTAACATTGACAGTGAAAATGTGATGAAAAATATGATGGGAAATCGTCTGCATGTGGAAAAGTGCCAAATAATACATTTTCACTTGACCCAGACGCACACCAACACACAATATGGTGATGGTGTGTGGCGAAGAGAGTGAGAGTTCCGGGAGAAGTTGCGAACCAGCTGCTCGGTGGACGTAAATATTTAATTGCCCACCGAATATATGTATACATACTACACTTGTATAAAAATACGGAAATTTGTGTACATAGTGATTTTGTTTATTGTATATTATTGCAAGCGAATTTCGAGGCAAAGGTGTGTGGTGTGTGCTGTGCGAGAGTCCAAAAAAGAACAGCACACTGTAACTCCCAAAGTGAAATATGTAACTGTTTTGCGCAAAGTTTTCTGCCTTTGTTGTTGTTCTGGTTGTTGATATTGTTGTTGCACACACAGACACCCTCGCAAAATCATCATCAATTACGCCCCCTCCATAGAAAAACCAGAGAGTGTGTGTTTGTGTGTCTGTGCTATCTTTGCGCCTATCAAAGCTCGCTCTCTTCGCCCACAAACATACATGCACGGGGCACCCGCACCCGAGCACACACACACACATAGTCCGCCCATAGGCACACTTTCTCTGATACTGTACCGTTTTAGTTTATTAGCTTGTATTCCCCCTCGACAGTGGTGTTAGTTGGCCAGAAAGTCTGTAAAAATGTTTGTTGACTCGATCTACAGTGGAGCCCCCTCAGGGTGAACAACGTTATTCGGCTTACGTCAGCCCAAATCAGGCAGGTCTCCGCATTACAGGAGACATTTTGGTTGAGCTTTAGATAGGTACCTCCATTGAGAGGGGAATCTCCAAACCGAACAACGGTTTATTAATTGAAGCGATCGTCTATATTACGTTAACATCGGGTTCCTTAAGACCAGGAATCTCAAAAATTAAGGATGCAATATTAATATGTTTCCCTATTAACGGGAAAAGAATAAAAATGGGATTTTAAAAAACAACCAAATCTAAAATTTACAGAATACAGCTTGTATTATAACAGAATGAGACGAAAAACCTTTTTGACAAGTAAAAATTCTTTTCCATTTATTCACGGACTCCAAGGTACTCAGAATATTAATATCTTACTTCCTTAAATGGTATTTTCTCCATTTATAATATTTATTTATATATTTATCAATACATCATCAAGGGTTCTAATATTTTACAGTACATTAGTTAGCCACAAAAATTCCCTTAAAAAGGTGTCTGAAAGTATGCAATGAACCAAGAACGTATTCTTTCGAAATGAATCCCTCTGATTTTCGGAATACATTAAAAACCCTTTATAAGTGACAAGAAAGCCCTAGTGATTTCTGGGTGATACCACCTTATCTGGATCCTTATCGTCTCTTTAAGATATATGGATGTATGTATACTACTCAGATCGTCATCGGGTTTTGTTTATCTTTTCTTCTTTGTTCGCACGTGAAATATTTTTCAACAAATTCTGAAATATGTGAGTGCATGTGCGTGGTCATAAGTTATAGGAAACAGCCCATTACTCTCTCTTGGTAAAATAATTTAGAAATCTAATGTTAACTGAGTACTAAAAAACAGGCCGAGTACATTTATTAGCACAATTTAGTTATAAATTTGTTAAGCTCAATTTAGTGTTATTCAAAGATTGAAAGAGTACAAACTTATTTTACGCTGAGCCGAAAGTACATACCGAATACAAATGTGGAAGTGTTGATGCCCATTTGTACACTGCACACTGTTATTTTCGCATTTACGGCGTAATTACTCAGCCAGATCATGATGGAAAGTCGGCGGAACGATCGCAACTATATTCATGTGTATACAGCCGAGATCACCGAAATAGTGCCAGTCCCCCCCGCCGTCCATATCGGATAACCAATGGGATTCGGAAGCAAGCACAATTTTTTTAGATTTTCTAAAAATTTCTTAATCAAAATCCTCTGTAGATATATGATTATATTCCACTATTTATCACAATACTTCGTTAGCGCTTTCACTGCCATTAACGTCTATTGTTTTCCCAAGATGCAAATTTTAGGATCTGTATTTAGTCAGTTATTAGGAAAGCCGTTCATTTCGGATAACCAATGGGATTCGGAAACAAGTACAAACATTAAAAAATGTATTAATCTATAATCCTCTAGAGATATATGATAACATCCCACCATTTATCACAATACTTCTCGAGCTCTTTCACTGCGATTAAGGTCTATTGTTTTCCCAAGATGCAAATGTTAGGATCTGTATTTAATCAGTTATTAGGAAAGCATTCCGGCATAGTTCCTATGCACTGGTGCAGTTGGAAGAGCAAGGTGGGCGTAGGAGTGGATGTAGGGGTGTACGGGTTTAGGGGCTTGGGGGCTTGGGCGTAGGCGGTAACGTCAGTGATTCGGTGGCCTTGACCAAAGTAATGTGTGGGAAGATTAAATCCTCAAAAGAACGTAAACAATGGGGCATCTTAAAGTAATCCTTTAACAAAGCCCCCTGCTTATGGCAACTCAAGAGCACAGCAGCCAGCTGTAATCGCATCAACTACGCCGTGCGCAGTGCACTGCACGGGATGGTAATCAATATCAATGCAAAGATAAGCTCCTACCACTCCTACCAGCCGTAGGCATCTTGAGTATTCCCCAGTATTCGGTATTCGGTATTCGGTATTCCGTAGAGCCGACTAAATGCGTCTTCAAAGTCAATTTGCATCCCGTGTTTGTGTTGTGTGTGTGCTTCTTCAGACTTTAAGAATATATGTACATAAGTATGGGAAAGTTCCTATGGTTAATTCCACCTACTAAGTACTATATAATATATGTATTGTACTTATGTATTTCAGTGCCCTATGGTTTTTACTGCCTTGAGGACGGGATTCTCGTAATCCCATAATCCCCATTGGCAATGCAGCTCATTAAGTCTTTATTTATTTGTTTAATCGGTCAATAAGAAGTCCACAGGTGTGGAGTGAATATTTGTTTATAGTTCTCGGCAATGTTTCATCTGTTGCCAAAGCTGGAATACAAGTCGAATGGCGGATTTATAAAGAAGATCAAACATCGGAGAAGAGCAATATGATGGAACTAGTTGAAAACTTTCCAAACAAATAAAAAATATACATATGCAGGAGGTTTGTAATAAAATGTGGACAAAACCAATGTGCAGCAAATTAATAAACTTCTGCTCTAACTGTGCGAATATGTAACAGCCGATGGACAAAAAAAAAGGGAAAAAGAAGGGGGTAGAAACCCAAAGGCAGCCAAAGAGTCAACAACAACAAGAACAACAATAACGAAGGCAGGAAACCTCCCTCGCAAACGGAAACTCATTTGCCAACAGTTTGAAACCAACTTCCGGCCCAGTAACGACGACAACGACAAGGGCAGCCGCCTGCGACAAATGCATGACAAAAGTCACATTACAAAAAAAAAAAAAAAAAGGGGCCAAAGCGGGTGGGTTTGAGGACGTTCGCTGGATGGGCGAGGCTCTCTCGGAAAATGTATCAGCAGCAGGAACAAAGCCCCGAACGAAATCAGCGCTACTTATCAAAATTAGAACAGCAAATATCGCCAAACAAATTAAATATAGTAAAGCAAACTTTCCCACTCAGTGTTTGCGTTCTCTACTTTTTTTTGTGGACCCTTGCTACAGGAACCCCCCTAAACCCTGGTAAAAAAATATGGCCCAATTTTATTATTATTATTTTGTTTAACATAAATATAATTCAAACATAATATTTCCAGTTATATCAAGGTTAGAAAGTTATAAAAGAAAGAAAGATTAAGCAAAGGCTTTAAATGGAATTTTAGCAATATATACAATACCACAGTTTAAAAGTTACCGAAAAGTGTTCTATTCCGAATCCTGGAATTTTAGGTTCCTTTGCCAGCCAACAGATGAGAAAGCTCCGTGTTTTCCGGAAAGTGTATGCAAATGCACACTGTCCTTTGAGTTGTTTGCCTTCGCTAAGTACGCACGGCGCACATCTTACGTAATTTAATTAAATCCTTTTTAATTTTCCAGGTAGAAGGAGAGAAGTCTTTGCATAAGGCACCTTCTAATGCTTTGTTTGCCCGGAGCTCGGTGCTTGATTGACAAATGAGTGAATCGATGCGGAAAGGCAGTGCATTATTGATTGAAACTGTCCTGCGGGTGGAGGTTCGAATTGACTTAAACGTCGCCCATTCCGCGGGAATTTCATTCGATCTAGCTTCTCCCCAAATAGTTCCTTAGCCCGGCTAGCTCTTAACTTGCAACTTATAGTTGCCATATTGGTGTCACAGCCCCCGTTTCCGATTTCCGCCAATGGAAGACGCGAACACTCGGAAGGCAGGCAGCCCTTGTTATTTTTAAATGCTATCATTAAAGGACGAACAGTAAAACTGGCACGCAAGCGGTGTAGCTTTGACACAGATAGAAAAAAAAACATCATATCAAAATCGAATTCATGTGATATTTACAAAAGAGTATTGTTTTTGAAAAATAAATATATCTGAAATTAAATTTTGTTGTTTACTCCTTAAGAGATTTAAAGATTATGATTATGATACTTTCGATATTTTTTATCGGTGTACTTTGTCACAGATAGAAAAAAACCATCATATCAAAATCGAATTCAAGTGATATTTACAAAAGCGTATTGTTTTTGATAAATACATATTGGAATTTATATTTTGTTGTGTACTCCTAAAGAGATTTGAAGATGATAATAATGATACTTTCGATATTTTCGATATTTTTCTATCGGTGTACTTCTTTTTTCTACTCGACTGGAACGGAACGGAAAGAGGTCGATAGGGCAAAGTGCGTGTGTTAATGACAAAATGGTTATACAAGTTCGCGGCGGGCACGCACAAACAAATAAGGATAAAGATGGCCCAGCCGAAATTGAAATACCCTTGATATGGAGTTCGATTCTTTGGGAATCCTACAAAAACCTTCCTGAAATTGTAGAAACTATCTTAAAAGCTAATGAAAAGTACTCTTATGTGAATTCCAGCTTTTAGGGAAATATTAAAAGAAAATATGGAAAAGTGATGTGTCTAAAGTTTATACTATAAACAGGAACTGCATTTAAATTGATGTACTTTCTTTCTTTCGTACGCCATTTGTAGGTCTTCACCTGCACACAGCACCTTTAAAGACCTGACGCTGAAAACCCGCCACTTGGAGGCCATGAAAGCGTGCTATTTATGGATAGAAGAAGTAAAAGGAGTCCCAATCAATTTAAACATCAATTCAACATCTTGCGGTGGGTGCTAAAGGAAGCTGGCCGAGAGGAGGGCACCCAAGAAGGGCTTCGGGGGAATCGCTTTTAACGGAAGGAAAAGAGAAGCCAACCCGACCGAATCATGAAACATTGTAAGTTTGTTATGATGGCGTGTTATCCAATATACTTACGTACATACAGTTTATTCCTGGAGTAAACAACTAGCCAAAGCTTAAGGTCTTTAAGGGGATGCGCATTTTATGAGAAACTGTTGTGTTTTTATGCTTGGATTTTTGATTAATTAAATAAAACAAGTAATTACCATTGAACCACCTTAAAATCAGCTTTAATTAAAAGTAACGCTTATAATTTCTAGACTAATAAAAAAATCCTAAGAAAAAAACGACTTGAATTAAAAATCTAAAACGAAAACCGAAATTCGGAAATAATTAGCAACATTTATAAAAAATATTATTTAAAATTTACTTTTAAAAAAATATTAAATTTAAATTTTTCCTAATATTTTCAGCAAATATTTCCATACACAAGGACATGATGGAATTCGGATAACTGCAACCGAGAGCCACGTACAGAAATAGAATTAGGACCTTGTTGCCGAGTATTTCATTTCGCGGTTATAAAGCGCGTTAAAAATCATGAATCCAAGAGATATTTATAGAGCGCGTAAATGAAAGCACACTTCCGAACGAAGCAACTCTGATACATAGCACCCAAACCAAACTGTTCCCAGCGGATCAGTAAGGACCAAGAGGAGGAGGCGGACGAGGAGGAGGAGGCGGAGAGCGGGCACAGCGGCCATGGAACCACCCGGCGGATTGCCGCCGGACAGGGATAGGCAGCTGGTGCTCCGGAATCAGTCGGCGGCCCTTGTGCCCGTGGTGGTTTCCGCACCACCACCAGCACCACAACCACAACAAGCCACTGCAACCACGGGGCCATCAACCACGCCCACTCCACAGCCCAGCAAGCCAACCAGCCTGAGTCTTCAGCCGCATGGAGCCCTGCTCCAGGCCATGCAACAGTTATCTCCGTCGGCCGGCGGTGGCAACAACAATGCCGCCACCGCCGTTGCCACCGCCACGAGCAGCAGCAGCGGGAATGCCAACAGCGGCACCAGTCCCGCCCTGGCCTCCACCGCCACAGCCATATCGGCGACCACCCAGGCAGCCACTGCCTTCAGCGGCAGTTCGGTGGGTCACCACCACCTGCAGCACCACCACCAGCAGCATCCGCATGCCCCGCAACAGCAACCGAGCACAGCGGCTGTGACACAAGCCCACCATCACGGTTCCATATCCGTCACTGGGTCGTCGTCGGGCGGCGGCGGACTCATCGGTTCCAGTGGCAGCAGCAGTGGCAACCAACAGCAGGCCATCGAGAAGCTATCACGACCCATGGCCTTCGATAAGGTGGGTCAGGTGGGATTCTAAGATCCTTAGGTTTGCATTACAAAATGTTCTTTGTATTCCTTTAGATGGAAATGTTGGTGCGAGAGATGCAGGACCAGGAACATGGAGTGCCCGTGAGGCAGCAGAAAATGTTTCTGACATCCATACCATACGCGTTTATGGGTACGTATATCTAGATTGGTAATGGTCTTTAACTGAGGGGGCTTGAATATGATTGTCAGTTTTGAGCTGAAGAATTCGCGTTTTGTTTTTGCTAATGTTCACCATTTAAGGATAATTTAGGGCGAAATTTAAGTGTATTATATACATATATGCTTCAAGATATAGTAACAGTAATCAAATAATATGTAATAATTTGTAACTTTTTAAAAGTACACTGAAAGAAAAAAGATTAAAACCAAAGATTCATATTATACATATCTTTGAATTAAATACAGTATTCTTAGCTATAATTCAAAACATATGAAATTGCATAATTTAATTGAAAGATATTTTAATCATGGTGAAAAATATTATACTGTAATATTTTAAGTCTATAAAAAATATTTAAAACAAATTATATCTATTAGTGATTGATTTGACCTGTTTTTAACATAAATGTGAGGATTTATTCAAACTAAATAATATTTTTCCATATTTAAAGTTAATAACACCCGCAATTAACCCTTTTCTTTTAAATAGTGTATATGAATATGAACCCTATTTTCTAACTCATATTTTGTCTCGCCTTTTAGGATACGATTTGATTGAGTGGCTGATGGACCGCCTGCAGATCGAGGAGTCGGAGGCCCTGAACATCGCCAATCAGCTGTGTCTGCACGGCTACTTCTTTCCGGTGAACGACTCGAAGACGCTGACCGTGAAGGACGACTCGTCGCTGTACCGATTCCAGACGCCCTACTACTGGCCCTGGCAGCACAAGGCGCCGGACAATGTGGAGTATGCCATCTATTTGGCCAAACGATCGCTGCGCAACAAGCAGCGCCACGCATTGGAGGACTACGAGGCCGAGGCGCTGGCCTCGCTGCACAAGAATCTGAAGGGCAAGTGGGACTTCATCTCGATGCAGGCCGAGGAGCAGGTACGGCTGGCCAAGGAGCGCAAGAAGGGCGACAAGATTGTGGGAGACTCGCAGGAGCGGGCCTATTGGCGAGTCCACCGTCCACCACCTGGCCAATTCACGCCGTTGGAACCGTGTCCAGTGCCTTCGCGCGATCGTCAGGGCCTCAAGCCCAATAAAAAAAAGACTGTCGATGATATGCAGCGCGACGTTGATTATCTGAGCAAGTCGCTCAATCGGACGCGCATGAAGATGTCGCAGGCCTGCGAGTCGCTCGTCTGCTACTCGGAGACCTTCTCCGAATACGACTTCTTTCTGCAGCCGGCCCTGCCCTCCAATCCGTGGGTGACCGAGGATATCGCCTTTTGGCAGCTGAACAACACCTTCGTCGATATTCCCACGGAGAAGCGCGTCAAGCGCTGGGCCATTTCCATCGAGGAGCTCGTCTCCGATCCGACGGGCCTGCAGGAGTTCACCGGGTTCCTCGAGAAGGAGTATTCGCACGAGAACATACGCTTTTGGATAGCGGTCAATCGATTGCGGCGATCGGCTCACTCCCAGGTGGCCAGGAAGGTCAACGAGATCTACGAGTGCGTGATGATTACAGAATGTTATTATTATTATTATTATCTAATGCTTTGTTGGGGTCTTTAATACGAGCTATAGCTAAAGATGTTTATTAATTGATTATTCATTTTATTTTTGGCTAACTCTTATGACTTGTTTAGTATTTTGAAAGTATTAAGGAATTGATATTCTTATTATTATTTTTGTACGAAATCTACGAGTGCGTAATGATAACAAAATATTATTATTCTTGTTATTATCTAATGCTATATTGGGGTCTTTAATACAAGCTATAGCAACAAAAAATCTGATTTATTGATTATTGAAAGTATTTAGAAATTGATATTCTTATTATTATTATTTTTGTACGAGATCTGCGAGTGCGTAATGATTACAGAGTATTATTATACCCTTGCAGAGGGTATTATAATTTTGGTCAGAAGTTTGTAACGCAGTGAAGGAGACGTTTCCGACCCCATAAAGTATATATATTCTTGATCAGGATCAATAGGGGAGTCGATATAGCCATGTCCGTCTGTCCGACTGACCGTCTGTCCGTCTGTTTCAATACCGTTTGCGAGCTCAGTTTAAAAGCTAGCGCCTTCAAACTTTCACAGTCGTCCTAAAACATACGTATGCAGATCAAGTTTGAAAGCCGACCCGATCGGACGTCTATATCCTATAGCTTCCATAGGAACAATCGGATATAGCTTTCACAAAATGAAGATATTTCGCTCAGTGTACGAGCTATTAACCAGAATCTTTCTAAATCTTATTATTTTACGCATACCTTGATCAGGGTAAAAGCGCGTGCCAATCGGACGTCTATATCGTATAGCTCCCATAGGAATAATAGGGTGAAATCGGTACAAATTTAACGTTTTTCAGGATATTTCCCGCAGAATATAAGCTATTGACATAAAACTTTCCAAATCCTATTATTTTATGCATACCTTCATTAGGGTTAAAGCGCGTGCCGATCGGGCGTCTATATCCTATAGCTCCCATAGGAACAATAGGGTGAAAAATTTTAAAATTTTATTTTTTTCAATTATAAAATATTTTGTTGTTTTTTAATTCATGTTGCTATTCTAGTCAAGTTTTCATTCGTAAAATCTGCAAGGGTATTAAAACTTAGGCTTGCCGAAGTTAGCTTCCGTCCTCGTTTTTATTATTATCTAATGCTATCTTGGGGTCTTTAATACGAGCTATAACTTAAGATGTTTAATTATTGATTATTCATTTTATTTTTGTCTAGTTTTTATGACTTCTTTAGTATTTTGAAAGTATTAAGAAATTGATATTCTTAGGGCCGTTTTCTCGTCCGTTTGTTAAATTTAAAGTTGGATTAAAACCTTAAAATCGTATGTGAAATCAGAGTTTTAACCGTACTTTAAATTTAACAGGCGGACGAGAAAACGGCCCTTATGGTTATTATTTTTGCACAGTTGTTTTGGTGTTTTGGAACTAAATGATTGTAGATTATTATTATCCTTATGGTCTAATGCTATCTTATAGGTAAAACTATAACGTAACATATGGTTTATTATAGAGCTATGTCTATAATTGGTTGGTGATTATAATTATTATACTTTACAGTTTATTATGATTAACTTAATATTTAGGTACTAATTGGAATTTATTTTTTTTACTAGAATTTTTTTAACAGTATATTATATTTTACCTAGTATTTTCTAAAGGGTTTTACGATGCAGTTCTCTTTAGAAATTTGCAGATTTCTTCGTTCCAATTAATATACTAATAAATCTATATATTTTCAGGGAGTTTTTAAAGCCGGGAGCACCGTGCGAGATAAACATTGATGGCAAGACCATGGAGAGCGTGCTGCGGGGCCTGAAAAATCCATCGCGATTCACCTTCGACTCCGCATCGGAGCACATCTACATGCTGCTGCTGAAGAAGGACTGCTATCCGCGATTCATTCGATCGGAGCACTACAAACGGCTGCTGGACACCGGCATCCAGCCGTCGTACAAGAAGCGCTTCTTCAACTTTGGCGGCGTTAGCGGAGCCAAGAAGAAAATGACAGCGGCCCTGAGTAGCCAGCCGAATTTGGGTGATGCGGCCAAGGGAACGAGTGGGGGAGCCGGCAGCTCCATGATGCAGGCACCGCCGCCCGGGAATCTGGCCCGGCGACGAGGCAGCGATCGCAGCCTCACCGGATCCGCCCACGAACTGGCCGTCATCGGGGTGAACAAGGATGCCGGCTCCAAGGTACCGCACTCTCATTCCCAGAGTAATCTCAGCGAAATTCCCTTCAGGTAAGTGGCCAAGATCCTGTCTTACTAAGAGATTGAGAAAGAGAGAGATCTTTCGAGTGAGTCGGTTTAATATGATTGATTTTGTATTCTGATTTTTCGCAATGTTTGATTTGCCTGGAAAAAGAGCCAATCGTTTTCATTTTGTGGTAACAAAGCCTTTGATTTGGTTTACATTCAACAAGAAACAAACATATATACAATATATATTAACTTTTTCACAATGCGCACGAGACCTTAAGAGCGAAAGCCAAGCAAAGAACTTGAAAAATCAGTTGAACAATCGATATAATGCCATAACAATTGATTATATCATATCACACACGCACTGCAGTAGCGATTCGATTTACCGGGGCGATATGCCACAACGCCACATGGCGGTCATGGATATTGGGATCTATGCGGCCTACGGGAATCGCGAAAGTAGTTTGCAGGCACTTCCGTAAGACATGTTTATTCATTGGTATTCGTATTGGTTTTGCGAAACGCTTACCACTTGTACTAAAAATCAAATCTTGTACTTTCCAATCCTAAAACGTAATGCAAGTGTTTTCTTTCCATCTATTCTTCCTTGTTTTTTTGTTTTTTTTTCTGTGTTCTCGTTCGATTTGTGTCCCAGACCCATCCAACCTTCTGTTTCTATCTCCTTGTCGCCTTTTCTACCCATTTTTAAAGACGCGTTTGGGGCAAGTGCTTCAAGAAGGAGGCTATGAGTGTCTAGAAAAGCACAGTTTTAGTGTCGATTGATTTTTAAATGATTATTTTAAAGTAACGAGAGAATGCCTTCCAATTGCTGGGCGAATGGGCGACATGAAATCTTTTTTAAACTTACTCGTTGTCTAACTTCACCGCCGCAAAACCTTAATTATAACCGGTACTCCGGTCATTCGAACAGGAAGATTCATTTATAGAAACAAGGGTTTTAATCATACCAGTAAAATACCTTTTTGTTTTGAGTTAAGATAAATTTAAGTATTAGTAGAGAAACTATATAATTTTTTTTGGAGCTGAATATATCATATAGTAAGAATGTTTGGTAATAATGAGAAAGGATTTACTTTGTTTGTTGTTAAAAGTTAATTTCGATAATGTTTTAATTAAAGTCTGAGTTCTGACGCCAATAACTACATATTACTAGCGAGCTGTAGGTAACGAGTACGAGTAGCGAGTATGAGTAACGAGTACCGGGTATCTGAAAGTCGGTATCCTCGACTTTGGCATTCCCACCTGTTCTTGTTGTTTCCCGTCATCTGTCCAGCGAACTCCTAGTTGCCCTCGGATTCTATATACATATATATCACCACCACTATCACTGCTGCGATCCTGTTTGCCTCGCCTCGCCTCTTTTCTTGACCTTACCAACTGTCTCCGAATTTAAATGCATAGTTTCAATCGTTGCTCTGCCCGAATGTTTGCTGTCGTTCTATATATTGTGTGTGTTCTGTAGCTATTTCGATAAATGGCCGTTTCCGTTTCCGTTGCCGGATGCTTCTCCCATGCGCCTCTTACCCTTCTTTTTCCGTTGTTACCAATTGTACATATATATACGCATATGTATGTATGTCTACGTGTTCAACACCAGCCTTTCCTTTTCAACCACCAGTCTAAGTGTATGGAAGCTTGGTTATTTCGAAACTACCATAATCCCTGTGTTTTTTGTGTTCATGTATATTGACCCGCAGAGAAACGCCAAAGACGAAGACGACCACCGCCACCGCCCTGGAGACAACGGAGTCCACGTCGTCCTCCACAGCTCTCGTTGTGGCGGCCAGTGCCAGTGCCGTCTGCCCGTGGGACGAACCAGACGAGCCCGATCCGCCCCCTGCGCCATCGATGCAGGTAAAGCTGTCCGTGTGTCCCTGGGAACTGGATAGTGCCGCAGAGCCACCGGCAGCAGCGTCTCCTTCGGCCACAGGAGGAGGACAGTCGAAGATCTCAAGTTCCACCGGTCAGTCACTCCGATTGAATAGGTAGGTGTGCACATCGAATACATCACCAACCACAAGTTTCACCAACTAATTACGTTTTATGCACTTAGCACTTCCTCGGACAACAGCGATGTGAATGACCGGATGCAGCGGAATCTGGGCATTCGCCATCAGAACACCGTGGACAGCGGGGAGGCGGGCATAAAGCGTCTGATTCCCAACTTTTCAGAGCAGCGTCGGGCTTCGGTCTCATTTACTCCCAGGTAAGACTAGGTAAAACTTCAATTATATCATCTAAAGTTCACTGTTTTTCCGTCATAGCCCCACTCCGGATTTCCAGCTGGGACGAACGGTGGCTCCAACGACAACCAGCTCCTCCTCACCCACTGTGGTGACCAAGGATCCGCCCTCCGGCTCGGATGTGGATGCGGAACTGGACGAGGAACTGAGCAAGCTAGCCCTTGGCGAGTCGGAGCTGCCGCTTTTGGTAGTACCCACCCCCACGCAGAGCCCGCCGCCCATAGCCAAGATTACGCCGCCGCCGCCGCCGGATCAAGGCGAGGATCAGGTGGCGACCACCACCGAGTCGACAGAGACACCGGAGACCTCCTGCTCGACGCAAAGCAACGCAGTGAAGGAGGTAACGGCGGTCAAAGAGGTCCAGATTGAGCTGATCGAGGAGGGGGGCCACACAGAGGGGCCAGGAAGTCCGCCCACCATTAAAGTCCTGGAGCTGGAATTGACCCAGGTGCCTGCTGAGGAGGCAGCAGGCGAGGACAGCACAACTACCACCAGCGCCACCGAGAATCAGAATCAGAATCCAGTGATGGCCAACGAAAGCACAGAAATAGAAGCGCCGCTGGTTTTGGACGAGCTTTCACCCACCACCGACGAGTACCAGGAGGGACTGCAGTTTGGGAGCGATGCCAAGGATGCCGTCGACGACTTCGACAGCATAGACGTGGGCTACATACCGCCGGCACCCACACCGGCTCCATCCATGGCGCCGCTGGCCGAGCTGGACGTGGATACGGTGGACGATGAGCCGTTCCCAGAGTCGCAAGTCCCCGTTCCCGTTCCTCCCAGCAGCAGTAGCAGCAGCAGGGAAATGGTACTGGCCTCGGCCTCGGTATCCGTAACGGCCACGCCCACATCCAGCAACGAAGAGGCGCGCCGGAGGCGGAAGAAGCGGAATTCGGAGGGCAAGAAACTTAGCTCCTCGCAGGACGAAAAGGAGAAGGCCAGCGGCAGCAGCATGGATGCCGATCACAATGCAGTGTGTCCCTGGGAAGACGAGTTAGTATAAGATCATAAGATCATAAGATCATAAGATCATAAGATCATAAGATCATAACATTATTTATCCACAGGAACGTCACCACCAACGATGGAACCTTCGTGAAGACATATGCCACACTGGGATACTTATGAATAAAACCAAATCTGTTCAAGACGGTGGTCAACAAGTTGCTGAAAAGGAAGCCATACAAGAAGTAAGGCCTGGGTTAGCTAAGTTTATTATACGGAGTATCTATTATAATACGTACATGCAAACATATTATGTAAATGTAAGTATTTAAATCGATAAATTGATAAATTGATTATGAGTGTATATGTAAATGTTAAATGCTTCTCATGTTCTTGAAAACCACCAACCAATAAGGCACCCAGTGGTTTGTTGCTGAAATTTTCAAAAATACGAAAACGACAAATGAAAATGAACGGAAAACGGAAAACGGTCTATGAATGCTACAAACAAACAACAAAAATATATATACTTTATCTACAGACATACATACTTATTTACAAATCGAGGTGGCTAAGGTGGCTAATTAGAATTACGAACGAAAAACAAAAAACCAAAAAACAAAAAAGGAGAATAATGTGTTAACAGTTGAATTAACTCCAGTCGAAATAATGCCGCCTTCTGATCAGTTGTAAAATCGAAATACTTATATAAACGGAGCTTAGAGATTCGGCGGCAGACATACTTTAATGTATACAATGTATATGATCTTTCTGCGCATAAGAAACAATTTTCCATAGTTCATTCAAAAGCTAAATGGCCATGGCCCCTTTTTAAAGTCTAGACACAGTAAATAAAAGCAAGTTATAGCCAAGTTCGCGAATAATAGTCCCGAAACCGAACCCCAAAAAATAAAGTAAAGTTTAGGGGGAACATGAATTTTCTGCAATAACAATGACTTCAGGTTATATAAAGTTATATAGTCGTTGGTATAACAGGGAATTTGTGAGATTTTACCATTAGGACAGATTGAGAAGAGTTGGTGAAGGGCGGGTTATTGGAAATACCTGCGATTGGGGACAATATACCAAGCTATACTCTTTGAAATTCGACCTACCTTTGCCCTTTGCCAACTCAAAAAAGCATGATGATCCATTTAGTTGGTAGTACAATGTGTTTAGCCGGATGTAACATGGCCTATATACTCTTCTATGTTTATCCATGCCTCCGAATCAGCCACAAAAAATCCCTTGGATTATATTAAATGCACAAGTTGCTGCGCAAGTAGTTCCCACTTGATTTTAAATTGTAACTTTTAAATTCATTTGCTTTATTCATTTCTCGCTTCGATAATTAAAGACCGTTTCATTTCACGCGTACATGCCAGAACTCACGAGCCCCAACTTGATGTGCAGTGAAAATGAAACACTACTATTTAGGAGGATACAATTTTTAAGTCTACCAATGTCCGTATAAAAAGCCTCTTAGTTATTTTTGGAAGAAAAAAAATCCAAACTGACTTGCGCGAATAACTTGTGCGTTTTAAATTACACACTGTCCTAAAGACTACTTAGTAATTTTCTCTATTTGACTAGAAATGTATTGAGCTGCCCGCCCAAACAATCGCAGAAATCGAGCTATGCTGTATAACACTAACAACTTAAAGTCAACATCGATGGGAGTGAACCGTGATGGCCCCCTGCATCTTTAAGATCAAATTACTGTTCAATTCGAACGTGTTAACCTTACAAAAAACAAAAACACAAAATAACAAGAAATGATTAGAAAATCAAATTAAGATGAAATCCTGGTTGTTCGCGACTAATACCTTTATATGAATCGAAAGAAGATAACTTATCGAAGAACTATTACAATCTAAGTATATTTATATTTTCATTGTGCATATGAATTAGCTACTTACTGTCGAACCCGTTTTGCTGGTAAACAATCTTTGTATCGGATATCTGAATTCTCTTTGTGCTTTCTATGCTAAAAAAAAAACCAAAACCAAATACATTTTTCAAACTACTTCAATTAAAAACGCAAAACCTAAACTCTAAAACGATATATGTACCAAATGTTGTACCAAAATGAGCAGAGTTACATACATAAAATGCCGAAGACCTAAGCAGATAGCAGATCGATGAAAATGTTGCATAGATATTATGAAACGAGGAGGGATACATATAGAGAAGTAGGATCGAGATGAGATGTGCCGTGTGTAGGGCGTGCGTACAAAAATATGTACATGAAACCACCGTTAACTTTGCTTAATGCGAGCCGAGCAATTAAAGAGTTAAAAAATAAATACAAAATAAAAAATAAAAGAAAAAAAATATAAATCAGCAGCAGCAATAGTTCCAAAATTGTTGTCAAAATATAATAGCAGCTTTTAGAACAACACCAAAGGAAGTTGTAGTAAATGCGGAGGAAAATTGTATTGTTGTTGTTTTTTATGTACATTTACTTTTTTGTATTACCGTTGTTGTAAGTCAAATATGCCAAAAAGAATAGTTTATTAAGAGTTTACAACAAAATTAAAGTGCAGGCAAGATATGAATTACTTTAACGCAAATCGCAAGAAAAAGTTCCGAATGTTTTTAGTAGTCAATGGTGAATATCTTTTAATTGCTTATACTAAGAGTTCCCATACATATTTATGGGATCCTTGCCGAAACGGAAACGGAAACAGAAATCTTAAATGAATAAAACAAGCGCGGCTGTCGACTTTACTTTTCCCCGGTACTCAAAAAAAAGAAAATACAATAAGTTATTAACTTAAAAAAATATAGCACAAAGAGTTTAAAAGATGAAATAACATGTTGTTAGATCGTATTCAATGGTTACCTGATTTTATATGCGTTGGCACATAGACAATTTATTAATTATCCAAGATCTACAGATTTACTCAAATATATTCAGCACTCTGAAAGAAATTGTCCCAAGCATAAAAGTTCACATTCATCTTATTTTAAAATTTAAAATTATTTGAAATTTTAATATCAAATTTGAATGTCTCCTATTTTCTGGGAAATACTTTAACAATTTTAAAGATCCGTTTCAAAAATTCCTGATACATTTTCAGAAAAATATTTTCTTATTAAAAAATAAATTTAATAAATACGACTTTTCATGGTTAAAAATACATTTTAGCCGACAGTAGTTGGAATTCTGAGTCCAAACATGTTGTCTGTTGTTTGGTTTTATGTAATATTTGATTTTTGAGTATCGGGTAAACATAGAAATAAAATACCTTAAAAGGTACAGTGGATTGATCGAGCCGGCGCAGCGCCATTTTGATAATAAACAAAATTCGATAACTAATGTATGTTTAATAAATTACATAAGTATGTACTACTTCACGCGACAGGTGGGTAGCCTTGCCCTACAAATATTTACTTTAATTTCTGGATAATTAGTGCTCATATCACTGATTAGAGAACAGGAATGCGCAAAACAATATGCTTAATACATAAGATTCCAGAGCTTTTAGTAACGCCATGTAAATTCTGGGTCATGAATACAGTTGTGAAGAGTGTAACCGAGGCGTTTGTTATTATGTATTCAAGTCATTTACTATAAGTGTATACAGCTTATACTATTACAAAAGTGTTAAAAACATGAATTATTTTGAGAAAACCAAAAAAAAAAGAAAAGAATATACAACAAAAGTGTTAGTCGGTAAAAGAAATCAAATGTAAAACAATTTAATGTAGACTGTACTAAAGAATTCAAGGATAATTGAATATCAACACTCCATCACGCAAATAACTAAAAGGAAATTCGCAAATTGAATAGAAGTTGATGGGAAAATTATTTGCACAGTGCAGAAAAACGTGTTATAAAATTATTATACTATGCAAAAAATATATATTATTGAATTATGCTGATGAAATTAAAAACCATAAAAGTATGTAAAAAAAAATTCAAATACAAATGATTTAAATGAAGTACAATAAATATTCAAGTGACGAAAATGTACGCGTGGTTCTATTGATTGGGAAATGAGACATTTTTTGGGTTGGCGAATGTAATTTTAAGTTTTGCGGCTCCTCGATATCAAATGGCGCCTCCTGTTATCGATTGAGTAAAGACATCGATGATGCTCAGACAAACATCGACTGCAAAAATGTGCTTCCACCCCTATTCGATTTGATAACATTTCGATAACATTTATAAATCTTAATAAGTATTCCATATTTTTGTTATATTCAAAAATAATAACAAATGGAGCTGGTGGCCATCCGGCCCAAGGCGCCGGGAAGCACTAATCAGAGCGGGAGCCAGCGACTGCCGGCCAGGAAGCCGGGACAGCGGAGGATGTACCACTGCGGCGTCTGCTTGGCGGGATTCCCGCGTCACTTGGCCACCAAGCGCCACGAGCAGCAGTGCGAGGCCAAATTGAGGCGCCTGTTCGTCTGCCGCCACTGCCTGACCCTCTACGGCGAGGAGTCGCGGCTGGAGCGGCACCGGCAGCGGAAGCACGCGGACGGACAGTTCCTGTGCCTGCAGTGCGGCAAGCGGTACGCCTCGGCCACCTTTCTCTACCGCCATGTGGTCAGTTGGCATGGCGAGCAGTCGCTATTCTACTGCGCCATGTGCGCGGATAACTGCAACGATGTGAAGACCTTCAGCGGAATGCGGGAGCTGCAGGAGCACGCCGACGAGGTGCACCACCTGCGCTCCCTGGGCTCCACGGCCAGCGAAACAGGTGGGTTATGTTCATTCCATATATATACTTTCTTATAAAATTCCATGTATAATTTACCAGGCAGCCTGGTCGACGAAACCGAGGACCTGGAGATGCTGGAGGAGAACATCGAGGACATCCTGCCCAGCGTCGACTGGGACGACGATCTCACCTTCGGCTGGCCCATGGACCTGGACAAGGAGTCGTGCATTTCGGACGGCAAGCCGAGCGTCTTTGTGTGCCCCTTCTGCGCCAACGGCTTCTCGGGCAGTCTGGGTCTGGTGCGCCACCTGGAGCAGATGCACGATCGGAATCCCCTGGACTGTTGCTACTGCGGCAAGAGCCACGGCAGCCGCGAGGCCCTCCGGTCCCACCTGCAACGTGTCCACGTTCTGCTGCGCGGTCATGTGTGCGCCGTTTGCCAGGCGGACTTTGCCACCGCCGATCATCTGAAGAAGCACGTGAATAGCCGCCACCTGGACCACCGGCCGCACCAGTGTCCCACCTGCGGCAAGAGCTTCGCCCAGCGGTGCCACCTCACCCAGCACATGGCCACGGATCGCGGACACGAGCAGGGCAACCACGTCTGCCAGCTCTGCCTGTGGCCCTTCTTTCGCGCCATCGATCTCGAACGGCATGTCAACGAGAAGCATCCGTAGCAGGATTCGGGATGAGATGTAAGGTATATTCGACTGCCAGGATATTAGGATTAAAATTAGAGTTAAGTCTAAAGACGACATCAACAGTGAGAAAACATTACCTACTATTTTACTACAGAATACCAATTAGGCAGTAGCATCAGCTAAAATAAGAGAAAAGTACTTGGTATTTTTGTTTTTTGTTAAGTTAAAATATAATTTTCTTTACCAAAAAAAAGTTCAATTTAAAATTAAGAGCTCTAAACATAAATAATCAATAAATTATGATTATTTGTTAACCAATAATATTTAATTATTCCCACAAAGCTAACTTAGAGTTAAAACTATATCCAAACTTTAAATATAGAGCTTTAGCGAATTAGGCCTTCAGCCAGCGTTTGCTTTGAAATATACAATATAGATTTCACAGATATTATTCTTAAACTAGTATTATATCAATAAAAAACAACATTGAAAAGGATTAGTTGGTGTAGCTTTTTCGCTGAGAAAATTGTTGAGTCATTAGAGATAGATTTCTAAATACCTTTAGATGATATATCTTGATGTTTTTCGTTGTACTAAGCTTTATCGTAATATTCGAGGTCCTAACAATCTTTGCTTTGGAATATACAACATAGATTTCACAGATATTATTCTCAAACTAACTTTATATAAAAACAAGAAAGGAAGCTACCTTCGGCCAGCCGAAGCTTATATACCCTTGCAGATAAAGTAAAGCTCACTCGGTGCAGTTCCAGGGATTCCAGATTCAGCGTTTCTATTTTTGAATTTTGTTTTTAAAGAGTCAAGAATTAAAACGCCTACTTCCTACAAAGTAACAATGAATTTTCTTATATATCTTTGAATATTCCAATGGGAGCCCTAAGATATAGTGGTCCGATTCGGCTCGCTCCGACATATGTACTACCTGCAATAGAAAGAAGACTTTCGGGAAAGTTTCATCGCGATATCTTTAAAACTGAGAGACTAGTTCGCATAGAAACGGACAGACGGACCGACGGACAGACGGACATGGCTAGATCGACTCGTCTAGTGATGCTGATCAAGAATATATATACTTTATGTGGTCGGAAACGTCTCCTTCACTGCGTTGCAAACATCTGACTGAAATTATAATACCCTCTACAAGGGTATAAAAATATATATTTAAAAGGTTTATTTGGTATAGCTTATTATCTAAGAAAACTTGTAAGTCATTAGATATCGATTTTTGAATACCTATAGATGATATATCTTGATGTTCTTCCTCTTACTAAGCTTTATATTCCTGTAAATATAGATTATATGTAGTAATATTTGAGGTCTTAACAATTTTTAATAACATCAAGAGCATTGGAAAGGCTTTTTACTAAGCTTTATCGAACTTGGGATTTTGTGATCCTGTAGATATAGATTATATATCGTAATATTCGAGGTCCTGACAATCTTTGCTTTGGAATATACAATATAGATTTCGTAGATATGATTCTCAAACTAACTGTATATCAATATGGAAAAGGTTTAGTTTAATAGCTTATTTTCTGAGAAGATTGTTGAGGCATCAGATATAGATTTCTGAATACCTATAGATGATATATCTTGATGTTCTTGGTCCTACTAAGCTTTATCGACCTTGGAATTTTGTATTCCTCTAGATATAGATTATATATAGTAATATTCGAGGTCTTAACAATTTTTAACAACATCAAGAGTATTGGAAAGGCTTTTTACTAAGCTTTATCGACCGTGGGATTTTGTATTTTGTATTCTTGTATTTTGTATATATTATATATCATAATATTCGAGGTCCTACAAATCTTTACCAACGAAGAGCATTGAAAAGTCGGGAACCTGGGGCCCCATGGGTTAACAGTGGATCTCGTACAGCAACTGTTAACTAGCAGCTGATCAACAACAGCCCCAGATCGGGAGAGCGCTGAGCGGATCGCAGAGCGGGAGAGCGAGCGCAATGATACCGCCGATCGTTACTGCTATTGTTATTTGTGATTGTGATAGGGGCACGGGTACGGGCACAGGCACAGTAACTTGGCCCACACCGACGACACGACAGTTTTGAACGGAACTTGCTGGTGCTTGGATCGCAGTTCAGATCCGATCCGATCCGATCTCCGCGAAGTTGGCACATTACCGATTTTGATTCCGCCGTCGACGCGCTCAAATATATATCACAAAATATTAAACATTATTCGTGCTTTTTTTTCTTGTTTTCCGTTGAGTTTAACCGATTTGTGAGTGGTGATCCCTCTGTATAATTATATAAAGGATTTTGTTAAAGTGATTCCTTGATTTTTGAGACGTTTTCGCATCGAGTAAGTTGTCTTTTAAACTACACATTTAAGTGGGTTCAGACAAACAAGCCAGCGACCCCCAAGTCCGTCTAACATTTAAACTAAAACAGCTTTTTGTTATTGTTTATATGTTTTCCACTTCTGCCCCATTGAAGCCGGGCCTTAAAAAAGCTCTCTATAGCGCATAGCCTTTTGTTTTTTTTTTTTTAATAGCTTTCGGCCAAAACCAGAACAGAGTTTTATCATTACCAAATGTAAAAAAAAGTACAATTGCAATTAACGTTTTTTGATGTGGCTGCTGAGTTATTCCAGTGGGTCTGTGGAAACCCCCATGTGAAAACTGTTGCGCTTGAGTTCCCCCACAGATAAAAACAACGTCTGAGCCGGGCTTTAATCGATATTCAAATCAAACTACGTCAAATCGCGTGTGAGTTGTGGATTGCTTAGGGTAAATAAAACTATATTAACTTTTTTATAATCAAAGATTTCTGGTTCAATTAGTATTTAAAAGCATTTCTTTCTTAGTTTATTATGAAATTTAAGTCAATGATTTGTTTTAATATTTCAACATCTTACATAAAAAGAGTAATTAATGTTTTAAATGTTTTCATTCCGAATTAATTCCTTAAGTGGAAACTTCTTATAAATACGTTCTAAAACTATATTATCCACTATTGTGTTTGGTTCTTTTTTATTTAATCACAATAAAAAACATCAGTCACATATAATATATTTATTTAATAAATTCTATAAATCTTTTTTCTGTAAAATAATCACGTTCAACAGCAGGAAAATGCCCTGAAGCTTAAAGTCAGTACGTGTTATATTTAGAATACATAGTAAAGGGTATAATTAAAAGTAAAATGGGCTTAAAATGTCAAGTATGTCAAATTATTACAATTAGTTATAATAATTTTCAATAAATGACTAGTTAAACATCGGTTTATTGTGTTCTCACATTCCAGACAGTTCATTTAACTTATTCGATACTTTCTCTTAATGATAAATTAATAAAAAATGTATATTTATACATAAGTCGAATAAAGTTCTTTTTAATAATGTGATTTCATTTTACTTAAATGAATTTTTTTGAAAGAATTCCTTTAATATCCTAAAATAGGACTGATGTTTCTTAGGATTTCTATACATATTTTCTCTTACTGAAAGTTAAAGTCGCTTAATCTTTAACTCGCATTCCAGACGAGACGTCTCTGTTAACCCGGTCCCTTTGGGGGGCCTTAAATCCATAATTTATCTTGTAGAACCCATTGCCCTCCTGTTGCCCTAACTTTTGTTGTTTGTTGGCATGCTCCTCATCAACATTATTCCATGGATGCAGTGGAATTATTATCATGTCTATATTGTAATTGATTTGCCTGAGCGAATAGCCAGACGAGGAGACAAGCTCTGTGCCTGTGCCTCTTCCCTGATCTGCCACGCCCTCGCCACCCTCAACCGCCCCTTGTTGCAGGCATATCATTAACGCCGGAGTTTTCATTTTGTTTTGGAGCTCTGGCGGTGCTGCCCGAGCAATTGCCTGGCTGGGGCACTCCTATAATTGCGGACCGCCCAAGTTGGCATCTCGATTGGGATATGATTCCTTGGGGTTTCTCGATTTTTCTCCTTGATATTATTATTTCGTATACGATATCTTTGGGTGACGCACCGGAAAACAATGCCTCGAAAGTGGAAGAAAAACTGCTGACACCTGCGCAAACTAAATTAAGATCTGTTAGTCCATTCTATCGACTATATGATACCTAAGATTCAGGGAAGCTAAAAGTAAATATTTTATAAAAATGTATTACCTTGTAATATTATTAGATTCCCATTAAAAATATTGTATCAATTACTTTAAAACTATTTTCTGATTTAATTTTTAAAAAGTTAAGCAATAATTACTGGGTATTAAGAACAATTATTAAGAGGAGTAACAAAAGTCTGTTCCTTTCGCAATAAGTATTCGCATTCATACTTATAATTTTAAAACGTGCTTAATTTTGTAATCTGTACGCAGTCAATGTCTCGCGCTCTCTCCCTCTCTCTTTCCCTGCCCCTGTTCCTGTCTCCTTCTATGAATCTGCAATATCTGGGCTGACGAAATGCTTCAGTAGCAACAACTGATAAGACTTGGCTAGACGTGCAATGTTAACCGTTAAAGCGGGTTAAAGAGACCTTCGATGTGACAGGTTATGCAATAATCATTGGTTTAATTGTAGAACTGGTTGTGATTTGAAAAAATGTCATTTTACTTTGAACCCTGTTTAGAATAAGTTCTTTGCTATTTTTAAAATATTAGAAAAACTTAGAAATACAAAAAAAGTACATTACTTTCATAATCATCATATGTATGTTTATTTGAAATTAAAAATCTCCAAAATGTTCAATTCACTGTTAACCGTTAACAGCTGTTATTTTAAATTTAAGCTTGTGCAGCAGCCCCAAATAAAAAAAAAACAGAAAAACAACAACAACAGGAGGGCAAAGGAATGTCAAGATGAATCACACAGGTGTGCGTGACACCTGGCAACAGAGAGTGAGAGAGAGGGAAGAGAGAGCAAGCACCCAAGAGCAGGAGAAAATAATATGAAAAAAAACAATAACAACTGTTGGTCTGTCATATCAATCGACATTTGCTTAACTGTTAAAGAGAAAAACAGAAAGGAAAACAATGATAGCAGATGGGTGTGGGTGTGTGTGTGTTGATTGTACACCTAAAACACAAGTGCAGAAACATACACCAATAAAAAACAAGCGCAAACTCCTCTGGTCCCGTTACAAGACGAGCTTAAAGCTATTTTTAACACCATCCGATCTGTCTCCCCTTCCTCCTCCTTCTCCCCCACTTTCTGCTATCTCCTTTCCTGTGTTGTTGTTTGCACCACTCTCTTCTCACTTTACTCTCCTGCGGTTTCCCTTAAAACACAGCAAGAAACTAGGATTATTTTAAAATTTAAACATATTTTTCTAAGATCAATAGTTACTAAAAAAGTGTGAAACTATTTTTTTACTTCCTAGAATGATATTTAATTTTGGTATTTTAGATTTGTAATTCTGGGAATTGACAATTTTTTTTGTTTTGTTTATCAAATATGAGTTATTTTGGACTTTAATTGTAAAAGGATTCACTAAAACTCCTTTTATTTATAAGAACAATATTTGATCTTGATTTTTTACCAACCTTATTTGTTTTCCAATTATCATACCTTTAAAAGCCTTTGGTTCCGTTCTTTATTAATCTGCATCATGCATGTTGTGCTCTTAATTGGGGTTTGGTGACCCCAAATCATTTGTTTTAGGCCTTATACCAACCAGTTTTAAACTGCTTTATTTATTTCAACAAATACATTTAAAATTCAGGGTATGGTAACCTTCTCCTGCGTAATCAGGCCTTTTTTTTCATCCCCAATCTTTATATGTACAAGTATTTTCTGCTCCATGGGGGAGCCGATTCCTATGTTTACTTCTTCCTCTGCTTCCTCATCTTCCATTTATTTTTTTTTGCATTTTAATGAATGAAATACTGGTGCAATTTTACTCATATTATTTTTTTTATTAGCTGATAAAGCGCCTTGACCAGTAGTAGCTAAAGCTATACGTATATCAAATATGTATGTATGTTTATTGTATCTGCAACAACAATTACTGGGGTCTATCATTATCACTAGGCGTGCGTTTCGTTATCGACAGCAAGTTGAGCAGCTGAAAGGGAAACGCGAACTGACCTATAATAAGAATTTTCATATTTAAGCAGTACGCAAAAAAAGAATAAGAACAGGCCAACCAAAGCAAGCGAATGACGAGAATAAAAACAAATAACAAAATACATTAAATGCCTCAGGCACAGTGGAGCCTGCACTTGGACTAAAAATTAAGACTTGAATGGAATTAATTTTAAATGCAAAACTGAGGTTTTATAAAACCACCTAACCTACCCTCATTACTTTAATAAACTAAAAATTCTTAATATAATTTTTAAAATGATGCTTAAAATTTTAAAGTTTTCTTTCAAGTGCACCATTATAATCAGTAACTGAAGTTCACTCCCATATACAGGAAATATTAAACTCCCTACGCATTTTGCATTCGAAATGAAGCGAAAAAGATTTTTCATATAGACAGGAAATCGGCCAAGTTCTTCACCCAAAGAATTCCCATTGAAAACTCCTTGATTGCCGCTGATTACACAAGACTTTAGTCTTTAGTCGGTGGGTTGGGGAACTGTTTCTGATTTATGAGTCAGGGCATGGCCATAATAAATGAAATGGGCAAAGAGCCGCCGAACAAACGTGGTTCATTCATAGCCAAAAGTGGTAGTGGAAGTGGCAGTGCATTGTTTAATACCGTGTAAACATTTCACACAATCGGGCATTCGGGTTGACTCACCCGTTTTGTAAGACCATAGCTAATGCAATTAGCAAGCCCTATTCTCTGGGCTTCCTATCTTGATTATTATCAATAAACCCGTTAAAATTATTTATTTTTCTTTTGTCATCAAATATTTGTTGAATTAGTAACCGTCATTTACCTAGTCATTTAATGGTCCGCAAATTATTACAGAATTAGCCAAGTTAGATTGTTGTATTTCACTCTTATCTTAGTTTTTTATCTTGTTTATAAATAAACATTGTTATTTTTTTTAGTAACCGCTTGGAATTAATAACAACTTACATTATTGAGTTATATTATAGTCTTCCTTTTAATTAAAACAAATGTACGAGTTCACAAGCTTTTAACTTTGAATGTACTTATAATGCTTTTACAGTTTTTTAAATCAAATTCAAATCAAATTAAATTATTTTTTGATTTTTGTAGAGCTTATGGGGTGCTTACCTAGTTGGTAGTGAGTAATGCTATAGCTTCCTGTCCTTACGACTTTATTGTCATGCAATCGGCTGGCTGATTGTCTCATTGATATGCCTGACGCACGATTTTGTACCCTCGAGAGCGGTGTTTGCTTATGATAAGACTTTTTGTATCAATGTCAAGTTAGCCATATAGAGGTTTTGCTGCCTCGTTGGTCAACATCAACAGCGCATTCATAACCGAACTGACCCTAATTCGAATGGTAAACGTGCCCGCCCACCTGTCACCCACACCTAAAAACTACACCTGCCGGTTGTCTTGGCCCAAGATTTGACATTGTAAGTCGAGAAACCAGAAGAAGAAAAGCAAATTAACCACTGCACAAACAAGACAAAAGCCTGCGAGAAGAAAACAAATCTCTGACACTGACGTTTTCCCACTCGCCCCGTAAATCAAGTCGTAAATCATTCAGGGGGAATCTGGAGAAATGATGCGACTTTACGTTTTTTACACTCAGAACAAACCATAAAAAATATTTGGAATTGTTAAGGGTTCGTTTAGAAAGAATTCCTTGAATTCCTACAAGAATTTTTTAAAAATACAATGAGTTTTAGTCACAATTTTCCGGAAAAAATGTCTGTAAATTCCAATGTGCACTTCCGCAAATTCGAATTAACGCCTGATAAAAGATTACTTGATCAGGAATTTATGGCGCAGCTTGCTAATCTGAAGATTCTGAGAAATATCAAATGCCGGGAATAAATCACTGGCGAATTTATGTCGGTAAAACTGTGACGTTTTTTCCAAAAATACCAAATGATTCGCCACAGGAAGCTATGATTACGTTCTTTGTTAATTTTAATTCATACATTTTTTAGGAGTTCGAAATAAACAATTTTCCTAGGAATAAAAAAGAACTAGCTGGAAATTTGTTTAAGTTTTTGTTTTTATAGTAGTGAAATATTCAGACATATTTCGATCAGAAATTGAACAAAAACAAATTGTTTGTTAAAGAATTGGTGGATATTTAATCTACTTCTAATAATCACAACAAAAATTCTAATTGTAATTATATTCATTTTTTTATTTTGTAGATAATTGGAACAGTTTTTGTGTCATCAGCCGTAATTCGGAGCTATTTTAAGAGGATCGAATGGCCATGTCCCGAACCCGAAGCAGAATATTCAAACCTGTGGTGGTTCCACCGCTTCTTTTGCTCCTCCTGATCGTCGGCAGAGCAGCGGGTGCAAATCTTGTATCCCCAAACCACAGACTACCATCGCAGAGGTTCTTCTACGCCGACACTGCGATCTCCGCCTCCTCCTCGCAGACCAAGGTGCGACTGCTCCGCCAGGCGGATGACCCGAATGCTGCGCCGGAGGCAGTGGAGGGCAGCTGCTGCCAGGGAGCAGCCGCCGAAGCCGGAAAACCACTGACGGTAAGACCGCGTTAAACCCGATATTACAACCCTTATTATATCATTTTATGTCACAGATATTCTGTATAATCGGTCAATTTTAATTGTCCTTTAGAATTGTTAGTATAGATAGGTATATAAATTTAAGTTTTTAATAATTTTAAATTCATTTTCAGTAGTGCATATATTTTAAATACACTTGGTATAAGATAATAATATATTAAAGATAGGTCTTTGAAAAATTGAATAGGAAATCCACTTTAAACGAATAAACGAGTTTATATTATTTAACTTACTACACACTAATGATTTAAGTGATAAAAATTCATCGGGATTTTTTCTGTTGATAAAAAAAAACCCAAAAATATGATAAGGCTCTGAATAGGAAGCCTTCATGGTAATTTCCCAAGTTTAAGTTTCGGGTTTTTCAAAAGTTTGCATTAAATCATGGAAAGTGGATTTTGATTCAGGCCCTAATCTAAAAACCATTTTGATATTAGATATTCTGGTTCTCAAAATGGAACCTTTTTAGTTAGCCTTTTAATTACCAAATATTACTTTAGTATCTGGCGAGAACCCATCTCATGCTGCATCCAGATGGCGCCACTGTGCCGCCTAGAAACATTGCATATTTGGGTCATCGTCATCGCTGCTGTTTTGTTTGCAGCTTGATAAGGCGTAGTCTCACTGCACAACCCCAACGCGCAGCCCGATCCCAAACCCCGATCCCAAACCCCAATCCCAGACCCCAACCCCATCCCAAGATCGGGAGAAAGCCGTGGACAGTGGCGCCGTTGTCTCAGCCTCTTCTCACGGAGCGAAAAGATAGCAATCTAAAACTTGGACGTATATAAAATTAAATTAAAGGTTGAATCTTTACTTGAAATGTAATCTTCCTGATAATCTAAAAAAAAACTATTAACTATAGATGTTTATGTTTAGTTTACAGATGAAATTGTAACCAAATGTTATGGAGCTTATAATAGGACTACTTTTCTCCCAGTGAAGACGCATTTTGTGCTTCTGTCTGCGTCTTTGGCATTGATAGCGATGATCGCCTTGATTCCAAAACAAATAATTCGCATTACGTTTTTAATTGGGCGTTACTCACTGGCAGTGGCCCCCTCTTCCAGCACTTTCTAACCACCCAGCACCCAGCCCAGGCATTGTTTGCGTCAGTGCCAAGATAAACAGAAGATTTCCTTCCCCGGCGAAGAAAGCCAGGCGGCGCACAGTGGGGTAACAGAGGCCGATTTTGCGAATTAATGTTAAAATCAAATCTCAAAAATCTCTAAAAGTAATGATGGCAGTTTATGGTACATTGAATGACCTTTCATAATCTAAAACTGAAATCGCATTTAGTTTTATCAGACCAGAGATATTCTTTCTCAAAGTTACACTTTGATTCACATTTCATCAAGACAATCCAAATTTTACTTTTTCTTCATTTTTAAAAAAATATTAAACTAACAATGTTTAATGTACCAAAAAACTGTAAATGCCATTGTTTTCTTTTAAGTGTTAACTAATTTTTTATTTAAAAACAAAAATTTAGAATTAATATATTATATTTTTAATAAATAATTTTAATACACCTTAAATTTAACCTGATTCTGAGAAATCTTAAAAGATTTCTCGGAAGAGCCGGGTTTCGCCGTTTTCATATTTTACTGAAAATTTCTCTGATATATAAACTTTCAAATGTGCAAAAATAGAGGTGCTGTTTTGTGCTTTTTTTGAGAAAAGTTAATAACAGTAACCTAACCTCAAAAATTAAAATTTTTCCAGAAATGGTTTTATTAGTATGTTTGCCTTTCTTGGGTATATTTTAAGGAAGTAAAATACACTTTTACTAACTTTTAGGCAGCAGAGTTGGAATCTTTTGTTCCTGTACCTCTATCGTTTATAGTTATGGAGATATCTTCACATTTGTAAGCCAAAAAGGTGTTCTTACTCTTTTAGCTTTTGTGGGTGAATTAATTGACCAATCCGAATCAAATTTGGCTCTAAATGCATATAAAACAATTAGATAAAATGGAAAAAGACCTTTAAGGTTAACAGTCAGCCCAAACCGTGAGAATTGTTATTCGATTTTCAATAAAATTGTTCGATAAAAAAAATATGGCGCTGCAGTGTATCGATAAAAACAAAGCTTCTTTGCGTTTTCTTCTCCTTCGGATGGTGACTTGTTGTTTTCGTGTACATTTTATAATTATACTTTTGTTTCAATGGATTCACATGTAAAAGGTATGTTATTTGTGTTAATTAGTTGTGTTAGTTGTGTAGCCCACCTTCATGTGTTCCGTCACAGTGTTTAATGTTTTTAATGTGTACTAGTAAAATTCTACGTAGTTGAGTGAATTGTCGCAGGTTTGATTGTGTTTGTCAATGTACGTGTGTTTATTACACATTGTTAACCAAATTTTCCCGTTTTTTGGTATCATTCTTAAAAATATTAGCAGAAGACGCAAAAGAGCATTTCTTCTCTCATCTCGAGCTGTATAAAATCTGGAAAGAACAACGCCACTTGAGTGATTCAGAGCAGTTGGATTTGCTATTTAAATGCATACAGAGACGAGTAGATCCTAGCAGTGAATTAATCCCCGATTATAAAACAAAAATCACACGATTCCTAAGAGAGCTACAGCTAAGGTGGAAAAAGTCACGCAGGTTAGCGCCCCAATTCCTGAAGGCCAATGATAATTGGCTAAACTCTTCAATTGTATTTAAAAGAGCTGCGCAAAAGAAACGAGGTCGTCAAGAAGTTGCTTTTGAAAGTTGTAACATTCGCTCAAAATACAAAAAAACTATGGAATTAAGGAGCAACTCCTTACCTATGCTTTCATTTGCGACAGAAACGAAATTAAAAGAAGCTGGTAATGTGGAAGCTTCTAAGTTTGTTGCCGAGCTTGCGAATTCATCACCCACAAGATCCAAATCCTTACGAAAATTAGTAGACAATGCTAGAACTGTGACAAAAATTCCAAAAGAAAAGGCTTTAGCACTTTTTATAAATGCTAGTCTAACAAGACATCAATACAATCTTATTAGAGTTTCGGCCCCAGAAAGATTTCCGTCTTATACAACAATTCAACATGCCAAACGAGATTGCTACCCACTCGAAAACTCAATAAAAATTACTGAAATTTCAGCGGAGGTTACTCTACAAGGGCTTCTTGACCACACCTCTTTGAGGTTGGTATTACTGAATGAGCAAATGATCCCATCTTTATCAGATGAGGATTGCAAGCTCTTTCGTTTGTATAGCAAGTGGGGTTTTGATGGTAGCTCAAGTCATACACCATACAAGCAATCATTTGCTTCTCCTGATGCCTCAGATGCTAATGTACTTATAACATCACTTGTGCCCTTGAAATTATCAAGTCAGGGTCAAACAATCTGGCAAAACCCTCGACCTTCCTCTACTAGATTCTGTCGACCTTTAAAAATTGAGTTTATCAAAGAAAATTCCGCTATTTCAAACCAGGAACATGGAAGGGTGATTAACGAAATTAAACACCTAAAAAGCTCATTTGTCGAGATCGGAGACAGAACCATAGAAGTTTCTCATGAAACAATCCTGTCAATGATAGATGGTAAAGTGTGTAACGCTTTGACGGAAACGACTTCCACCCAAAGGTGCTATATATGTGGCTGTACAAGTAAAGAATTCAATAAGATTGATCATATGATTAAAGTTCCCACAAAAACCGAAAATTTACAATTTGGCCTATCAATTCTTCACGGCTGGATCCGTTTCTTTGAATGCCTTCTTCATCTATCCTACAAGTTGACAATTAAGAAGTGGCAAGTTAGGAACCCTGAAGATAAGAAAATTGTTGCTGACAGAAAAGCTCAAATTCAAAAAGATTTTAGGAATCAGATGGGACTTATAGTGGATCAACCCAAGCCAGGTTGCGGAAATTTTAATGACGGCAATACAGCTCGAAGGTTTTTTAAAAACGCTGAACTTTCTGCTAAGATAACTAATATAGACTTACAACTGATTAAAAGAATGCATACTATATTGATTGCAGTGTCATCTGGCAAGGAAATAGATGTTATCAAGTTTCGTTTCTTTGCACATCAGACAGCTTATCTTTTTGTAGAGAGATACCCATGGTATTATATGCCTCCTACCTTGCATAAATTTTTTATTCATGGCCCAGAAATTATTGAGCACGCTTTGCTTCCAATTGGCCAACTTTCAGAAGAGGCGCAAGAAGCAAAAAACAAGGATTTTAAAAAATATCGGGAACAATTTTCTCGAAAAATCAGTCGAGAAAAACAAAACGAAGACGTTTTTAAAAGGCTACTCATAAGTTCTGATCCAATAATAACCTCTATATCGGATTTACACAAGGAGAAAACCACTAAAATACCTAAAGAGGCTCTTGACTTATTGAAGCCCGCAGAAGAAGATTCAGATACAGACGAAGGTGCAGATAGGGACGAAGATACAGATACGGACACAGATTGTTAAGACTGTTTAATAATTTTAGTGTTAATAAAGTATTATGAAAAAAACATACACAAAAAAACCGAACTTTTTGGTCAAAAAACTTTTTATGCGCCTAAATATCAATTGAAAATGGTTGGACAACATAAGAAATGTTTTTATTTAATATTTAAGATATTAACAATTTCCTAAAATAATAATATAAAACAAATTTACTGCAAATGCATTGGGACACACGAAAATAACAGAATAACATAGTTTTCGTCTATTTTACTAAAATTAAAAATTTATTTTAAATACTAAAAAAAATATTTTTTTAGTAAATCCGGTTTTTATATTATAAGTGATTTAAACTTGTTTAAAAAATATATTTTTGGGCATCGTATCATGCTTGGTTGATTTGATTCGCACTTTTGGCCTCTGTTACCCCACTGTGCGGCGGAAGGGTTTCGGCGTCGAATTGGCTGGGTAAACACGCAGTTGGGGGTTCGGTTTCTGGCCACTCAACAAATACCTAGAACTACACAGAAGTCGAAACAATAACAGCCAGCGATATCGGATGGCAATTAGTAATTAGTGTTAGGCCAATTGTGATAACACGGGAATGCGATTCGCTTCCTGGAAGTTTGTCAACAGCTTATATATATATTGAACAATTTTTATTTTGTTTTTTGGCAAAGCTCTAGAAAATTTGTTTTTTAAATAATCTCACTTTTTTCTTTGTAATTATGTATATTATAAATATTGACAACAGTTTATAGGGAATGTAATCTTAACTACGAAAATATATGGAATAAACACTTTTGTTTTAACAAATTTTTTCTATATATCCTAAGGGAATTATTATTATTATTTGCATCAAAAACAATTCAAAAATTTCTCAAAGTAAAATATTTAGTAAATTGATTTATTGAAAAAACTCAAGATCAAAATAATCTCACTTTTTCTTTGGATTGCTTTTATTGCTAAAGTTAGTTTTTCTTAGCGGTTGTTTGCAATTTGCCCTTGAACTTTCTCCGCGTTTTGTGACGCAGCATTCGCAAGAGCAACACCAACAAGTTATCCCCTCACCGAATAATTAACAGCTTCGAGTGGCAAATGTCGCTAATGAATCATGGCCCAGAGCATGGCTGTATAGCCGTATGGCTACCGTCACATCTACGTGCAAATTGGCCAAACCAAATCGTCGGCGCCGAGAACTCGGCACGTGGCTACGATTCACTTGCTCCTCTTCCGCTGGGAATGACAGCTAAATCGTGTTTGAAAACAGTTTAAATACCTGGGTGACGCATATTGTTATATTTGTTGATATATTCGTGTATTTATTCAAACTATTTATATGCAGTTGACGTCCGTTATCTATACTCAAATGGGAAACAGTAGTAGTGGCCCATGACTAAGTTCAAATGAATGTTTTGGTGGTGCTTTAATCTATGTCCTAAATTTCTTTCGCAGATTCCACTGACCGTGTCCGCTGAGTTGACCAACGTGACTGTGGATTATGATGTTTCCGGCGAGATCCCCTCCTCGAAGGGTGAGTTTTACGGAAATATTTATGCACCCATCAAGATATCTAAGTAAATTGTGTATTATGTTTCCTTTTCGCAGAAAACTTCAAGCGCAGCATCTCAAAATGTAAGTCAAGCTATAGAAATAAACCTTCTATTACCAAACTAAGATACGATAATAGATTTTAAAAAAAAGTAAATTTCAATTTATTTTTTTGACATAAAAGTACATTTTAATGATTACACTGTGCAGCATTTTTAGTGCTTTTTAAATTTACCTCAATGAATGCTATATTTTTGGATTCGTTACGAATTCCCAAGTTAAACTGCGTTTTCCAAAAAGTTCCCCGACGCAAGGATTCTTAGCAAAAGGTCCTTAAAGTTCGAAAAATGCTGAAATTGGCCAACTTTGCGGAGCTCTCAGAGGCAAATGGTTAGATTCGATGTTAAAGTTTTTTAAAAGATACACCCTTTATCTTTCAAACCCCACACTTAAAAAATTTATAGGATTTTTTTAAGGCAGAAACAAATTCTAGAAAACATAGTCAAACAAGAAAGGAAGCTACCTTCGGCCAGCCGAAGCTTATATACCCTTGTAGATAAAAGAATACTCACTCGGTGCAGTTCCAGGGATTCCAGATTCAGCGTTTCGATTTATTTCAATTTTGTTTTTAAGTAGTCAAGAATCAAAACGCCTACTTCCTACAAAGTTACAATGAATTTTCTTATATTTGTTTGGGAGCCTTAAGATATAGTGGTCCGATCCGGCTGGCTCCGACATATGTACTACCTGCAATAGAAAGAAGACCTTCGGGAAAGTTTCATCGCGATAGCTTTAAAACTGAGAGACTAGTTCGCATAGAAACGGACAGACGGACAGACGGACAAGGCTAGATAGACTCGGCTATTGGTGCTGATCAAGAATATATATACTTTATGTGGTCGGAAACGTCTCCTTCACTGCGTTGCAAACATCTGACTGAAATTATAATACCCTCTACAAGGGTATAAAAACATAAAAGTATACACCTGCGGTCAAAATAGTAGTAGTGTTGCCGCCCTGTGTATTTAAAAGTTTGTTGTTGTAATTGATCTTTTCCTGGTAATATTGTATTGATTATAATTTTACTATTAAAAACACAGGGCGGCAACACTACTACTATTTTGACCGCAGCAGTATGTTTTTAAGTTTTTTGACTATGTTTTCAGGAGTTTATTTCTGCCTTAAAAAAATCCTAAAATTATTCTAAGTATGGGATTTGAAAGATAAAGAGTGTAACTTTTAAAAAACTTTAACATCGAATCAAACCATGCATCCATTTGCCTCTGAGAGCTCCGCAAAGTTGGCCAATTTCAGCATTTTTCGAACTTTGAGGTCCTTTTGCTAAGAATCCTTGCGTCGGTGAACTTTTTGGAAAACGCAGTTAAACTTGGAAATTCGTAACGAATCCAAAAAAATTGCATCCATCAAGGTAAATTTTTGATGCTGCATAGTGTTATTTTTGATTATTCAGAAATTAACAAAATATTTACCAATAAAGGTAAATTCGTGATTTCTGGATCTCGAGAATATTACATCATCGTTCGAGTGTTTTTTTAGAGTCCTATATTTTATTCCAAGTTCCAACTTATTTTTTTGACATAAAATTAAGGTTTAATGATTGTTTTCGATTATTCAGAAATTAACAAAATATGTATGTATAAAGGTATATTCGTGATTTCTGGACCTCGAGAATATTATATTATCATTGGATTGTATTTTCTAGAGTCCTATATTTTACCCTGAATTTCTATTTATTTTTTTGAGATAGAAGTAAATTTTAAGGATTTTTTTTTATTATTTAAATATTTACCTATAAAGATAAACTCCGGATTTCTGGATCTCAAGAATATCATCATCATTCGATTGTTCTTTCTGGAGTCCTATATTTTACCCTGAATTCCAATTTATTTTATTTTGACATTAATGATTATTATACCCGTTACTCGTAGAGTAAAAGGGTATACTAGATTCGTGCAAAAGTATGTAACAGGTAGAAGGAAGCGTTTCCGACCCTATAAACTATATATGTTCTTGATCAGGATCACTAGCCGAGTCGATCTAGCCATGTCCGTCTGTCCGTCTGTCTGTCCGTCTGTCTGTCTGTATGAACGCTGAGATCTCGGAAACTATAAAAGCTAGAGGATTGACATTTTGCATGCAGATTCTAGGAGTTCCTACGCAGCGCAAGTTTGTTTCAAAAGGGTGCCACGCCCCCTCTAACGCCCACAATCGCTTATATACGATTTTAAAATTTCAATATTTCGGAAAAGTAAAAATGCAGTTTTATGGTGTTTATCAATACTATTTTTTAAATCGGACCATTCGTTAAAAAGTTACGGCGGATCAAAGTTTTTATCTTCATCTCCTTCGCACTTTCTTTAGCTGAGTAACGGGTATCTGATAGTCGGGGCACCCGACTATAGCGTTCTCTCTTGTTTTAAATTATTTTTTATGATTTTTGACCACCAGCCACCGTGAGGAATGCGACGCCGGCCAGCTGCTCGCCGCAGCCCACGATCGTGGAGCTGAAGCCGCCGGCGGAGGACGAGGCTAACTACTACTACATGCCCGCCTGCACGCGGATCAGTCGGTGCAACGGCTGCTGCGGCTCCACGCTGATCTCCTGCCAGCCGACGGAGGTGGAGCAGGTGCAGCTGCGGGTGCGCAAGGTGGACAGGGCGGCGACCAGCGGACGCCGGCCGTTCACCATCATCACCGTGGAGCAGCACACGCAGTGCCGCTGCGATTGCCGAACGAAGGCGGAGGACTGCAATGTGTATCAGTCGTACCGCAAGGACCTGTGCCGCTGCGAGTGCCACAACACGGATGCGCGGGACAAGTGCCTGGAGCAGGCCGAGAACAAGTACTGGGTGGACGACAACTGCACCTGCGTGTGCCGCTACAACCAGAGCTGCACCACCGGCACCGTCTTCGATGAGACGCAGTGCAAGTGCACCGACGTGAGTGGCTCCCGATAGGACTCCACCCTAGTTGCCCCTGAGGCCCAATGGCTCCCGGTTCGGGCGAGGGATTGGTTGCGTTCTGGTCCGTTCTGGTCAGGGGATCGGTTGTACTCTCGTCCTTTTGGTTGGTTTGCCTGGTTGGTTGCTTCCTGGTGGTGGCTCTCTAGCTTAAGCTCCTTCCTGCTCCTTCCAATAATATGCAGCTAGGCTCCTCGAGTTCCTTGCGTACTTATTTTATATGTTCAGGATTGTAAATATGTTGTATTGAAAGTTATACTTTACTACTCTGCATGTTTACATGCAACGAATTCTTAAATCTTTTTTTGTAAATATTTTTTAATATGTATATTTTAAATAATTTATTCAATGTTGAAAGTATTTATATAGATATGTTTATTTTTTCTGTTATTTTTTCCCGAATATATAAAATTTAATTTTATTTATTTCTTAGTAGTTCGAATTTTACAATAATAATAATAATTACAATATAATAATAATATTCTTGATCAGCATCAATACCCGAGTCCATCTAGCCATGTCCGTCTGTCAGTCTGTCCGTCTGTCCGTTTCATCTTTCTATTGCAGGTCGTACATATGTCGGAACCAGCCGGATCAGACCACTATATCTTATGGCTCCCATAGAAATAATCAAAAAAGTAAAAGAAAAACTATTGTAACTTTGTAGAAAGTAGGCGTTTCGATTTTTGACAATGTAAAAACAACATTTTAATTAGGCATACCTGCCTAATTATAATTATATAAACTTCCGCTGGCCGAAGTTAACTTACTTTCTTGTTTTTAACTTATTCTGACGCATGAGTTATTTACATAGTTTATACATAGTTTCTAGAATGAATAAATTATTTAAATCAATACAATGTAGACTTCTTATTATATTATTATCTTGTTATTTTGTAGCATATTTTATTCTCAAGTTTTGTTTTTATTTATTCACCTGTATTAATCCAACTCGTGTTTATTCTGTTCTATTTTATTATTTGTTTAGCTGTTAGCCAAATAACTCACTCTATTTCTTTCCCTTAATTTAAGTTTGTCATCGTCCTAACACCTTTTACATGTCTTTACTTCTGTTTCTCTTGTGTTTCATTTTAGATCAAAAATGTCGAGTATTATTCTTAGAGTCCACAAAACAAAGCACACTCCACAAATTAAATTTGCTTACCTTTTTGTGATATTGTTACATTAACTTTTTCGGAAAAAGGAACTTAAAATTAGCGATTTGTTAAGGTTAAAAATAAAAAAAAAAATTGTAAAGAAAATTGTAACATATACATAGTGAGGCAAAAAAAAGGGAGAAGGGAGTTGCATTGTGTGAGTACCTGTCCTGCTTAAATGTTTAATCAACCTGCCAAAAATAATAGTTCTTATACCTCCATGACTAACCTCGCCGCTAATTTAAAATATCGAAAATATCCAATTGCTTCGCCCTACCCAAAGTCCCGCTTTTTAAAAAATATGCCTTTAAATAAATATGATTTCTGTATTAAATGTATTTCTTTACTTTCCCCCCGATTAGCCTGGCGCACCCATCAATGTTTTGGACCGCAAACGCTTCATTGTCCAGGCCGTACAGGTGGACCCCGATAACACCACCCTGTACAGTGTTTGAGTACAGTTAACAAACACCGGGGAGTACGAAGGAGAAACGCCAGCTTCCTAGAGGGAAATCCCCGAGTACTGAGAAAGCAATTACCGAAGAATTGCACTAAGCGTAGTTGCCTATGTACTTTAAATTATTTATAGTTATCGATTAAACATAGCCTAAGACCACTGTACCCCCTTAAAAACTAACTCACAGTATTTTCCCCTTGCTTCTGCGGCACAAAAAACAAGAAAAAGGGGGTTTGCAAAAATCTCTAACGATTGGATGTAACTTGAAAATGTGTTTAAAACTGGACAAACTATACAATTTTGGATACATTTTCTAAAAAATTCCAAAATAGAAATTTTTGCGCAACCCCTGCGTAAATATTAATTTTATTAATTTGTTAATAGTACTTTTTAAGCGCCTTCCACTTTGTCGCGGCCTTGTATACACTTGTTTATTTCCGTTTGTTTAAGTTTTAATTCATTCTAAATTAATCGTCCACAAATTAAATGCTATCCAATAATTCGCTGTACTCCATTTGTATGTAACTTTTTTTTGTATAAACTGTTAGACCTAAGTTTACGTAAAGAAAATACAGACAAAGTATTGAATTATTAAATTATTCAGATGTGTTTTTTATTTGCAAAAGTCGGGTTTGTGACAGAAAACGCTTAAGCAACTATTTCAAAAAACTTATCATTGAAAATTAGTTAAGTAATAAAGGGGCAAGTTCTGTGACTTGGAACTACATTTTTGTATAATCTAACACAATTTTAGAAGTACTTAAAAATAAATATCGTTATTGCCATCAAGCGTTTTATAGTTCTTAGTACTTAAATATAAATATTATTATTGGCATCTATCGTGTTTTTAAAAGTAAATAGCGCCATCTAGCACATTTGCAATTCAAAGGTTCTGGCAATAGCGCCATCTATGAGTACTTACGGTGTCTTCCACTTAGCCGGGACACCAACCCGCGTATCCTATATATCGATAGACATCGGATAGCTTTTACTACCACCTCCTTTATCGATAGTTGTAGTCGACAGTCAGCCGCCTCTAGCGAAAATTTCATGCGCCAAAACGTAAACTAAAGGAGTTCCATTGAAAATAGAGCGATAATAAGGACACCCAGCCGACCAATGCGTTGCGCCGCGAGAAACTGAGACCGGGGACACCAGATTTCGACAACTGCAGTAGAGCATCCTGCGCGGAGGCGGCGGGGAAGAAGGCATTTCCACCTGGTGGGTGGTACAGCAGCGCAAGAAGAAGAAGAGCGGCAACGCTGCAGTCCAGTTGATAAACAAAAGGATAACAAATAAAGCGGAGCGAAAAGGATTCAATCGACAACTGGACAGGATGTCGAGCAGGAGAAAGTGAGCGAGACCCTTTACACTTGGCCCTGCAACAACAGAAGTTTCGAGATTAAGATGCAGGTGAGTGGGCAGAACCAAAACAAACAATTTCACATGTAGGGTAAATACGTATATTACATAGATGAGATTCCTACCTAAATATTTAATTTATCATTGGGAAAAGAGAAATATTTATATAGATATAGAATCTATTGAATAAATTGGGTGAAACATCATATCATGGTTCCTTATGATCTCATGATATCATGAACTATAGGATCAATAGGAACTATGAGATCATAGAATGTATAGGAACTGTAGGCTCCTAGGATCTATAGCAACTATAGGTTCATAGGATCTATAGGATCATAGGATCTTTAGGAACTATATGATAAAAGGAACTATAGGATAAAAGGAACTATATGATCATAGGAACTATAGGACCTTGGGTTATGGAAACTAATAATAATAAGTGAGTTTGGTGGTAAAACCTGGGAATATGATAACAACTTTGAAAACAAATAACTTCCTATATATAGACTATATATTTAAACGATTAAACGATATTTTTTAACTGGGTTTTCGTTAATTTATTATTATTTTCATACAATGCGATTATACTCTAATCCCAGCAGTCTGAAAACTATGTCAGATTTTTGGGATCGCTTCTCAAAATTCGTCTGAAACTCTCTGACAAATTTGAATTTGCCAAATATCACATTTCTAATTTCTCGAATCTCCTTTCTTAAATATAAAACAAAATGTACCAAAGCAATTCACGTATCACTACGCTAACATATCTTCGAAACCAGAGAACCCAGAAGATGAAGGTAATTTATGAAGCGGGTAAATTACCATCCCATCCAGCACATTACTAACCTTCCTCCTTTCGAGTAACTGAATTAATTTGTAAATCCCGTTTGCCCTGTTTACTTTTCCAGCAAATGGACGATCCGCCATCGCTGCCCGTGGGCACGGAGGTGAGTGCCAAGTACAAGGGCGCCTTCTGCGAGGCGAAGGTCAGCAAGGTGGTGCGCAACATCAAGGTTAAGGTGGCCTACAAGCAAGGCCTGGGCTCGGGCATCGTCTCCGATGACGCCATCAAGGCGCCGACGGGCCAGCTGCGCGTGGGCGCAGTGGTCGAGGTGCGTCATCCGGATCGCAAGGAGATCGTCGAGGCGACCATCACCAAGATCCAGGACTGCTCCCAGTACACGGTGGTCTTCGACGACGGCGACATCACCACACTGCGGCGAACGGCTTTGTGCCTCAAGAGCGGGCGGCACTTCAACGAGAGCGAAACGCTTGACCAGCTGCCGCTGACCCATCCGGAGCACTTTGGGAACCCCGTGGTGGGCGGTCGCAGGGGCAGGCGGCGCGGCCACCTCAACGAGGACAGCTCCGAGGACGACGAGGAGAGCGATGCCAAGGAGGTGGTCAACGAGAAGGAGGAGAACATCGGCAAGGTGGTGTGCGTGGAGACGGAGTCCAAGAAGAAGGACAAGGAGAAGTGGTTTCCCGCCTTGGTGGTGGCGCCCACGGCACAGGTGAGTCGCCCCGCCATCGAGAGATACATATATAAAAGTTAATATCAGGGTTCGGAAAACAACACACACTGTAAAAAACTTGTGTTATCAACATGTTGAACGTCAAAGTGTTTAATTCAATAAAAGTTATTAACTTGTGTGTAAAAAATAGAATCCTACATATGTTAGAAACATAAAAACCACACACATGTCAGTTGTGTTTTCTACACGACGTGTTATTAACACGACATGTAATTTTACACAGCGCGCTTTTAACACAATGAAAATTAAAAAATGCACGTTTTTCCAGAGTATAAGAATTTATATATGCTTTGAAATGGTTAAAACTAACATATAAGATATCATGGTCCATATTGGTTTTTCATTTTCCCCTTGACTCGTTAATGTCAGTGAAATGTTATTTTCATTTGTGTTAAAAACGCAGTGTGAAAAAACACGTCGTGTTAATAACACAGTGTGTAAAAAACACGTCATGTTAATAACACATTGTGTAAAAAACACAAGTGAGCTGTGTGTGCTAACAATTATTTTTCACATTTCAACACTTTTGTATTTGACACACATGTCAACAATTTTGCTCACACTGTAAAATATAAATACATTAATCTACATTCCGTATTTGCATTCCCCAACAGGCCACCGTTCGCATTCGCGTCAAGGACGAGTACCTGGTGCGCTCGTTCAAGGACGGCCGCTATTATACGGTGCCCAAGAAGGAGGCCACCGAGTTCACGCGCGAGGTGGCCAGCAAACAAGATGTGCCTGCTGTGCAGGCGGCCCTCGAGTTCCTGGACAGCAGCATTTTGCCGGCCCACTGGGACCGGGACTCGTTGTTCGGCCTCTCGAACATCTCCAGCGACGACGAGGGCGAGATTGACTCGGACTCGTCGGATGACGAGCCGCACGAGGAGAAGGATCGCTTTGTGGCCCAGCTGTACAAGTATATGGACGATAGGGGCACACCCCTGAACAAGGTGCCCTCCATTCAAAGCCGCGACGTCGATCTCTATCGTTTGTTTAGGGCGGTGCAAAAGCGAGGCGGCTACAACCGCGTCACCTCGCAGAATCAGTGGAAGCTCATTGCCATGCGCCTGGGCTTCACGCCCTGCACGGTGAGCGTGATGAATCTGGTGAAGCAGGCGTACAAGAAGTTCCTCCAGCCCTATGGCGACTTTCACCGCAAGCTGGGCTGCTCCATGCTGATGACCTCGCGCAACTCCAATCGCAGCAAGGGCCGGAGTCTGGTGCGGGCCAACTCGGTGGCCTCGCCAAAGCCCATGGAGACTACGAAGACGGAGACCATCAGCAAGCTGGCCCAGCCCAATCAGACCAACGTGGTGGCCTCAACTTCGGCAGCAGCAGTAGCAGTAGCAGCCTCTTCTACGCCGGCGAGAGCCGTATCCATCGCCTCGCAGTCCGCTGCCGAGGAGTCGGGCAACACCAGCGAGTCCAGCGTGGTGGTGGAACCACCCAAGAAGCAAAGGAAGGGCTCGGCGGCCAGCAGTCAGCAGGGCAAGGTCAAGAGTCTGGTGGAGAAGTACGAGGAGAAGTCAACGGCAGGGCAAAGCTCGGCGGCTGTTGCATCAGTTGCCTCCTCGGGTGCCGCTGCCAGCGGATCTTCGGCTGCAGCCACAACAGCTACTCCAGTAGCAGCCACCACGCCATCATTAGGAGCATCTGGAGCAGCAGCAGCAGCAGCCACTTCATCCTCGCTTGTTACTGGAAATGCTGCAAACAACAAAGATGCCGAATCGGATCTGCCGCTGGCCAAGATCAAGGCAGCGGCTGCGGCGGCCGCCTCCTCCTCCTCCTCCACCAGCAGGCACAGCATGGAGAAGGAGACCAACATTAGCTCGGGCAGCAGTGCCTCCGCCTCCAGCAGGGAGATGCAGCGCAGTCGGGATGCCTCGCCATCGGGTAAGTGCAAATTAAGGCTAAATTTCAGAACTCCATTTAGAGCCCTGCATGAATCATTCAATTTTTGTTTTATCATAGTATTCTGATTTGTTTAATTCAATTTTATGTGAAATAAATTTAATGTTTTTCTAATTCATTTCGAATTGAATGTATGAATGAATGATTTTTATAAATTTTTGAATTTGCCAGATTTTTTTGTGCTTTCTTTTGAGAACAAAAAGTGAAACATTTTTAACAAATCAATGTTAACTGCTTAGAAAATAATACTCATGCAGATTTAATCACAAAATTATGGCCCTTTCTTCTTCTTGAAATTGTCGTTTGAATTATTTCGGAATTCATGCCATTCATTCATTAAATTCTATTAAACTCAACATTCGAATTAATTCATTCATATAAAACAAAAAATTCAAAATAATTCATTGAATCCATTCATGCTGGGCTCTAACTCCAATCTTTATTTTAGATAGACTATAAAATATCGTTAGACAATCTTCACTTTGACTTTGTGATAGGCATTGCCCAGAAAAAATTCAAAATAATTCATTGAATCCATTCATGCAGAGCTCTAACTCCAATCTTTATTTTAGATAGACTATAGACAATCGTTAGACAATCTTCACTTTGACTTTGTGATAGGCATTGGCCAGAACGCCGCGCAGATTCCAAATGTGCTCGAACTTTTCCGGCTGCACATTGTACGCCGAGTCGACGGCCTTGGCCCAGATCTCCACGTCGCCGGCCTTTCGTTGCTCCTCGGAGACGGGCAGACGGGCGGTCCACAAGGACCAACCGTAGTGCCTGCCATCTGGGATGTCCTCCTGCTCCAGTTCGGCCACATGCCAGCTGGCGCCCTCGTCGTTGGTCAGGTCCACGCGCACTATCTTCCTGCCGCCTCCGCTCCACGCGTAGCCCTTTACAGTGATATATTTTCCTCCCTCTTCGCCGTCATCCTCATCCACTTTTACCCTGGCTCCCGACTGCGGCGCACAGATGGCCGAGGTCACCGGCATGGCCTGGATGGCATCCGACTTGCTAAAGTCCACCGTATCCCAATCGGTGCTGGGACTGAAGCCCTTGTAGTCGTTCTGCTGCCAGTGCGAATCCGATTCCCGATCCGCCACCACGATCCGCGTCAGCCACTTGACATTCCTCGCACCCACTGTGCCGGGTACAATCACCCGAATGGGATAGCCATGATCCCGGCTCAGCGTCTCATCATTCATCTCGTAGGCCAGGATGACATCTCCCCGGGGATCCAGGGCCTTGGCCAGCGGTATCGATGCTCCATACGGATGCGAGGTGGGATCCAAGTCGGCGCCCTCGAAGATCACATGCTTGCTTTCGTCCGGTTGCACTCCCTGCGCCCTCAAAACATCGCACAGTCGAGCTCCCGACCACTTGGCATTGCCCACTGCACCGGCTCCCCACGAGAGACCTAAAAAGAATCGATGGAGAGTCAAGTGGGAGGTTACTTAGAAGCAGGGTTCGGAAATTGATACACATGTTAAAAACATGAAAGATGTTATTTTACAGTGTGAGTAAAATTATTGTTAAAAAGACGTGTTTTTTACACACCGTGTTTTTAACACAAATGAAAATTACATTTCACGGACATTAACGAGTCGAAGGGAATATGAAAAACCAATATGGGCCATGATATCTTATGTGTTAGTTTTAACCATTTCAAAGCATATATGAATTCCTATACTCTAGAAAACCGTGCATTTCGCAGTTCAACCACGGTTGCCAGATTTGGCTCTTGGCCCATTTTCATTGAATTTTGCTCTTTTTTGCTAAAAGCGATAAAAAATATTTTAAACTTGAAAAAAATCGAATTAATTTTTTTATTAATGCAATTGTGCCAGATCGAATCTAAACTGCTCCGCTGGTATGATAATTTGATATATGGTACCAATTTGGCTCTTTTTTATTCAAATTGGCTCATTTTTATTCTTTTTTTGGCTCATAAAAAATTTTTGAAGTGGCAACCGTGATTTTAACATACAATTCTGACACTATGATGTCAAAAACTCATTGTGTGAAAAACACGCTGTGTAAAAAACACGTCGTGTTAATAACACAAATGACATATGTGTGTTATTTATGTTTCTAACACATGTAGGATACAATTTTTTACACACTAGTCAATAACTTTTTTTGAACTTAACATGTTAATAACACAGGTTTTTTGCAGTGTGTGTTATTTTCCGAACCCTGCTTAGTACACAACTCACCCTTCACCGCCTTCACTTTTGTCATCTCGGAGCGTCGATTGCCGCCGCACATGATGGCCGCCGTCACGGAGTGCTTGGGCAGAGCCTTGATCCCCGCCAGACTGAGGGTCTTCTCCTGCCCCTCGCCACCGTCGATCTCCAGCTCATAATCCTCGGCACTGATCACCGGCACCGGCAGATGGTTGCGCACATAGAACAGTTCGTTGGGTGTGTAGAATTGTTCGGCCAGCAGGCCAATCGGTGGTTCTGCGTTGAATGGCCTCTTGGAGGCGGGCTTAAGCAGCGCATGTCGCTGTGGCTCCTGCGACCACGGAGAGCCCAGCTCATCGTCCACAGTGGCGACCAGTTCTCCCTCCAGATTGCCAATACGAAAGCCTTCGAGGAGCTCCAGAACCTCCAGCGTATTGTGCTGCTGGTAGATGGCCCAAAAGGGATCGATGGCACTGCCGGCTGCCATCAGGATCTTATCGCCACCCGGATGATTCTCGGCAAAGTCCGTCACATCGTAAACGCCCAGGCCGTAGGTCACCCAAATGCGATTCTCTGGGCAATTGTGCTGCTCCACTTGCTTCGCCTTGTAGGTGGGCAGTTCCTTTCTTAAAGTCACGTGCCAAAGTCTAGCCAGTGCCTCCTGTTCGTCCTCCTTTTGCTCCTCGAGGAGCACATGGTGGCTTCTATGGGTCAGCCAGTGGTAGCCGAGGGTCAAGCCACCTGCCCAGAAGGCGGCATAGATCATTTGCTCTGTTCTGCTGCCCGGGGAACTCCACTTGTGCTGCTGCTGCTGCTGCTGTTCTTCCCTTCCTCCATTGCTGGTGGTCACTAGAAGACGCCGCTGCTGGTGGTGCATTAATCCCGCCCAGCTGCGCCTGAGCAAACGCATGATTATGTAACCGCAAAACCACCGGGAAATCACTTGTTTCGAATCAAATCCAATCCAATCTCCAAGCTTCTTCAAACTCTGCTTCTTGCCGCTCCGGTAAATGTGCTTTTATTAGTGATATGATGATGTCTTCTGTTTGTCCACTGGCGACATTGGCCCCTGCAGCCTCTGGCCCCCCAGCTGGGTTGGTTTTATTGATAAGCAATCTGAAATAGCGCTAATTCGGTTGTTTACCAGCCGACCAGCCGCCTTGTTGACAACGGACACACACTATTATATTTTGTATACGATATTTGAGACACCGAACAACCCTGTTTTTGGGTACCTTTATATACCCTTTCGAAGGGGTACCATCATTTGGCCAGGAGCCTAAAACTAGTTCGTAGATCATGAGTAGATACTTTCAAAAACTAGAAAATACAAGTTGAAACAACTTTGCGTTCAAATCACCTCTAATATTTGTATTATATAAGTAATATTTTTGAAAACATTTTTAAATTGTCTAAAGTTAGGCAGAAAACAGGCAACTGTATACCTTTATAAATACCAAAAACTTTCTTTAAACGTCTTTGTTTTAATCAAGAGGTTTTTAAATCTTCTACCGACCTATATTTGAAAGAATTCGAAACAATTTACAAAATATAATTTAAAACATTCCTTAAGATTCCTTAAAGATTTTTAAAAAACCTTAAAAAAATGTGTTACACATACAGTATATATCAAAATAACTTTATAATATATATTTTAAATCTTCTAAAGACTTCGATATCAAAATAACTTTATAATACATTTTTAAATATTCTAAAGATCTTCTTCTTCTTCAAAATAACTTTATAATATATTTTTAAATCTTTAAAGACTTCGATTTAAAAGAATACCAAAAAAATTACAATATATAATTTAAAACATTACAAACAATCTTTATAGATTTTTTAAAAAACCCTCAAAAATAAAAATAACTTTATAATAGAGTAGTTAGAATATATAAACTTCGGCTTTGCTTCGGTTGGTTTTTTAAACGCACGAAGAACTTTCACGCAGCTCATTAGTATCGATACAAATATCGATAGCTCGACAAAAACAGTCGGCCAAGAGCAATTAACTAAAAATGCAAGTTAATAAAGGCACTAAGCTCGTTAAAATACTCAAGTCTGTAGATAAAAAGCTTTCGCAAAGCACTTGTTGCTTTGTTTATATCTGTGATATCTGATATTTGATAAGGGAAGAAACTATCTTCTTTCTCTTTCCTATTCGAGATATTATGCTTGAAGATATATGCGAAAATATACAAGGGAAAAGATACACAAGTGTATGTAAAGATATGATATCTTAAAAACACTCCTTTTTTTTAATACTCTCTTGTTTGTTATTTATTTTTGTTTTAAAATCTAAGTCAGGGAAATGGTAATTAATTAATTAGTTCTCCCTTGCTAACTGGGGGAGCTTTTAAAAATAGTTTTCAATAGTTTACTGTAAATTTACAAGTTTAATAAATATTTTATGTTTTATTTATACTCTTAATAATTCACTTAGAATTACACTTAATTTGAATACTACAAAAGGCTCTAACAAAAATTGTGCTTTACTAAACTAACTAAAAGTTAAAAGAAAAGTTTTTTAAAAACCTAAAAAGGAACACTTTTAATGGAGAGAGATAATAGAACCACAACATTTTAAAGATTGTAGATATACTGTTTTACAATTCCTAAATGGAGTTTTGGATCATTTCGACATGAGAATTACAAGAAATGAATTAAAAATATACCCCAACAAACTAAAATTGAAGATTTCAATTTAATAGTATGCCTTATAACTTGAATCTAGTTGGAATGGAAATGATATTTACCCAAAGCAGCCAACTCTCTATGTTTTCCAGCGATAACTAATGAATATTCCCTTCCTTTTTTCAGTTCCTGGTCCACCTCCCTCCGGAGGAAGCTCGTCCGCTGGAGCTGCCACCGCCCAGCCGGCGTCCACCAAGAAGGAGAAGCATCAGCGGAGCAAGCAGGTTGACAAGGATAAGGACAAGGACAAGGAGAAGGACAAGGAGGAGAAGCAGCCGGGCAGCGGCAAGCGGAAGAAGGAGAAGATTAGCGTGGAGAAGATCGACACCGGTGACTTTGTGGTCGGAATTGGGGACAAACTGAAGGTCAACTACCACGAGAAGAAGTCGCCCAGTTCGCATGGCAGCACCTACGAGGCCAAGGTCATTGAGATTAGTGTCCAGCGGGGAGTACCCATGTATTTGGTCCACTACACCGGCTGGAACAATCGCTACGATGAGTGGGTGCCGCGCGAGCGGATTGCCGAGAACCTGACCAAGGGATCCAAGCAGAAGACCCGCACCATAAGCACCAGTAGTGCGAATAGCGGTAGTGGTGGTGGAGGAGGCAGTGGCTCCCTTTCGCAGCAGGTTCCACCGGGAGTGGCGGATAAGCTGGTTAAGGATGGTTCCTCCAAAATACCACCTTCAGCGGGAAATTCCTCTGCAACCGGAGCTCCCTCTCAGCCAGGAGGAAGTCTGGGGGGAGCCAGCTCCACGCCATCCCTGCTGTCCACGGTGGTCAGGACCCCAACGACCACAACCACGACGGCGACGACGGGAGGAGCCAAGCGGGGACGCGGACGCAGTGACTCCATGCCGCCCCGCTCCACCACACCCTCGTCGGGAGTGGTGGCTACCAACTCAGCTCGCACTAAGTCCCCAGCGGCGGCGGCATCTCAGATGAAGAAGCGTCCAACGAGAGTGACACCGGGTACCAACACTCCGCGTCGCGTTTCGGATGCCTCGATGGCCTCCGAATCGGATTCGGACTCCGATGAGCCGGTGCGGCGGCCAAAGAGGCAGCAGAGTGCCAAGGAGAAGCCTCAAACGGGCAAGGCGGCGCAGCAGGGCGGTAAAGGAAGGGTGGGCAGTAGGGCCTCCTCCACGGCACCGGCTAACCATCCCAGCGATGATTCCGAAGAGGAGGATGAGGAGGAGGAGGATGCAGCTCCCTCCAAGCAGCAGACCACCTCTGTTCGTGGATCCCGCGCTGGAGGCAATCGCGCCATGAGCAGCGGCGCCGCTTCCGCCAAGGGACGCGACTATGATCTCAGCGAGATTCGATCGGAGCTCAAGGGATTCCAGCCGAAGCTGCTAGCAAAGGCGGTGGTTAATCAAGAGCAAAAGGAGAACGCCAAGAAGGAGTCATCCGATGAGCCAGCAAATCTGCCAGACATCAAGAAGGAGCCCAAACAGGAGTCCTCGGCCAAGAGCAGCTCCACGGAGCTCTCCTCCGAAACGGAGTCGTATGTGGACGAGGATTCGCAGTCCTCCGATTATCGCAAACAGGCAAAGGGCGCTGGGAAGAAGGAGCCCTTGAAATCCTCGCTGGTTGTAAAGGAAGAGCCACTCAAACTGGAACCCAAAACGGAGCTTAAGGAGGAGGAAGCCAAAAGCAAGCCCTTCTTGTCGGGAGCGGACATCAAGCCCACCGCTTTGATAGCGCCAGCTAGATTTGGGAACACCTCGGCTAACCAGGCGGCTACCTCAAGCGGATCAACCTCCACTACCCCCAAATACACTTCGGTGATTGTGGAGAAGCATCTAACCATCGGTGGGAAGAAAACAGCCGAGCAGCAGGCGGGTAAAAAGCAAGACCCAGTGAAGAAGCAATCGATTGGAGCAGCCACTAGCTCCTCGCAGGAATCCAAGAAGTTTGCCGAACCGGTGGCCAGCTTGAAGGTGGAACTGCCGGCCGCCTGTTCGCCCTCATCTTCCTCCTCCTCGTCCAGTTCCTTCTGTTCGTCGGGCTCCGCGGTGAGTTCCAGTTCGGCCACTCGTTCGCTGCCCGATATGAGCAAGCTGGAGATTAGCAGTGGTGCGGGAGCGACGACACCAGTGGCCACACAGCCAGCCAATGCCACCAATGCCAAGGAGTCCAAGTACAGCAGCAGTGGAGCAGGAGGAGCAGGAGGAGCAGTTGCCGCTGGTGGATCGGGTTTAAGCATGCGAAAGCTGCTATCCTCGGATGTCTATGAGTTCAAGGATACAGAGCCCTTTGAGTTCGAGAAGCGCATCTCGCCGATGGCCTCGGTGGGCGGAACTGCGCCGGCCGGAGCCACTGGAGCAATTGGAACAGTGGTGACTCCTCCTGGCGCTGCCTCCGTGATCACAGCCGTAATGCCAGCGGTAGGAGTCGCGGGAACAGGTGGAACAGCCTCCACTTCACCCGCCGCCCCAGTGGTCAGTTCGGCGGCCAGGAAGCTGGCACTCAAGGCCAGCGCCATGCAGCAGAGTCTGGAGCAGCACCAGTTGCCTCCAGCTGGACACGAAAGGGGATACACTGGAATGCCGACCGCCTTGACAGCAACCAAGCTGAAGAAGAGAGGTTCTCCCTTGAAAGAGGCCGCCTTGAGCCTGGAAAAGCCCAAGATCTACAAGCTGGACAAGGAGCAGGTGCAACAACAGCCGGCGGAGCAAAAGCAGCTAACCCCGCCCACTTTAAAAGTGCTTCAGCCGGCTGGCCAAGTCACTCCCTCCTCCAGCAATGCGATCAAGATGCACACGCCGCCGGGAGCTGGAGCAGCAGCAGCAGCTGGATCACCCAGTCAACTGGCTCCTCATCATGCCACGCCCTTCGATGCGCTGCGCAAGTCGCCCAGTTTCAATCTCAACATCACCGCTTTGAATGAGGAACTGGCGCAGACGGTCCAAGAAACCACACGCGCTCTAACCGATGCACTGCAGCCGCCTGAGCCACTGCCACCGCCGCCGGCTAGTGCAATTAACCAAGCGGCGCCAGTGATAACGCCAACGCCTCCAGCCGCCTTGAGCTGCCCCAGCACTCCGCCCACGAGCTCCAACTCCGTGCTGGCCTCGCCCAAACTCCAAACTCCGCCGCAGGCTAGCGGCAAACAGCCGCCTGCTCCTCCGCACATCGTGGGCAGTCCCTTCATCGAAACGAGGAACGTCTTCGAGCTGAGCACCTCCAACGAGGGCAGTGGCTACAGTTCCGGCGAGTCCAAGGACAACAAGCTGGAGAAGCTGGAGAATGTCAAGATCCTGCTGGCCGGAGCAGCCGGTGCTGCCTTCGACTTGGATGCCGGCAGCTATGAGCAGAAGACCAGCTCCATAGCGGACAAGGTGCTGAAGGCCATAAGCCAAAAGAAGGAGGAGGTGGAGAAGGAGAACAGCAAGAGCAAGCCGCCAGTTGAGGCGATTGTCGAGGAAGTGGTACCCAATCCACCGCCTGCCAAACTGGAACTCTGCAGCAGTGCCATCAAGCTGGATACCCTCAAGATGCTAAGTGAACCACTGAAGATTCAAACAGGTCCTCTGCTGGGTGAACTCTATAGACCCGGACCGGCGACCAGCAGTCCGGAGACCAAGTCCCTGCTCGAATCCTCGCTGCCCGCCAAGAACAGCGAGCTGAGCGAGACAATTCAGAAGCTGGAGTGCGCCATCCAGCAGCGGAAGACGCCCGTGGGTGGAGCCCTCTCCTCGCTGGCCAGCTCCACGGCGGGCACACCGCCCACCGCCCATACGCCCAACTCCACGGCCACCGCGGGAGCGGGATTCTCGGATGAATCCATGGACAGCACCGACTCCGAGCAGCGTCTGGTCATCGAGGATGTGATTGCAGAGGAGCAGACGACCACCACAACGACTGGGGAGCAAAAGAGTCCGGGTTCCGGGCAGGAGGAGGCTCAGACAGCCGCCGTGGTTACAGCGGTTACTGCGGAGACGGAGGGCACTAGCAGCAGCACGCCCACGCCGCCAGTTCCGGCACCCGTTAAACTGGAAGTGGGTGGAAAGGGAGTACAGCCGGGAATACAGGCGCCCATTGCGCTGAAGCCTACGGAGGGCAGCTCCTTTGCCGGGAAACTACCACCGCTGGCCAAGCTTCAGCCGCAGCAGCAGCAGGAAGAGGTGGCCACTAAGAGCATTGGCTCCTCCTTTGGCATACCCATTGTGCTGCCCGAGATTCCCGCCTCCGTGGTGGTGGCCACTCCGGCGCTTATGGTTTCCTCCGCCGCCGCCATTCGTCACAGTCCCGGCTCCACGCCGAGTTCACCAGCTCCTGTTTTAATGTCGCCCAAGGGCTTCATCACCACGGCACCAAAAGTGGAAGGCGAAGTGGGAGGATTGCTGCTGAAGGCCTACACAGCAGGAGTTCCAGTTGCGGGAAGCGTAATAGCCACCACCGGCGGAGGAGCAGCCACTGTCATCTCCAGTTTCAACCAACAACAGCAGCAGCAACAGCAGCAGCAACAGCAGCCAACGACGACTAGTGTGCCTCCAGCTGCACCAGAGATCCCAGCCAGCTACATTTTAGATGCAGAGATGGCCGAGGCGCCCAACAGCAGTGCTCCAGTGGTGGCGCGACCCTTTGTTATGCACGCCGTGGGCAAGGAACTGTTCAATGTTGCAACACCGGCGGCCAGTTCGCCGCTGATCAGCGATCCCCACAACGAGTCCATCAATCTGCTGTGCGAGGAGACCATACCGGGCAGTCCGGCGCCCAATTACGGAGGCGCCGAGCAGCTGCCCGCCGCCGCTGTGAACTCGGCGCTGGCCATTGTGGGCATAACGCCCCTGCCACCCGACACTCCGCCGGCGGGAAAGACGGTCGAGATTAATCCATCAGCGCCCAACAGTTCGCCGGACTCGGCCAGTCAGGATGAGAGCGGCGAGGAGACAAAGAAGAGTGCCGAGCACGGGAACGAGGAGGACTCCAGCGGATTGGGGGCACTGAACAAGCGCAAGCGCACCCGGAAACCCCTGCCCATGAGCGCCCAAACGGCGGCCGCCGTGGCGGCGCAACTCCAATCGCTGGGCAAGCGGCGACGCCAGGTGTCCGGGATGCGCAGCCAGAAGACCACGGCCACCACAGGTAAGGAATGCTTAATAAGTAGTAGGGTTCGGAAAATAACACACACTGTATTAAGTTCAAAAAAATGATTGACTTGTGTGTAAGAAATTGTATCCTACATATGTTAGAAACATAAATAACACACATGCCATTTGTGTTATTCACACGACGTGTTATTAATGTTCTTTTAAACAGCGTGTTTTTAACACAATGAGTTTTTGACATTAAAAAATTTAAAAATGCACGGTTTTCCAGAGTATAAGAATTCATATATGCTTTGAAATGTTTAAAACGAACATATAATTGGTTTTTCATTTTCCCTTCGACTCGTTAGTGTCGGTGAAATGTAATTTTCATTTGTGTTAAAAACACAGTGTGTAAAAAACACGTCGTGTTAATAACACATTGAGGAAAAAACACAAGTGAGCTTTGTGTGTTAACAATAATTTTTCACATTTTCACAACACTTTTGTATTTGACAAACATGTCAACAACTTTGCTTACACTGTAAAATACAAATTTTCATGTTTTTTAACATGTGTGTCAATTTCAGAACCCTAAGAATAAGTAGCCTTATTATTGCGAAATCTAATGGCATATTAACTCTTTTAGCTGGCTCCGATACCGACGACAACTCGGATAATATAGCTCCAACTGCAGGGCAACAGCAACAGCAGCAGCAACGGCAGAGTGCCCGCCAGCAAATGCTGCCCCAAAGCAACGCGCAGCAACAGCAACAGCAGCAACAGCAACAACAGCAGCAACAGCAACTGCTGCAACAGCAGCAGCAACAGCAGGCGTCCCTGCAGCAGGGAATCCAGACGGGCAATACGCCAGGAGTGCGTCCATGTCCATACAACTTCCTCGTAGAGCTGGGTAAGTGCTTTGTAAGGCTCATGAATCCTCCTACTCCTCTATTAACATCCCTTTCTCCTTTCTTTCCTCTGCAGATCCTGCGCTCAGCTCGGACGAGTGCATCACCATACTGCGCAAACAGATTCAGGATCTGCGCAAGGCCTACAACACCATCAAGGGCGAACTGACGGTCATCGATCGCCGGCGCAAGAAGTTGCGTCGCCGGGAGCGCGAGAAGAAGCAGCAGCAGATGCAGAGCCAGCAGCAGGGCAAGATCTGCGCCTAGCTCGGATGGAATATACCGCCTCCTACTCCGTCGAACAGCGAGAACATCAATCTGGAAACGTCTGCAAATTCAAATGACCTTAGAGCGCCAGGAAAAAACGAATGAATATCGTTGCGAATGGCCGATCACGAAGAGCCGAAATTGTAAATCTATTGATTTTTTTTTTCCATTTCTAGTTTTAAGCGCAAATCTATAGGGTTAAGCGAAAATTGTGTCTGTATAAATACATTTCATAAGATGTATGTATTAGTAAACAAAAGAAAAGGAATTTTTAAAGTTAGGATCACCATTCTACAGAGAAAGTTCAAACAGTTTTAGTCCAGGCTTTGTTTTTAATTTGATTGAATTTCGGATTGATTCTTAGGAAACGGAGTAACCTCCCTCCAGGAGGATGTGGTGGCCGTTAACGAAGCTGGACTTGCTGCTCAGCAGATAACCGGTGGCATCGACCACCTCCTGGACCTCGCAGAACCGATTTAACGGAATGTGAGCCAACAGCGGTCCACTCTTGGCGGGATCCGACCAATTGTCGGCGCCCATTTTGGTCAGCACCACGGTGGGATTGACGGAATTCACCCGGATCCTTCGCGGACCCAATTCCAAGGCCAGCGACTTGGTCAGCGAGTCCAGGGCCGCCTTGGTGGCACTGTAGGCTGTGTGCCCGCCAAAGGATCGGCTCGAAGCTATCGAGGATACGTTGACAACGGAGGCGCCGTCTCTGAGGCGCGGCAGCAGCGACTGCGTGACATTGAACACCGCCTTGATGTTCACATCAAAGTGGCTAGAAGAAAAAATATAGTTTAATATAAACCTATTCCATGATACTACCATACTACTCTAATATAATAAAAGCTACACCCAAAAAAATCGATTTGAAACGTGGATCGATTTTATATTATTTAAGATCAATTTGAATTTGATATGCGGCCAGGTAAATTTGAACTGGTCGAAAGGAACAATATGGGCTTTGCATGACCTGAAATTTACATGGCCATATGGATTTTACGGGAACACACTTTTTTTGTGTGTAGGTAACATTTTTGGAGGTCAATTGAAGTGGGTTTCCAGTTGCCCTTTTCCTATAATCTGGTCCTGATAATCGTTATCATACTATAGGAATTCGGTGTTAGTGATCTTCCGAAAGCAGCGAAACTTTTCTTTGATAAGAGAGTCATTCTGATTAATGATCAGCAGAAAATGTAAATAGATGGGGGCTTTAAATATGCCTTAATTCAAAAAATACTACAATACTACAAAATATACTACATAAAAATAATTATAAACAATTAGATTTGATAATAATTATAATATTTTCAAATTATAATAATTATAATATTTTACAATAATTTACGTTTCCTTTTATAATATTTTACAATATTTTACGTATTATTGAAAACTCGAAAGTCTTATAAAACTGGACATAGTCTTAATAAGTTAAAGTAGGTTTTAAACAGGGAGATAGTATGGAAATTCCCGTTCAAAACCTACTTTTAACGACCGAACGATCCTAACTTGTCAGTATCTTGGAGTTCTTGAGATACAACCCACTTACACATCGAAATCCTGTTCAGTGAGCTCCTCGAACGGCTTAATAACCGCCACTCCGGCGTTGTTCACCAGTCCGTCCAGCAGGGGAACCTTCGCCAGGCCCTCGCGCACCGCCTGCCACCCGCTGAGGTCCAACTGGAGCGGCTGGATGTGCACCGGATCGAAGGCCACCAGCTCCTCCAGCTGCTCCGCCTTCCTGGCCACCGCGATGACGGTGGCTCCCGCCGTGGCCAGCTGCTTGACCAGGGCCTGTCCAATTCCGGCTCCGGCACCGGTCACCAAGATCACCTTGCCCGCAAGATCGGCCCACATGGTGATTGGATCGGATTGCTACTTTAAATCTATAAATCTATATTCTGCCCGGGTGGAAAGTTCCGTTCCGAGTGCAAGGGGATCGCTGGAAGAACTGAACTGGAAATTGTGTTTACACCTTATCGGGAGCAATAATCGCCGGCCAGAGCTTTCTTCGGAGAATCCGAAACTCAGAAGCTTTGTCTCGCTCTCTTCGCTGGGCTAGGTGTCGTTTAAGGTCGTTTCTCGATCGGAGATTTGCAGCAGATCATCTACAGGGGGTTGCAGTGAGGCCCCCTAAACTAATAAAAAAAATTATTGTGGGTAAAAATAGAGTCACCGATAAGCTTAAGATTCCGGATTTTAAGGAGCGATCCGAACCTGTTTGTTAATTAATTTTCACAGGGGGTTGCAGTAAGGCCCCCTGAACTAATAATAAAATTAATGTGGGTAAAATAGAGCCTCCGATAAGCATAGGATTCCGGATTTTAGAGCGATGCGAACCTGTTTGTTAATTAATTTTGAGTGCTAATCTGATGACTTTCAATTATGTGATAACCTTTTAAAATTTTTTAAAAATTTACACATGAAACCAGTTCTTAAAGATCTCAATGCTCCCTAAAATGTAATCACTATTCAATCCTATTTTTCGCTTTTTTAATTTTTAAAAAACATTTCAAATTTTCCATAAAATTGATTAAGTAATTTGTAACTGGGCATCCTTTCTTTAGGATTTGTAGAATGTGGTCATTACCGTTCTAGGTCAAATTGGTGACCCCGTTTAGCCAGTACTCCACTATTTTTAACCAAATTTTAAACAAATTAAAGAAAAATCTTATTAAAATTTAAAAAAAATGTTTTTTTTTTATACGTGTCAAAAAATTAACGTTTGAAGATAGATATTTATGTTTGGGCTGATGAACATTTTTTAATTTCTACAAAACTTTAATTTTTTTATTAGTCTAAAAATGTAATGTGATTTGAAACGTTTTTGAATAAATTTTTTTCATTGAGGCACCTGAAAGTATCGTAATAGTTTAAAAAACATCGATAGTGCCGCCGAAGGCGCTCACTCGATAGTGTCGATAGCACCATCGATGATTTGGCTGCTCTATTTCACATCTCTAACCGAAACAAGCTGTCAACAAAACAATTTTAATTTTTAGAATTAAATGAATTTGTGAATAAGTCTGGTACAAAGCAATGGCGCAAACGCAAGCCCCAGGTAGGTTTACACCTATCCCATAGTTACAGATTAATTTAAGTGCTGAACTCCACGTTTTAGCCGCCAAGCGCATGAAGCTGGCCCAGAAGCCGGCGAATCCCGTCGAGGAGGATGGTAAATATGGGCAAAAAGGGTATAAATGGGTTAACATGTGCACTAAGGTGATCTACCATCGACAGAGACGCCGTCCGTGTTCAATCCGAAGTACCGGGTGTGTCCCTACCTGGACACCATCAACCGCAACCTGCTGGACTTTGATTTCGAGAAGCTGTGCAGCATCTCGCTGACGCGGATCAATGTTTATGCCTGTTTGGTGTGCGGCAAGTACTTCCAGGGGCGCGGAACGAACACCCACGCCTACACGCACTCGGTGGGCGAGGCGCACCATGTGTTCCTCAACCTGCACACGCTGCGCTTCTACTGCCTGCCGGACAACTACGAGATCATCGACTCCTCGCTGGACGACATCAAGTATGTGCTGAATCCGACGTTCACGCGCCAGGAGATCAGCAGGCTGGACCAGCTGCAGCCGAAGCATTCGCGCACCGTGGACGGGGTGCTCTACTTGCCCGGCGTTGTGGGTCTGAACAACATCAAGGCGAACGACTACTGCAATGTGGTGCTGCACGCCCTCTCCCATGTCGGTCCGCTGAGGGATTACTTCCTGCGGGAGCAGAGCTATGCGCATGTCAAGCGGCCGCCGGGGGATTCGATGTTCACGCTGGTCCAGCGATTCGGGGAGCTGATGCGCAAGATGTGGAATCCGCGCAACTTCAAGGCGCACGTCTCGCCGCACGAGATGCTGCAGGCGGTGGTGCTGTGGTCGAGCAAGCGATTCCAGATCACCGAACAGGGCGATCCCATTGACTTTCTGTCCTGGTTCCTGAACACCCTGCATCGCGCCCTCAAGGGCAACAAGCAGCCCAATTCGTCTATACTCTACAAGATCTTTCTGGGCGAGATGCAGATCTATACGCGCAAAATACCGCCCGTGGAGCTGGACGATGCGGCGAAGGCGCAGCTGCTGGCCACCGAGGAGTACAAGGACCAGGTGGAGCACACCAATTTCATCTACCTCACCTGCGACCTGCCGCCGCCGCCGCTGTTCACCGACGAGTTCCGCGAGAACATCATACCGCAGGTGAATCTCTACCAGCTGCTGGGCAAGTTCAATGGCAGCGCCGAGAAGGAGTACAAGACCTACAAGGACAACTTTATGAAGCGCTTCGAGATCACCCGCCTGCCGCAGTTCATTATCCTGTACATCAAGCGGTTCACCAAGAACACCTTCTTCCTCGAGAAGAATCCCACCATTGTGAATTTTCCCATCAAGTGAGTGCGCTTGGATCCAAAGTAGAGCCCTGCATGAATGGATTCAATGGATTGTGTTGAATTTTTTGTTTTACATGAATGAATTAGTTAGAATTTTGAGTTTAATGGAATGAAATATGAATTATTTCAAATTTTTTGTTTTATATGAGTGAATTAATTAGAATTTTGAGTTTAATAGAATTGAATGAATTTGAATTTTGAGTTTAATAGAATTAAATGAATTTGAATTTTGAGTTTAAAAGAATTGAATGAATGAATGGCATGAACTCCGAAAATATTAAAATTATTAAATAGAATTAAATGAATTTGAATTTTGAGTTTAATAGAATGGAATGAATTTGAATCTTGAGTTTAATATAATGGAATGAGTTTGAATTTTGAGTTTAAAAGAATTAAATGAATGAATGGCATGAACTCCGAAATAATTCAAACGACAATTTCTTTTGAAGAAGAAATTGCCATAATTTTTTGATTAAATCTGCCTAAATTTTATTTACTATGCAGCTAAAATTTATTTCTTAAAAATTTTCCACTTTTTGTTCTCAAAAGAAAGCTCCAAAAAATATGGCAAATTTAAAAAATTCATAAATATTCATTAATTTATTCAATTGAAAATGAATTAGAAAAAAATTCAATTTATTTCACATAGAATTGAATTAAACAAATCGGAAATTTCACGGAATACTATAATAAAACAAAAATTGAATAATTCATGGTTCTCTTGAAGAAGAAAGGGTGATTAAATCTGCATGAATTTTATTTTCTAAGCAGTTAACATTGATTTCTTAAAAATGTTCCACTTTTTGTTCTCAAAAGAAAGCAAAAAAAAACTGGAAAATTCAAAAAATTCATAAATATCCATTCATTTATTCAATTTAAAATGTATTAGAGAAACATTCAATTTATTTCACATAGAATTGAATTAAACAAATAGGAAATTTCATGGCATACAATGATAAAACAAAAATTGAATGATTCACGCAGGGCTCTAATCCAAAGCCATAAACGTTATGCTTAAACATATTGCTTTAATTTTCAGGAACGTCGACTTTGGCGACATTCTGGGCATGCGGCAGCGCGACAAGGATGTCAAGGACACGAAATACAATCTGGTGGCCAATATTGTGCACGACGGCGATCCCAAGAAGGGCACCTATCGCGCCCACATCCTGCACAAGGCCAACGGCCAGTGGTACGAGATGCAGGACCTGCATGTCACCGAGATCCTGCCCCAGATGATCACGCTAACCGAGTCCTACATTCAGATCTACGAGCGCTGTGCCGACGCCTCGTGATCCCTTTGAAATGTAGTCCCACCTAGATGTATTTTGATTACCAAACACCATGATCCAAAACTAATATACGTAGTAGTCGCGGTTAGCGACTATGTGAGGCCCGTAAAGAGCAGAAATGTTGATGTATTTAATTATATAGCCCTAAGTAAGCATCAGCTGTGCCCCGAAAACAGCCAGCTATGCGCATGCGTTGTGCCGCAGATTGGGGCCACGACCAGCCAAAAAATCGATGGCATCGCCAGTCGTTGGGCGACAGAGTGACTGAGTTGTTTGAAAGCATGTCGGAGCAGCCGGAGAACAACAGCTACGAGCAGGAGTGCCAGCGGGCGGAGCTGCTGGGCCTCCAGCCGCCGGATGCCCAGGAATTCGAGCGGAAGCGCCAGGCGAGATTGGAGCACGAGTTGGCCGAACAGGAGGCCGCCGAGGCGGTGGTATGTACTGCCCTCTAACCAAGCGAATCTCCCACTGACTCCGCTCACTCTGCTGCTTCAGCTGCTGGAGCAACAGGACGAGGGCCTGGCCAATGTGGGCGGCAAGCTGGGCGAGCTCAATAGCATCCTGTCCAGCACGCAGCAGAAGCTCAATCGGTTTAAGCAAACGGCCTGTGGCAGCTTAACCAATATATTCGTCCGAGGCAGCTCGGGCTCAGTGGATCTTTCAGCGGGCATGGGGGGATCGGGATCGGTCTCTGGCCAGGAGGAGCAGCGTCCACCTGTCCAGGAGCAGCCGCTGGCCAAGCCACCGCCGACGGCCGCCGAGGTGAGCGCCGCCAAGGCGGCCAAGCAGAAGCGCATGGACTCGCAGCTGGACAAGCTGGATGCGCTGATCAACCAGGCGGACAATGCCCAGATAGCCATGAGCGAGCAGACCCAGCAGATGCGTCGCCTGGCCAAGTGAATTCGAGGTGATGATCTGGGCAGGGTTCTGAAAATAACACACACTGTAAAAAACTTGTGTTTTTAACGTGTAAAAAATAGTATCCTCTATATGTTAGAAACATATGTTTTTTACACAGCGTGTTTTTAGCACAATGAGTTTTTGACATTAAAGTGTCAGAATTGTATGTTGAACTGATAAATGGTTAATGGTTAAGACTAACATATAATTTATTTATGGCCCATATTGGTTTTTCATTTTCCCTTCGACTCGTTAATGTCAGTGAAATGTAATATTCATTTGTGTTAAAAACACAGTGTGTAAAAAAACGTCGTGTTAATAACACATTGTGTAAAAAACAGAAGTGAGTTGTGTGTGCTAACAAGTATTTTACACATTTTAACACTTTTGTAGTTGACACACATGTCAACAATTTTGCTCACACTGTAAAATACAAATTTTCATGTATTTAACTCGTGTGTCAATTTCCGAGCCCTGGATCTAAACCCCAAAAATGAAAACAATTGTTTTTACTTTATAAAATGATTACATGTACGATTCCCACTTTATTTACCCTTTCTCCTCAGGTGATCTCCTCGTCGCCCGAATCCCGGCCAGACTTCTGTCCTCTTTGTCTTGGATGAACACATGAGTTTCGCTTAAAACTAAACACAAGTTGAGATTACATACCCAAAGCGTCTTCAATCACATTTGTCGAGTGTGCAGACAGTGCGCGTCGCGACTGTATGAAGCTCTTACAGTCGCGACGCGCACCGTTCTTCCTAACATTCATTCCGTTGACTTTATACATATAAATAGGTATTTTTTATATAGTTTACATGGGAGTTTTCAAAAATATAGACCACTTTCTCGGCTATTCATTGTTAATAGTTTATAGCTCAATTACAGATATTTGACAATAATAGCTTTGTTGAAATATTTGCGTTTCTTTTTCGAATTATACAGAGTTTGAGTACACTTTTTTTGTTTAATTTTGATTAGGTTTCTTGAAATGTTAGCATACATACAGTATATACATAAAATATATTCTTCTTTTTTTTGGTAAGTCACATTTTGGAAAACTTTTTTCTTTCAGTTCTTTGGAAATATATAAAAATTGAATATTTGAAATATTTCAACTTACTCTTCTCGCCTTCTTTTTTTTTACTAATTTACTATTAAACGGAACGTCAAAGTGTAAGCAAATAACTAGTTTTTGATTACGAGTACAGTGCGTTTCGCTGCTGTAAGACAAGCATTGTTTATCCAGCTAATACTTGTTGCAAAACGTTTGTTAAACTATATCAAAATGTATATGCGACGATAGAGTCAAGTGATTAAATAAAATTTTTCTCCACAAAACAAGGTAGTCTTAAAATGGATTAACAATCTTTTTCGATGCTAATAATTATGGGTTGGCCATTAATTCTACTACAAACAACGAGAGCAAGGGATTTTGAATAAAGTTAGCTCAAAAACTAAATGAAAATGGAATTAATTTCTATGTACAGCCAACAGCGATAGATTCCTTTGACTTACGAGCTAAGCTGGGGCTTATAATTAGGGACACTACTTATCCTCCCAGGAGGCGGACGAGGAGGAGGTGGACATGTTGTCGCAGGAGCGCGGCGGCGTGGGACAGCGCTTGAGGAGCGTCCGCTTGCCGAGCGAATGGACGGCCGCCTCTTCGGAAGCGGTGTCCGTATCCGAGTACTCGTCGTCGCTCTCGCTGGCATGTCCTGCATCCGTCTCGTACGGATCCTCCTCCTCCTCCTGCTGCTGCTTGGCCTCCAGCTGGCCCAACTGATGATCCTCGGGCTGCTCCTCCTGCTCGTAGAAGAAGTACGACAGCTGCAGCTGCTCCTCCGCCGAGTTAACGCGCCAGGCGTGCGGAATCAAGGCGCCGTTGAGTTCGAGTCGCTGCTGCAGGGCCAAAAACATGTCCGGCGAGATTTCCATCTGAGGCAGCGACTGCTGCGCCTGCCACTTGGCCAGCAGCGGTGGATCCGGCCCAAAGGCTCCGTAGTACAACTTGCAGGCGCGGTAGCAGCGCAGCCGGTTTGAGTCCGGGCGGATGCGGCGCAGCACCCGCAGCTGCGACTCCACCACGTGCAGGAACATGAACTGCTGCCGGCGGCTGGGCAGCGAGGTGACCAGCACCGCGCGACTGGTGCTCAGGCAGAGCTGCGGCAGCGGCTGGGGCCAGAGCGAGTGCAGCAGCCGCTTGACCAGCTGCGTCAGCGTGGAGCTGCGAAAGAAGTGGCGCTGGGGGGCAGCAGCAGCAGCAGCCGCCGGCGCCGCCGCTGCGTCGGGCAGCCAACGCACTGCATCGGCCCAGAGGCGGGCGGCGTCGCCGTTGAACATAGACAGGCCCAGGAAACGCATGCAGCGCTGGCAGTACAGATGATCCTCCCGCTTGAGCACGCGTGGATTTGCTTCGTTTGCGTTTATAACCACATAGTTGAGGCCATAGAAGAGATCTGCTGCGGCGGGCACCAGGCTCACCGGCGGCGCCTTGCCCTCCGCTCCATGGTTGTGGCAGAAGAACTCGCTGGGATCCACCACGCAGCTGGGGAACTCGCGCAGCCTGCGGTAGCTCCTGGCGGGCACCAATTGCGCCCGGCAGTCGCGACAGTTGATCGTGAGGAGCTCGTTCTCCCGGCAGGAGAGGAGGAGCGGCGCCAGTGGCACCTCCACGGCGCCACCGTCCACGGTGGCCAGGTCAATCTGGGTGTAGTTGAAGCGGAAGCTTATGTGGCTGCCGCTGACCAGGAAGGTGGACAGGCAGCCGATGTCCATGCCGAAGTGCTCGTGCCGGAGGAGCAGCAGCTCGGAGTCGGAATCGGAGTGGGAGTCGGAGCTGGAATCCTCCTCCTCGGACTCCCGATTTTCTAGTTTCTCGCTGATGTAAACATTGTGGTCCCGGATGACGACGCGCGTCTCGTGGCTCTGCGAGATCTGCTGGTCGAACAGCAGGAAGGCCACGCCGCTGCGCAGGTTGGGCCGCAGCTCGATGCACAGCCCGCTGATGGGCATCTTGTCCTGGCTCCAGAAGCTCTAGAAGATCGGGAAACTAAATTGTGCGAATCTTGTAGTTGGAGAAACGTCGATAACCAACATCGATAACATTAAGTTCGGTCTTATTAAAGTGTCCATGCTAACTTAGCCGAGTCCCCTTCTGGGATTGTGTCTTGGCTTCACCCATCCCTCGGTCACACTGTCGATAGCCGCGGAACGAATAACGCCTCGCGATATCGAATATATATGCGAACAGCAATGTTAGGATACAACGTTTTCTTACATTGGCAGAACTGTTGCGCCTCTGCCGCTGCTCTGCCAATGTAAGAAAAACATTAACATTGCTGTTAGAAAAACCATGAAATCTAACATTTAGGAGCGCCAAGTTGGCGGAAGGAGAAACTGGTTTAAGGAAACGGGCGCCCTCTATGGAAACATTTGGGAGCTGACAATTGGTAATTGGAACGAAATACAATCGTTGTGGAATATCGATGGAGGGATTTTTTAGGGGGAAGGCTGAATTTTCATCTCCAACATTTGATGTTCGCAAACATCGATGTTTTCGATGTTTTCGATGTTTTCAATAAGAACATCGATGTCTTACAAAAATTATTATTATTTTAGGGGGATTCCCTAAACTGTTGAATTGCTGAATTGTTGAAAATTCAACAAAAAATTTCAGCAATTAAGGGAACGACCCAAAATGGTTCCTGTTGAATTTTCTAACAGCTGTTATTTGTTGAAAAATTTCACGGAACTTTAAGCATGTAAAATTTGATTTATTATTGCTAGTTACTGTCTAAAAGTGTTTTAAAGGTAAAAAGAACCACAAATATGCTTTCTAAGTTGATTTTAAAATAAATAATGCGTACTGGTGATACTAAAATGTTACAGAGTTGCCACGACTTTTAAAAAAAGGTGACAGCTCTGGCTTTTCAGCAATTCAACAAAATTTTCAACAGCCCCGAGGCTGATGAATTGCTGAAATTTCTGAAAGTTGACTTTGTATGGAACAGCTGATTAACAGCTGACCAAAATTCAACAATTCAGCAATTCAACAGTTTAGGGAATCCCCCTTTTGTTTTTAAATAAATCAGTAGAATAATATAGCCCAACTGAAAAACGTATATAGTTCATTTAAAGGCAAAATAAACAAAGGCTTTACTCGGCAAAAAATTAAACAAAATTGATCAACAATATTTAAGTGATCAGCATATTTATATTATAGTATTATAGGATAATTATAAAAATCCACCGCCGCTTCCATCCTACACCACCAGTTGAATATCTAAAATCATGTCAATACAGTAAACTTAAATTCCGCCTTTTTCTTTTATAGCCTCTTTCCATAGAGTCCATCCGTTTGAAACGGTTGGGATTTTTGACGAATGTGAAACTCGTGTTCTCACAGAACTCCATCCTCCATCTACCATCCAATAACAGCAGACTGAAGAGCAGTTGCGTTGCTCAGCTCAACATTAACGAAGGGGGATTTCAACTCGGGAAAACTGTCGTAAAATTGCGTTCTCCTAATTTTATTGAAGAATAATACAAAATATAGATTAGGAAAATAGTTAAAAAACATATCTGAACGTTTATTACATATCCTATAACGAGTGTGCATGGATATTGCTGACTGGGGGGAGCCTAACCTCCCGTACCCCACACTCCGCTCTTACTACGCATCTGTCTAGCCAATATTAATATGGCAAATTTGTAAACAAAGCCAAATGTGAGCTGTTTTGGTCATTTATAGCAACTTTGGTACTTTATAGGAGTACATAGTACACCTTTAATCAATATTAGTATCAATATTAGTATAATCAGTATTAGTATTTACGAATTGCAGAACATATTCTGAGACTTCGCTGCAAACATTGATGTTTTCGTACGCAGAACAGCTTACATTTTTGCCCACTCATAGCAACCTGTTTGCGAATGCTTTTCCGCCCATAGCAAACTACAAATAATTCAAAAAACCCAAATGATAAATGCTGTATCTGCTGCGGATAGGAAATACATTTTTGTGAATACTAAAAATAAACTCAAAAATTTACATCAGTGAGGCTACGGCATAATAATTGAACCGAACAGTGTCGTGGAATAACCGCATAAGGAAATGGTAATGCGGTTATTCCACGACATTTTTCGGCTCATTCATTGGAGCATTCATTAGAGGCTTAGAAAGGGACAAATATGTTTACATGTACTGGGATTTGTTTGGATAAGATGACATGGTCACTTAGAATTTAGATGTTAAACATATGTAATTGTTTTTAATTTTATCATATTCGGCATTAATTTTTAGAAAGGCAATTTTATATACATTTTTAGGCGCAGTTGTGTCTTCATTTAGAAATGTGAGCGTTATTTTTAGTTGTCAATGGAGTAATTAGGCTTTAAAATAATTTTTAATTGTTCTTATTTGTTCATAGCACCTAATTAGTCGCAAAAGGTTTGACAATTCAACCAAAAAGCATCAAATCCATTTTTATTATTGATCCCATTTCACAGTAGCTCTAATGAAGGAGCAAAATTGAACTTTTATTGGGTCATTTTAAAATACCAAAAACTACCAAAAGTGCCAATCGGTTTTCACAATTTTGCTCATTAATTGCTCATTGCAGCTGACATATATCTGTCTTGTTCGCACATACGTAAAACCGTATAGACTGAGAAAAAATTGCTCTAATGAATGAGCCGAACAATGATTCCACTACTACGGTTATTCAACCGCATTATAGGGTCTTCCCACAGAGCTCCATCCACCATCTACCATCCGTTGAACGGATGGTCCGTAAGGTTTTGCCGTTCCGAAAATTTCCCAGTTAGTCCGCCATCCAATTTTGACGGACTTTGACGGGCTCTTTTATGCGATAGTTAGGCGATGTTTTCTCGGTGCAACTCTGAATTCTTCCTCTTGACTGTGAAAATTGGAACGATGACTGGGAGAACTAATCAAATCGATGGCGGGAAAAAATTAAATAATGCTTCAGCTCATTGTTTTTTTGGCTATTGTTGAATTATTTGTATTTGTTATAAGTGGAAAAGCGTTCGCAAACAGGTTGCTACGAGTGGGCCAAAATGTAAGCTGTTCTGCGTACGAAAACATCGATGCAAATTCTCAGAATATGTTCTGCACTTCGGAAGTAATAACTAACCCTTATTAAAAGTGTACTATGTACTTCTATAAAGTTCCAAAGTTGCTATAAAAGCCTAGTACTCAGTTCGGCTAAGAGTTTCACTAGTCGAAAAATATTAATCATTTAGTATGACCGAAGTTTTCGGAGTTCATCCGCAATGCATGGTCTTACTCTCAGCAAACAAATCAACTGGCGCCAATTTTAAAATATTACAAAACGTTGAGCCGACCTAGGTCGCAAGCTTTAAATTCCCTGTTGGAATGGCGATATGTATTGCAGCAACTCCTACAGGCAGTTTTCCAATGGTTTTTGTGGTTTTCCTTCCATTTATACATTGTTATTGGCAAACCGCTTCTGCACAAACACAGCCAAAGATCAAATTTTTTATTCTTTGGGCAGCGGCTAAAGGCGTTCATCGGAATTCATCCGCTAAATCTAGTATTTTTTTTGGTATTTCCTTACCATATCCTTAGCTCAACTGAGTACCGCGGTGAAAAAAGTCCCCGGCTAAAGGCTTTAGCTACCTATTTGCCTCTCGCTTACTCCTATGCTTAGCTAGCAGTTTTCGTCGTACTGAGTACTAGGCTAAATAAACAAAACAGCCAAAATTTGGGTTTGTTTCCAAATGTGCCATATTAATATTGGCTAGACAGAGGCGTAGTAAGAGCGGAGTGTGGGGTACGGGAAGTTATGTATGTATACATACTCGTTGTAAAAGCTCAGATATGTTTCAAAACTATTATTTTATGCTATTTATTTTATTATTACACCCGTTACTCGTAGAGTAAAAGGGTATATTGTATTCGTGCAAAAGTATGTAACAGGGAGAAGGAAGCGTTTCTGACCCCATAGTGTATATATTCTTGATCAGGGTCACTAGCCGAGTCGATATAGCCATGTCCGTCTGTCCGTCTGTCCTTCTGTCCGTCTGTCTGTCTGTCTGTCCGTCTGTCCGTCCGGATAAACGCTGAGATCTCGGAAACTACAAGATCTTGAAGGTTGAAATTTCCCACACATATTCTTGGGCTTCCTACGCAGTGCCACGTCCCCTCTAACGCCCACAATCGCCCACTAAAAATTTTAAAATGTGTGCCAGACACATTTTACACACATTTTGCCCACACTTTTAAAGATTACTGAGAAGAAATGCAATTTTGTTGTGTATATGTATACCTATCGAAATATAAAAGACTTTTTTTAAATCGGACCATTCATTAAAAAGTTATGCGCAATCAAAATTTTAAATATCCATATCCCTCGCACTCCCTTCAGCTGAGTGACGGGTATTAAATAGTCGGGACACCCACCCGATTACAATAAGATTACGATCGATTTGCCGAGTTGAAATCCCCTTTCGTAAATGTAGAGATGAGCAACTGCTCTTCAAGTCAGCTGTTATCGGATGGTGGATGTCCTCTGTGGGAACACGAGTTTCACATTTGTCAAAAATCCCAATCGTTTCACACGTATAGACTCTATGGGAAGAGGTTATTAGCCGATGTGAGTACTAGACTTTAAGCGAAAACCACCACTGTGTGCACAGGCTATTATGCCCTTTTGACCCTGATATAAAAATATACAAAAGGAAATGATTCTTGAGTGGTATGGTTTTTAATATTTTCGTGTGTTCTGAAGATTGCACACCAAAGACCTTCTTATAGCGCCTTCCCACACAGATCGATTAATCATCCACAATCCGTTCAACGGATGGTCCACAAGGTTTTGCCGTTTCGAAAATGCCCATAATTTGTTTTCTTTTACTATCGCATCAGAGAGCTGCAACGAGTATGATCGAGTACGATCGATCATCGCGCGATCATTTTCGTTTAATCCGGTAAACTCACTCGGCAACGAATAATCACGAACAAACCCGAAAGCCAAAGTACGATCCGATCAACTACCCGACTCGCTTCGTAACGATCAATGATGTGATTTTGAACTTCGGGTGTAGGTGAACAAAATGATCGTTCCGAAGCGCTCAATCGTTCCCGATGATTGCGACCTCGAGTCAGTTGTACATGAATAGATTGTGAACGGATTAATATGATTTCTTGTGACGACGAAATAAAATAGATGGAGAGTGCACTTCAATGTATTACACACAAAAAAAAAACTTGGTAAAATTGACCAACAAAGATAGTTACGTAACTATTAAAATGGTTACGTGTATTTTGTTTTTGCTTTGGGTTTGTGTCTTTGCTAATTGTGTGTATTTTGTTATTGTGAAATGACTATTTACTTAGTAGAATTGACAATTTTGCTGGTTAGGGCCTGTTTGACAATTATTACAGTTGATTTTACCAAGTTTTATTTTTGTGTGTACATATATGTTTATTGAGAAATATTTATTCCATATGAAACTTTTTCCTTTCCGGTGGCCTGACAACGTGTAGCTTCCATTTGATATTAGTTCTAAAACGCTTTTAAAATCTATTACTTGTTGTCATTTTGTGCAAATATAAAAATATGTTGTGCCAAATATAAAGCAATAACACGAACTGCATTGTCATACCGATAGGCGCGAAGCACGATCACACCAATCGATTGCACAAAATATTCGATCACAAACGGGTAAAATCTTCAAGCCGAACGTTCACACACGATCAGATCACACACTTGAACGATCACAAACGATCATTCATGGCACGATCGCATTCGCTCACCGCTCATTTCATTTCGCTCACCCGAAGCGATTAATCAAAACGGATACGAGTAAATGATCGGGTGTACCCGAAAATGATTGACTCGTTGCAGCTCTCTGTATCGCATAGTTAGGCGATGTTTTTCCTTAAATTTCACAACTTTCCAAATATCCAAATTTGACAAACTTTTTTTTTCTTTTTATGCAATAGTTTGGCGATATTTTTTCGGTGCGACTCTGAGTTCTTCTTCATGACTGTAAAAAATTGGAACAATGACTACGAGAACAAATTAAACTGATGGCAAAACATTAAGTATTGCCTAAGTTTATATTTTTCACTTGGCTATTGGTAAATTATTTGTAGTTTGTTATGAACGGAAAAGCATTCATAAACATTCGTAAACACATTGATAAAAACATAAATGTTTGCATGCAAGTCGCAGAATACTTTCTGCAATTCGTACAGAATAAGTAATATTCATTAAAAGTGTAAGTACTCCAATAAAATTCAACTTTGTTATAAATTACCAAAAAATTTGTTTATATTTTTCTATATTAATATTGGCTGGACAGTGGCGTAGTAAGAGTAGGCTGTCGCCCAGCCAGAATTTTGTATGCTTGGATATATATATTGTAATTTCAAATATGTCTTAAACTTTTTTCGTATGCTATTTATTGTATTATTCAACAAGAGGACTAAAAAAACAACATTTTACAACAGTTTTGCCGATTGGAAATCCCCCGTCGTCTATTTCGAGATTAACCACTGCTCTTCAAGTCAGCTGTTATTGAATAGTGGATGCATATGGCGCTCTGTGGAAATATGCGTTGCACATTCTTAAAAATCCCAGCCATTTCACACGGATAGACACTTTGGGTAGAGGCTATTAACCAACATTTTGTGTAATATTTCGAAAATAGCCGATAGTATTTAGTGGCTAGGCGATATGGCTTCGAAATATGCCGATAGTTAATCGACATTGTCGATTGTGCCCAATCTGGCCGATAGCAAAACAATAACAAAAAAACCTAAACATAAACAAACACGAGCTCGTCGAAACTAAACGACGCCATGGGTTTTCCGCGCATCCTCAGCAAGAACAACAAGATCTACACGAAGCTGGGCGAGTTCTGTTTGTCGGGGGATAGCTTTTGGATTGTTTGCCACACGTGCCAAGAGGAGCTCCAGACGCAGGATCAGTTCTGGAAGCACATACAGGATGAGCACAACTTCATGCACGGGGTGGCCAAGGTGGGTTGTGTGTGATTTTATTGCTTGAGGGCTAATCGTCGTTCATTTGCAGCAGGAGCACAGTCGGACCTCCAGTTACTGCCTCACGGATGTGGAGGCTGCGGCAGCGGCGGCCACTTCAGGTGGTAGCTCGCAGCAGGGCTCAACTGCTGTTAGTGTGCCCCTGGCTTTGTATCACTGCTCCACCAAGTACTCCGAGGAAGAGCAGCGTGAGGTGGAGCTCCACGAGCAGCAAGTTCAAGTACAACAGCAGGTGCAACAACAGGTACAACAGCAACAGCAACAAGCGCACCAGCAACACCACGCTCAACAGCAGCAGCAGCCACACCAGCATCTGCAGCAGCGCGATGTGGCCAAGGAGCTGGCCGAACTGCATGCTAATGCAGTGGCTGCCGCCGCAGCTGCCGCTGTGGTTTCCACAGGCGAGGGAAGCACACCCAGTAATAGCGGCATTGATATCAAGATAGAGCCCGCCAGTCTCACACTAACACCCGAAATGCAGGCTGCTGCAGCGGCTGGCGGGACCATTTATCATCTGCCGCATCTAGTGCCAGCACCTGCGCCGCCTCCACCACCCACGGCGGGATTTGTGAGTGTCAGTGCCAGCACAAGCACCTCCAATACAGTCAGCACCACACCGCCCAATGTGCTCCAGCAGCAACAGCAGCAGCAGCAACTCAACATGTCCGTCGTCCCTTCCACGACAATGGCCGCTGCGATGCTGGCCGCCAGTCAGGAGCAGCTACCAAAGGACTCCAACAGCACGACTGCCAGCGCCGGGAGTGCAGTGTCTTCAGATGACGGAGAACGCTGGTACGTCTGTGACTATGAGACATGCGGCCTGAAGTTCAAGTACAAGTCCAGAATGGAGCTGCATCGGGTGGTGCATAGCAAGGAGCGGCGGTTCAACTGCGAACTTTGCAGTGCGTCCTTCAAGCAATCGTGCAACCTGTCCACGCACCGAAAGAAGAAACACGCGCTCAGGGGCATCAAAAGCGAGATACTGCCGCAGCGCTTTTAGGTTGTAGATAACTCAAGCCCAGCCTTAAGATCCCCTAATTGTCACTTGTTTAGCTTACTGAAAGTCAGTCACTAGGACTATATTCTAGCCAGCAATTCTCATAAACTCTGTCCGAACATTTCGTCTTAGTTTATGAGGGTTGCGAACCTACAATACTTGCATGCTTGCCACACGACTAAGAATGTTTTTACCTTTTCTTAAAAGCCTTAAAGGAGCAGGAACGACAAAAATCTCTTGGTTTGGCGATCACCAGAAAATGTTTAAGGTGTTTCAGAATCTCAATATTTGCATTATTGTATATTTCCAAGCCGATTCAAAAACTTATTTGGTTGCAACTTGCCTTAAAAATAGAGTTCCAAACTACCCCGATGACACCCCCAATTGTAAATTAAAAACTTACCCACTGCAATACTCTTGTGGCAGGCAAGCAACCTACCTGATATATATTTATATATTCTTATATATATATATATATATATATATAATGTCTAATGTAGGCTTAGTTTCCCTTGTAAATGTAGTCTTAATGTTGAAGCGGGGTTATGTTAACCTCCTACGATTTAGATGTACATGTAATCTTTTATATAGATGGGGTTAATTAAAAATCTATACAAAATTTTCGGGACGATTATGTTGAAATTCAACCGAAAAAATTAACGGGGTCCTAGAACTTGTGCTGTTTCGGATGTATTGAGTAACTTTTCTCATACTTTTTTTTAAGAACTTCTTCTATTGCATGTAAAACGTTTACTCAAAGGGTCTTTTTCTCCTCTTTGTGGTAATTGGCTAGTTTGAAAGTGTTTATTTTGATACATACTGACGAGAAAACGGCTGAAAAGTTTTATGGGACACCGAAATTTTACTTTCGGGAGCAATTCGCTTAGAAGAGTTGAAGTTACAGTTGAGCAGGGTTATCTACGTCAGTTGTTCAGTTAGTTACACTCTATAAATATACATGTTCTGAGACCAGAACGATAAAGATGGTGTATGTACCATAAGATCAGTCAATCAAAAGCAACCAATCACAGCAACTGCAGTCGAAAACGATAATATATAAATATTACAATACAAAGTCGTCTCAATTCTAGTGTTTTATATGTTTGGGTGGGTTGACAAAAATACATAATATACCTAAAAGTACAAATCTTTCAAGAAATTTGGCAAGTTGGACCATTTTTTAATGAAGTATCTATTTATAAATGACTTTTCCGACTTCAGGTAAATGTCAACTCATACAAATTTCTTTAAAAATTTTAGAAATCTCGCCTTTGTTGCCGATCTTCTGAAAATAGCAACAAATTCTTGAAATCAAAGCCAACATCAGCTCGAGTTGATTAAAAACTTCTCAGAAATATTTTTTTATTTTAAGATTTATTAAGATTTATTGAAACAAGAAAAAGAACATTTTTTTAATAAAATTTTTTCGGTTTCTTTTCTAAAAGGCGACTTTTTGTAAGAAAACGTCTTAAAACAAAGGTGAAGTCGCCTTTGGCAAGCTTTCAAGAAAAAGGCTTATGAAGTGTATTTAATCACATGTGAAATCATTTTTCGTCAAATATGTTGATATCAAAACTTGTATGTTGCATGTGCGATCATCACTAGTTTTTTACCATAAGTTTTTGCTTGAACTTATAAAAAATTGCTTCATTTTTTATACCCGTTACTCGTAGAGTAAAAGGGTATATTGTATTCGTGCAAAAGTATGTAACAGCTAGAAGGAATGAAATAAACTTGCGCTGGGTAGGAAGCCCAAGAATATGTGTGGGAAATCTCAACCTTCTAGCTTTTGTAGTTTCCGAGATCTCAGCGTTCATCCAGGCAGACAGACGGACACGGCTATGTCGACTCGGCTAGTGATCCTGATCAAGAATATATATACTTTATAGGGTCGGAAACGCTTCCATCTCCCTGTTACATACTTTTGCACGAATACAATATACCCTTTTACTCTACGAGTAACGGGTATAAAAAATGAAACAATTTTTTATAAATCGATTATTTAATAAGCGTTTATGCGGCAGCCTCGGCAAGTAGCAATTTTTAAACAACATAATATTTTTTAGTGATGTTAATATTTTTTTAATATTAATATTTTTGCTTAATCTCATATCTTATCGTGTATGAAAATGGATGATGTGCGTCTTTTAGTTATTTTTTTTTAAATAAAAAACAGAAAAGTACGTAACATTTTCCGAATTCGGTTCAGATTACCTATTTTATACAAAATTTCAATAAATTTTACTTATAGTTCGTTGGAACGTTCAATCTGTAAAAATAAAACGCAAAAAGCAAATCCTTCTCACTGTCCTAGGAAAGAAATTACAAAAAAAAATTAACTTTCTGGCCCTGTGTGCGCTGTAAGGAGTGGCGAAGAGTGGTAATATATTTTCAAAATTGGTATTAGGATAAATATTGAAAACGAAGTGATTTGCCCTTAATACTGTTCTGAATTTTAAGGCTGTTATAGCCAGATTAGACTTCACCTACGCGGATAAGACGCCCATACAGGTGATTCAACAAGAAATTAACCTTATGAGGCAGTGCGACATGCCCTTGACGAAATATTATGATGAAGTTGAAAAAAAATTAACTCTGTTAACAAACAAAACGCTGATGTCTCATGATACTGCATCTGCAACAGTCCTGAACGAAAAATACAGGAACGACGCACTGCAGGGTTGAAAAACTCTTTAAAAATTACAGTTTTTCCTGCAAAACCGAAAGATCTGCCCACTGCCCTCGCACTAGCACAAGAGGCACAGTCTAGCCACGAACGCAGTGCATTTGCAGCCACCTTTGCACGACACGCCGACGAAAAAATGACAATTTTAGCCGCTTTTTCTTCCTTTTCATACAAAATTTTACTGAGATGTCTCCATTCAAAAAATCATAAAAAATTTTATTTTTTTGCAGTTATTAATAATTTTTGTTTTAAGCCCTAGGAAAAAAGTTGAAAATGTGACTTTCACAAAATTTGCTCAATTTTCAAAGGGGTCTTAATGGGTTAAAAACATTTTTGTGTAATTTAAACGGAATTGAAGTGCTCTTACTATAGGTATCAAAAGTTTATATTAAAAGTTCAAAGTGTGACTACAGTTAACATTTAAATCTGTCAAAATATTTATGCCGACTAGGGTATGATCACCAAGAGGGCTGGGGCTCTGCCATACAATATTAATACGATTGCGACTATCCGCTCAGACGGGGAGCCGGTATTTTCTAAGCTTTACTCTGATTTTATCAATGCCGAGGTTAAACAACTTCTAGCAGACGGTATTATCAGAAAGTCACGATCACCTTACAACAATCCTGTACGGGTTGTTGATAAAAAAGGCCTTGATGAAAGTGGCAACAAAAAAAAAACTTCTCGTTATCGATTTTAAGAAACTAAATCAGAAAACGATTGACGACAAATACCCAATCCCAAGTATTTCTACGATACACAGTGGGGCGAAAAAGCCAAAAGTCTGCCTTAAATCAGCGGAGCCCTATAGCGATTATCTTTTGATGAGGTATTGTTAAAAGCAATTAAGTATATAAAAAAACATCAAAAGGTGAATTTTTTTAGTAAAAAGTTTTTGTTGTAGGAAATTTTTAAGAAAAAACAAGAAAGGAAGCTTGCTTCGGCAAGCCGAAGCTTATATACCCTTGCAGATCATTCTATTAATTTACAAATCGCAAAAATGTTAAAATTCCTATTATTTCACATTAATTATACCCGTTACTCGTAGAGTAAAAGGGTATATTGTATTCGTGCTAAAGTATGTAACAGGAAGAAGAAAGCGTTTCCGACCCTATAAAATATATATATTCTTGATCAGGGTCACTAGCCGAGTCGATCTAGCCATGTCCGTCTGTACGTCTGTCCGTCCGTATGAACGCTGAGATCTCGGAAACTACAAAAGCTAGAAGTTTGAGATTTTGCACACATATTCTTGGGCCTCCTACGCAGCGCAAGTTTATTGCCGAGCGCCACGCCCCCTCTAACGCCCACAATCGTGTCCTGCGCGCACATCTTTAAAGATTGCCGAGAAGTATAAATGCAATTTCGTAGTGTATATTTATACCTATCGAAATGTAGAAGACATTTTTGAAATCGGACAATTCATTAAAAAGTTATACGCAATCAAAATCGAAATGTAGAGGACATTTTTCAAATCGGACCATTCATTAAAAAGTTATACGCAATCAAAATTTATATATTTATCTCCCTCGCACTCTCTTTAGCTGAGGTTCGAATATTAGATAGTCGGGACACCAACCCCAGTACAGCGTTCGATCTTTTTAAAATTAAAATCGAAATTCGGAAATATTTAAAAATAATCATATCTCAGAGTAGAAGAGAATGTAATAAAAATCAACAAAGATATAATTTTTTTCCTATTAATTTACATTTAATTTTTCGACCGTTCCTATGGCAGCTATATGATATAGTGATCCGATTTTTTAAATATTTAATTCAAAATTCAGAAACATATAAAAAAAAATATTCCCAAGAGTAGAAGATAATATTTGAGAAAACACCGAAGCTAGAATTCTTTTTAACGTTTCCTTCCTATGGGAGCTATAAGATAAAGTTGTCCGATCCGGTCGGTTCCGACATATATACTAAAATGTTCAATTTTCTAATATTTCTCATTAATTTTCCGATCGTTCCTATGGCAGCTGTATGATATAGTCGTCCGATTTTGATCAAATTAATATTGAAATTCGGAAATCTTTAAAAAGAGTGATATCCTAGAGTAGAAGATAATACAATAAAAAGCAAAGAAGCTAGAATTTATTTCCTATTACTTTTCCATTAATTTACCGATCGTTCCTATGGCAGCTATATGATATAGTAGTCTGATTTTTTAAATATTTAATTCGAAATTCAGAAATATTTAAAAAATAACATCCCCAAAAGTAGAAGGTAATATTTCAAAAAACACCGAAGCTAGAATTTTTTTAACGTTTTCTTTTCCGATCCTTCCTATGGGAGCTATAAGATATAGTTGTCCGATCCGGTCGGTTCCGACATATATACTACCTGCAATAGAAAGAAGACTTTTGGGAAAGTTTCATCCCGATAGCTCAAAAACTGAGAGACTAGTTTGCGTAGAAACGGACGGATCGACTCGTCTAGTGATGCTGATCAAGAATATATATACTTTATGGGGTCGGAAACGTCTCCTTCACTGCGTTGCAAACTTCTGACATAAATCATAATACCCTCTGCAAGGGTATAAAAATAACTTACAGGGCTCTAAGTTTCCCAAAGTTTTATTTAATTTAACTTGATTTTTGAAAAAAAAATTATCTAAATCGGTAAACTATATCTTATAGCTGCCATATAAACGCTTATTACACAGGTGAATTTCTCGGTTCTTTTTCAATATTGGTTCATATAAATCGGGATCTTTAAAGATTTCCGAGAAGTATAAATGCAATTTTGTTGTGTATATTTATACCTATCGAAATGTAGAAGACTTCTTTCAAATCGGACCATTCATTAAAAAGTTATACGCAATCAAAATATCTACATATATCTATCTCCCTCGCACTCCCTTTAGCTGAGCGAGTACAGCGTTCGCACTTCCTTTAGCTGAGTGACGGGTATTAAATAGTCGGGACACCAACCCGACTATAGCGTTCTCTCTTGTTTTTTTTAAATTGGTCAATGATCACTATGGACGGCAGTCCATGTAGTGACGAAGCGCACCAGAAGAGTGTGCGAAGGCGACTACTATTATATCAAATAAAAACACCTCTTAACGAGGTAAAAAACTAGTGACGATCGCGCCTTCAACGTACAAAAGTTCTGATATCAACATTTGTGACGAAAAATTATTACACTCGTCATTAAATAGACTTTCTAATATTTTCTCATTCGGCACGCTGCAATAGAAAATGCCTGTAAAGGGAAAAAGGCTGGAATAGTTTGCTAGGGCGGGCCGAATGAGAAAATATTAGAAAGTCTATTTAATGACGAGTGTAATAATTTTTCGTCACAAATGTTGATATCAGAACTTTTGTACGTTGAAG